CTCCAAAGCACCTGAAGGCAGAACAAGAAGCAACAGATGGAAATCAAGGAGAGAACCAATCTAGAATTAAGGAGGAATTTCCTGATAGTTAAACGCAATTAATAAGTGGAACAACTTTCCTCCAGACGTTGTAGGTGCTCCAGCAGTGGAAGTTTTTAAAGAAGAGATTGGACAACCGTCTATCTGAAATGATATAGGGTTTCCTGCTTGAGCAGGGGATTGGACTAGAGGACCTCCAAGGCCCCTTCCGAGTCTGTTATTCCGTTACGTCTAAGGCATTCCCCTCATCTACTAACCCAATAACTGTGAAAGGAGGCGAGGTTAGCTTTAGTTTGTTCATGATTCAGTGTACTGTACACATGAACAAAATGTGTGAGTCTACTAACCAAGGTTGAGCATATCGTGCCCGGAAGTATTTCTAAGATGTATCCTTGAGGGTCTACAGCTTTTGAATATCGAGGGGAATCTAACTGTGCATCAGCTTGAGTTTCCCGTCTGAATTCACACAATTCCCATCTGAATTGTGTTTCCAGACCACCAGAAACTCTGAGCCAATATTAGGATTCAGCTTTGATTTAGAGTCCTGGGAGCAGATGCACACTGAAGTCAATTATCTTCTCCATTAAAAGCTATGCATGCATGATTTAAGTTCTTTAGAAAATCAAGGTGACTGTGTCCATCTTTTGTACATGGGGAATGCTCTTGGGTGAATGCAGCAAGGTGCGTAAATTCCAGGAAAATCAGAGGACAAACCACTAGGAAATGGTGAGTTCTAGTCCTGCCTTAGGCAGGAAAGCTGGCTGGGTGATGCTGGCCCAATCACTAGGAGACAGTGAGTTCTAGTCCTACCTTGGGCATGAGATTCAATCTAGCTCCTTATCTTCAGACTGTGGAGAGTACACCAAAGATTGCTTTTTGTAGCAAAGAAAGACTTGGGATTAACAAAGCAGGGTGTTCATTGTTTTATAAAAACTTAAACCATAATGAATTAGTTTTAAGATGCCAAAAGAGTCTGCTTTGTGATAAACCCTACCATCAACAACTGAGGGAACTAGGTATGTCTAGTCTAGCAAAGAGAAGGACTAGGGCAGAGGTAGGCAACCTTGGCTCTTTTATGACTCGTGGACTTCAACTCCCAGAATTCCTGAGCCAGCCACGCTGAGGGGAAAGGGAGAGGTTTCCAAGCTGAGCCATGCTGGCTCAGGAATTCTGGGAATTGAAGTCCATATGTCTAAGGCAGGCTAGGCAACCTTGGCTCTTTTATGACTCGTGGACTTCAACTCCCAGAATTCCTGAGCCAGCCACGCTGAGGGAAAAGGGAGAGGTTTCCAAGCTGAGCCAGGCTGGCTCAGGAATTCTGGGAGTTGAAGTTCACGAGTCATAAAAGAGCCAAGGTTGCCTATCCCTGGACTAGGGGCAGTGGTGGGATTCAGCCAGTTCACACCAGTTTGGCAGAACCGGTAGCTAATTTTTTGTTGCCCAGGCCCAGAATGGACTTAAGGAAGCGGCATCCCGTTGTTCACATATTTGAATCGCACCACTGACTAGGGATGATATGATAGCAGAATTCCAGTACTTGAAGGGCTGTTACAGAGAAGAGGGAGTCAACCTATTCTCCAAAGCACCTGAAGGCAGGATGAGAAGCAATGGATGGAAACTAATCAAAGAGAGAAGCAACCTGGAACTAGGGAGAAACTTCCTGACAGTGAGAACAATTAACCAGTGGAACAACCTGCCTCCAGAAGCTGTAAATGCTCCAACACTGGAAGTTTTTAAGAAGAATTTAGACAGCCATTTGTCTGAAATGGCTGTCTATACAATATACAGTCTCCTGCCTGAGCAGGGGGCTGGACTAGTAGACCTCCAAAGTCCTTCCCAATCCTATTATTCTATGTTCTGCTGTTTAAGCCACACGTTTTCTATGGGGCTGCTGGGCATCAAATGCAACACTTCCCTTGTTTATCTCTGCATTATATGTGAATATTCCTGCAGGGATGAACATAACTGCGGGCATTCCATTAAAGAAGATAAGGAGCATCTCAAATAAATCAGCAATACTAGACTTTAGAACTGTCTAAATAGCCCCACAAGGATCAAAATTATATCCTTAAACCTTCCAAATGTTGCCAACTTTTTAGAAGAGTTTAACAATCACACTCGCTTTTTGATTGCCCCAAACCCCGTACATCGGCGTTTCCCAACCTTTCCAGCTTGGAAGCCCAGAAGGAAAGGGAGCAGCAGGAAACATGCACATGCGGCCCCGTGCACGCATGCATAGACACACACATGCATGATGGCGCTATCATGTGCACACATGTGCAAGTGGGTTGCCGGCACCTGTGTGATGCTGGCGGCGGTAATAATAATAATAATAATAATAATAATAATAATAATAATAATAATAATAATAATAATAATAATAATAATAATAATAATAAAGTTGGAAGGGACCTTTGAGGTCATCTAGTCCAACCCCCTGCTCAGGCAGGAAACCCTATACCATTTCGGACAAATGGCTGTCCAGTCTCTTCTTAAAAACTTCCAGTATTGGAGCATTCACTGCTTCTGGAGGCAAGTAGTTCCACTCGTTAATTGTCCTCACTGTCAGGAAGTTTCTCCTTAGTTCTAGGTTGCTTCTGTCCTTGATTAGTTTCCATCCATTGCTTCTTGTCCTGCCTTCAGGCGCTTTGTCCCACGCATGTGCAAGAATTATTTTGTTAGGTTTCTTGGATTTTTTTAAATTATTTTCTTTTTGCGGGCATGACAAGGTGAACTCTAGTAAGCTATCAAATTGTGAAAGGCAATACAAGGTGATGCGGCTTCTATCAATTTCGCCCCAGATATCAAATCTTGAAATCAAATATCAAAATTAACCATGAAGTGTTGAAATTAGATCTCATGGGGAGCAGGGGTGGGGGTGGGGGGCAGGCATAAGTCAAATGTTTGATGAGCATTCTGCAAACACCTGCATATTTGGGGCATGCATTTATTCCAGCTATTGCTGACATCCATACGTTGAAGGGAAGGAGAGTTAATATAAGTTTATTCTTTGTGGAATAAACCATCCTTTCAATTCTGTGAGGAATCCATCTATATTTCCACTAGGACCGTGGTGGCGAACCTATGGCATGGGTGCCAGAGGCAGCACTCAGAGCCCTCTCTGTGGGCACAGGTGCCGTTGCCCCAGACCTAGGCCTTCAGCTGGGTTTTATAAAACCTTTTTGCTTTAGGCCTCTGCTGCCATGTGCAAAAAAAAAAAAAGGTTCAATCAATCAATCAATCAATTTCAGCTTCTCGAGGGAAAAAAAAAGAAATCTCGCAAAGTTGGAATTGATTGATTGAACTTTATAGTCCCACCCAGTCTGCTGTTACCACCGCAGCCACGCCCACCCAATGGGCCACACCCACCCAATGGGCCACACCCACCTGGCACCCGAATATGTATAAGTGGGTTTTGGGTTGCAGTTTGGGCACTCGGTCTCTAAAAGGTTCGCCATCACTGCACTAGGAAGTTTTGGTTACAATCACAGTGAAGGCTCCCATCATTTCAAACTGAGATGTCAGCTTCTATACACAGATAGTCCTCGTCTTACGACTAGAATTGAGCCCCAAATTTATGTTGCTAAGTGAGACATTTTTTAAAAGTGAATTTATTTCCTCTTTTTACGACGTCTCTTGCCACAGTTGTTGAGTGAATCACTGCAGTAATTAAGTTAGAAACCCGGTTGTTAAGTGAATCCGGCTTCCCCATTGACTTTGCTTGTCAGAAGGTCACAAAAGGGGATCACATGAGCCCGGGACACGGCAACCATCATAAATATGAGTCAACTGCCAAGCATCTGAATTTTGACAACATGATCCTCGGGGTGCTGCAACGGTCGTAAGTGTGAAAAATGGTCAAAAGTTACTTTTTTCTGGTGCTTTGGAAAATAAGTTGACCCCCTCTTCTTTGTGGCAGCCCCTCAAATACTGGAATATTGCTAACAAGTCGTCCCTATTTCTTCTTTTTTTCTAGACTGGCCATACCCAATTCCTGCCTCCGTTCTTCATACATTTTTGTTTCCAGGCCCTTAATCACCCTAGTTCAGGGGTAGGCAACCTTGGCTCTTTTATGAATGGTGGACTTCAACTCCCAGAATTCCTGAGCCAGCCACGCTGAGGGGAAAGGGAGGTTTCCAAGCTGAGCCATGCTGGCTCAGGAATTCTGGGAGTTGAAGTCCACACCTCTTAAAGTACCCAAGGCTGAGAAACCGTGGGCTAGGCCAGGGGTAGGCAACCTTGGCTCTTTTATGAATGGTGGACTTCAACTCCCAGAATTCCTGAGCCAGCCACGCTGAGGGGAAAGGGAGGTTTCCAAGCTGAGCCATGCTGGCTCAGGAATTCTGGGAGTTGAAGTCCACACCTCTTAAAGTACCCAAGGCTGAGAAACCGTGGGCTAGGCCAGGGGTAGGCAACCTTGGCTCTTTTATGAATGGTGGACTTCAGCTCCCAGAATTCCTGAGACAGCATGGCTCAGCTTGGAAACTCTCCCTTTCTCCTCAGCGTGGCTGGCTCAGGAACTCTGGGAGTTGAAGTCCACAAGTCATAAAAGAGCCAAGGTTGCCTACTCCTGTTAGACCAAAAGTATCCAATCTTGGCCACTTTAAGGCCTTTGGACTTCAACTCCCAGAAATCTCTAGCCAGTCATGCTGGTTGGGGAATTCTGGGAGTTGAAGTCCACAGGTCTTTAAAGTAGTCAAGGTTGGACACCCTTTGCTTAGACCAGGGGTGGGGAAACCTTGGCTCTTTTATGACTTGTGGACTTCAACTCTCAGAATTCCTGAGCTAGCACAGCTGGGAGCTGAAGTCCACAAGTCATAAAAGAGCCAAGTTCCCCACCCCTGGCTTAGACCTTTCCCACTTTCTTTGGGCCATCCCAATTTTACAGAAACACCTTAGCTTTGACTGTAAAATATTTTTCACTGAACAAAATGTTGACTTCTATTGTTATTGGATTCCAGATGAGTTTAGAGAACGACGACAAACGAGCACGAACACGGTCCAAGGCAATTAGAGGTAAGTGTTTTGTTATACTCTCCATGTGGAATCAGGGGTACAGATGATTCATCCAGGTTGGCTTGAATGGATGAAGACCTGCCTGAGGATAAGACCTTGGGTGTCTTTGTGTGTAGTTTGTGCACAGCCGCATCCCCTTCCCAATTATTCTGAACAGACTGCTTTGGCCATTCAACCCAGATACCCTCTTTCCAGTTGGTCTCCTAATTCCTCCCTCGCTCCTTTTTCTCCTTCAAAAACCAGCCATACAGGCCTGATTTGCTAGACAACTGCAGGCTGCTTTGATCCCAGGGAGAGACTTTGAAGTTTTGCATCTGGCAGAGAGGGGAAGTGCTCAGGATGGCAGGCATCGAAGCCAGCAACGCTGATGGGCGCAGGGAGTGGAGGAAACTTGTTAACTCTGAGTTTGATGTCTATTTGTTTTCAGCCTTTGAAAGCAAACGGGAGGAAGGAAGGAAGGAAGGAAGGAAGGAAGGAAGGAAGGAAGGAAGGAAGGAAGGAAGGGAGGGAGGGAGGGAGGGAGGGAGGGAGGGAGGAGGGAGGGATGAGAAAAGGAAGGAAGGCAATGGAAAGAAGGAAAAAGGGATATTATTTGCTCAAAAATGGAAAGCTACGGCTGTACCGAGTGGGGAAACATTAATTCAGAAAATCATGTATTGCGCAGAATTAGACAGGATAACTAAAAGATTTAAAAATCAGGATGAAACAGACTTTTATCAAATATGGGATAAATTTTATAGATGGTGGAAAAAAAATGGAGGTCATTGTAATGAGATAAGTCAAGATTGAGATTAGAATGATGTTACTGTAAAGAGATTTATTTGTAATTAATGTAAATATGGACTGAGATGTCTGTCAAATGTTGATTTACCATGTTCAATGTTCTTAATTCCTTTTTTATTCAATAAAATTATTTTTAAAAAGCAAAAAAGAAAAAGAAAGAAGGAAAAAGGAAAGGGAGATAGAAGATAATAATAGTTGATAGAAAGGCAGAGACAGATATATATCTATATATCTATACATATGTATAGCTATCTATATCTATCTATCTATCTATCTATCTATCTATCTATCTATCTATCCATCTATCCATCTACTTACCTACAGAGAGAGAGAGAGAGAGAGAGAAAGAGAGATATTCATCTTTGCAGCATTGCAGTTACTGACAATGCATGCAATAAAATAGGCCCTGGTTCAAAACACCATTATCAAGGCCTCTCCTGTCCCTTTTGGAATCAGTTCTCTAATTTAAATAGATCAGCCAAGAATGCATGACAATATTTCAATTTGCTGTCCCAGAAGCTGCAACAAATTAACCCCAAATCAGGTCATTCATCTAAATAAGTAGATGGACCCTGTTGCCACAAGAGGGAATCGCCTTTTGTTGGGCCAATTACAATGGTCCTAGACCAGTGGTTCTCAACCTGTGGGTCGTGACCCCATTTGGGGTCGAACGACCATTTCACAGGGGTCGCCAAACAACGCAGTCCGCCATTTTTCCCCCTTTTCCTTAGCTGTGCTACTCCCTTTTATTCTGTTGGCTTTTGAAAGCCAATAGAATAGACTCTCTTGAATAGAGTCTAATTCTATTGGCTTTCAAAAGCCAATAGGAATTGTCTAGGCTGTCTCTGCCCTGCTGAGCCGGCCAAAAGTCCCATTCTGCAAACGGTGCTGCACCAGTTGAGTAGTCCTCAACTTATGACTGGTTGAGTAGTCCTCGACTTACGACCGGTTGGGGGTCACGGCATTAAAAAGGTTGAGAACCACTGTCCTAGACCTAAGTCACAAAGCCAGGGACTGCATTTTCCAGAAATGTTAATTGGACTGGTGATTAAACTGGGAGAGGAAACAGATAGAAAAGAGGGTAATGTATTCAGACCATAAGATTTGCAAAAATGTTACTCACAGCCCAGGTAGTCCTCAACCACAGTGAAGCCCAAAATGTATGTCGCTAAGTGAGACACTTGTTAAGTGAGCTTTGCCCCAGTTTACAACCTTTCTTACCACCGTTGTTAAGTGAAACAATGCAATTGTTAAGATAGTAACCCGGCTGTTATGTGAATGTGGCTTCCAGCTTGTCAGAAGGTCAGGAAAGGGGTTCACATGACACCCCCCCCCCCGATGCTGCAACTGTCATCAATGTGACCCAGTCATCAAGCATCCGAATTTTGATCACGTGACCATGAGGATGCTGCAATGGTTATAAGTGTGAAAAAGAGTCATCATAACTCATTTTTTTTTGTATTAAATTAAGAGATGGAATATATGTGAAAATATTAGAATGATATTCTTGGAATTATATGTGTGTTGTAGAAGGGATACCCAAAATTTTATTAATAGGTTTCTTTAAGATTAATTGGAATATTTTAATTGAAATTAGTGGAGCTTAAAAGCAGGAGTGATTTTTGTAGATGTAATAGTAGGGATGATTCTGTGGATTGATTGAATTTTAAGAAGAAATATATTAAACTAAATTTGTTATATCATGTGAGGAAATAGAAGGGGGAATTTTTTTTTAAGGTATTAATTTTAGTTTTATATATATATGACTTGTTTTGCTATGATTGATTACCCTTTCACCACAGTGTTTTCCTGAGCACTTTGATGTAAAAATTTAAAAAACCAATAAAATGTGTATAAAAAAATAACTCATTTTTTTTCAGGGCTGTAACTTTGAACGGTCACTAAATGAACTATTGTAAATCGAGGTCTATCCATACAGGTTCATTTGCGCAAAGAGATTTGAACTCCTACCACTGATGGAGAATACTAAGCATGAGGATCAGGGATTCAGATTAGTATAGACCAGTTCCCTATAACAAGAAACGTGATTTCTATACATCTATAGCAGGGGGGGGGTCTTCAAACATGGCCACTTTAAGACTTGTGGACTTCAACTCCCAGAATTCCTCAGCCAGCCCCTGGCTGAGGAATTCTGGGAGTTGAAGTCCACAAGTCTTAAAGGGGCCAAGTTTGAAGACCCCTGATCTATAGACTATGCAAGAGAGACAATCAACCAGCCCCAAAGAGAAAAAGACCCCAGCACTTCTCCAGCTGTAATCCGCACTCAGATCATCATAGATTAAATCCAAGTTCACCTTCAGGCCAACAAGACCCCAATCAAGAAACTGCCAAAGAACCATTAGTAAACAGCCCAACTGAAGAATCTCTAAGACCACCACCACCACCACCACCCCCCCAGACAGGCAAGACACCAGAATATAAACTGACAGCAAACTGCATTCCTTACCAGCATGGATGATGTTACCTAGTTTGGGTGATGAAATGTCTGCAAGGAAACAGGCCAGGTCAGAGAGCACCAATGACCCCACATTATTTCTCCTCCTCCTCCTCCTCCTCCTCCTCCTCCTCCTCCTCCTCCTCCTCCTCCTCCCAGCTCCACATACCCCACTCCCTTCTAACTCTGGTGATGTTACTTAGTTGGGTAATGAAACGTCTGCAAGGAAACAGGCCAGGTCAGAGAGCACCAATGACCCCACTGTTTTCCTCCTCCTCCTCCTCCTCCTCCTCCTCCTCCTCCTCCTCCTCCTCCTCCTCCTCCCCATATCCCTCACTCCCTTCTAACACTGATGATGTTACCTAATTGGGTAATGAAACGTCTGCAGGAAAGCAACCAAGCTCAGAGAACACCAAGGACCTCACAGTCCTCCTCCTCCTCCTCCCCCTCCTCCCCCTCCTCCCCACTCCCTTCTAGCACTGATGATGTTACCTAGTTGGGTAATGAAACGTCTGCAAGAAAACAACCCAGCTCAGAGAGCACCCAGGACCCCTCATGTCAACCCTGAGCTACAAATATTCTCCTTCAAAGTGATTACTATTTAGCCTGGTTAGTAGGCCATGTCTGAAATGGTGAGTTTCTTCAAAACTGCCTCGTCTTCTTTCTATCTGATCTTGTTTTCTTCTCTTTTTCCATGTGGCTCACGCAGTACCAACAGAACTCATTGGCCAGGAAGTGAGGTAAGGAAACATCTTTCGGATCTGATCTGTATTCTGCTTGCTATTTCACCACACGATGGGTGCGATGATACTTGTCACGGTTGTTAAGCGAATCACTGCCGTCGCTAAACGAATCACGCGGCTCTTAAACAAATGCGGGTTTCCCTCACTGGGTTTGTTTTCAGGGCCCAGCTGGGGAAGCCACGAAGGGCGATCCGGCAACCCCAGGAAGCTGCAACTGTTGTAAATGTGTGCCCGTTGCCAAGAGCCTGAATTGTGGTCACGTGGCCGTGGGAACGCTGCAACGGTTGCCAGCGTGAGAACCGTTCAGTCATTTTATTCAATGGGGTTGTAACTTTGAACGGTCACTAAACGCCTAGTTGTAAGTTGAGGAGGAAGAACCTGCAGAGTCTGGACAAATCTGGAGGGTGCCAAGTTTCTATGCAGTTTTCTTGGCTCGGGGCTGTGGCTTGAGGTTCTTTACTATCCCTTTGAAGGGCCTTCTGTGACCACAGACACAGAACAACAGAACGGAAGGGACACTGGAGGTCTTCTAGTCCAGTGGTCCTCAACCTTTGGGGCACCAGGGACCGGTTCCGTGGAGAAAGGTTTTTCCACGGACCGGAAGGTGCGTGGTTTTGTGTGCTGCCTGCATCCCACGGACGGGGCTTTGCTTGTTTGTGCAGACCAGCTGCTGGCATGCCCCAGCCCACTACTGGTCCATGGACCAGGGCTTAGGGACTAGAAGACCTCTAAGGTCCCTTCCAACTGTTACTCTAAATCAGTGGTTCTCAACCTGTGGGTCGGGACCCCATTTGGGGTCGAATGACCATTTCACGGGGGTCGCCAAACAACGCAGTCCGCCATTTTTTCCCCTTTTCCTTAGCTGTGCTACTCCCTTTTATCCTATTGGCTTTTGAAAGCCAATAGAATAGACTCTCTTGAATAGAGTCTAATTCTATTTGCTTTCAAAAGCCAATCGGAATTGTCCAGCCTGTCTCTGCCCTGCTGAGCCCGCCAAAAGTCCCAGTCTGCAAACGGTGCTGCACCAGTTGAGTAGTCCTCGACTTACGACCGGTTGGGGGTCGCGGCATTAAAAAGGTTGAGAACCACTGCTCTAAATAATATTTCTGAGCACTTAATTCTCTCAGTGGTGCTAGTGTCTATTAAACCCATGTAGTGTGGATGTAGTATTATTCATCTGTATTATCTTCTATATTCTGCCTTTGGTTGGTATTATTTTGTTGGCTTTACTTGTTTGTGAGGACCGGTTTCTGACATGCTGCGGCCTGGTGACGGTCCACGGACCGGGGGTTGGGGGTCCCTGTTCTAGTCCATCCCTCTGGCTCAAGCAGGAGACCCTATAACTGTGGTGGCGAACCTATGGCACGGGTGCCAGAGGCGGCACTCAGAGCCCTTTCTGTGGGCACACGCACCATCGCCCCAGTCCTGGGCCTTCAGCTGGGTTTTATAAAAGCTTTTCGCTTTAGGCCTCCACCGCCATGTGCAAAAAAAAAAAAAAAAGGTTCAATCAATCAATCAATCAATTTCAACTTCTCGAGGGAAAAAAAAGATCTTGCAAAGTTGGAACTGATTGATTGAACTTTTTATTTTTTTTATAAAAAAAAATTTATTAATTTTTTTTTCATCAACATATGTTAATTTTTCCAATCAACGAGTTGTCTGGAGTTTGCTATGCTAATACATGTTCAATTCCTCGTTCTCTTCTCTAACCAAAAATAAAATAAATTCCAGATCTGATAGTAGTTTGTATCTTCTTTATCTTTCAACCTCATAGTTAATCTGTCCATCTCTGCACATTCCAATATTTTCCTGATTATTTCTTCCTCTGATGGCAGTCGTTCATTCTTCCAGTATTGTGCAAAAATTATTCTCGCTGCTGTAGTGATGTGTATAATTAAATACAGTTTCTGCTTATTAGTCTTTTCAGGCATAATGCCTAGTAAAAAAAGTTCAGGTTTAAAATCCACTTGTTCGCCCAATATTTTTTTCTAACCACATATGTATATTTTTCCAATAGGCCTTTGCCTTACCACATGTCCACCAAATACGTGCCTATGTTATGTTTACATTTCCAACATCTATCTGATATATTTTTAAACATTTTTGCTAATCTTGCTGGTGGAAGGTGCCATCTATAAAACATTTTATACAGATTTTCTTTGTATGAAGTTGACATTGTTAATTTATAGTTTCTCTCCCATAACATTTGCCATTTTTCTAATTCTATATTATAACCAATTTTTTTTGCCCATCTTATCATAGTTTCTTTCACTTGTTGATTGAACTTTTTAGTCCCACCCAGTCTGCTGTTACCACTGCAGCCACGCCCACCCAATGGGCCACATGCATCCAATGGGCCATGCCCAGCTGGCACCAGAAGATACATAAGTGGGTTTTGGATTGCAGTTTGGGCACTCGGTCTCTAAAAGGTTCGCCATCACTGCCCTATAACATTTCAGACAAATGGCTGTCCAGTCTCTTCTTAAAAACTTCCAGTGATGGAGGACCCACAACTTCTGGAGGCAAGCTGTTCCACTGGTGAATTGTCCTCACAGTTAGGAAATTTCTCTTTGGTTTTAGGTTGCTTCTCTCCCTATTGAGTTTCCATCTGTTGTTTCTTATCTTGCCTTCTGGTGCTTTGGAAAATAGGTTGACCTCTTCCAAATTTGATAAAGATAGACCGACTTTTTTGCAAAGTAGGGCAGACTTTTAGAAGTGGCACCTGGCAACGGAGGTGACTCCATCTGCTTGACTGCTTCCAGTTCCTACCCTCTCCTCCGTACCCCGCTGCGTTTACAAGTGTAGCCACTGCCAATTTCTTGGCATCCTTGGAACGCAGGTGGCCCTCCCCTTCTTGTAAATTGTTAATGTCTTTCTCCATCGCCTCCTCTGCTTTTGTCACGGGCACAGCCTGGGCTTCAATTAGTCGATTAATTGTCCAGCTAATCAGGCAGTTAAGGGACAGCTGCAGGGATGGGATGGCTGTGTGCAACCGGGCTGCCCCTGAAATATGTGTTTGGCGGCAATGGCCACCTCTGCTGATGTGCTCGACAATAAAACAGGCAAGTTGTGCGCCTGGCACTCCGTAATCTGCATAACAGCCTGTTCTTGGAGTAGAAACGCCATAGGAAGTTGGACCTGCATAGCTTCCCATTGTTCGTTGAGGCATGGGGTTTTCTAACAAGGAAGGGACAGGAAATAACCCCAAGGGCACACCCCTCACGAATCCTGAGCACTTGGGGTGTATTCAGGATGATTTGGTGGATTGTTAAATTAACCAGTGGAACTACTTGCCTCCAGACATTGTGGGTGCTTCATCACTGGAGGTTTTTAAGAAAAGACTGGACAGCCACTTGTCTGCAATGGTATAGGGTCTCCCGATAGAGCAGGGGGTTGGACTAGAAGACCTTCAAGGTCCCTTCCAGCTCTATTTTGATGGATGGGGGGATGGAAGGAGGGATGGAGGGATGGATGGAAATCTGTAATTTAGATATTACAGGTAGGTCTCAACTTACAATCATTTGTTTAGAGGAAGGAAGGAAGGAAGGAAGGAAGGAAGGAAGGAAGGAAGGAAGGAAGGAAGGAAGGAAGGAAGGAAGGTTTTTATGAGGGAGGGAGGGAGGAATTAAGATTTTTATGAGGAAGGGATGAAGGGAGAGAGAAAGGAAGGAAGGAAGGAAATGGAAGGGAGGGAGGGAGGGAGGGAGGAGGGAGGGAAGGAAGAAAGAAGGAAGGAAGGAAGGAAGGAAGGAAGGAAGGAAGGAAGGAAGGAAGGAAGGAAGGAAGGAAGGAAGGTTTTTATGAGGGAGGGAGAGAGGAATTAAGATTTTTATGAGGGAGGGAGGGAGGGAGGGAGGGAGGAAGGAAGGAAGGAAGGAAGGAAGGAAGGAAGGAAGGACTTTTATGAGGAGGGAGAGAGGGAGAAAGGAAGGAAATGGAAGGGAGGGAGGGAAGAAGGAAGGAAAGAAGGAAGGAAGGAAGGGAATTTTTTATGAGGAGGGAGGGAGGGAGGAAGGAAGGAAGGAAGGAAGGAAGGAAGAAAGGAAGGAAGGAAGGTTTTCATGAGGGAGGGAGAGAGGAATTAAGATTTTTATGAGGGAGGGAGGGAGGGAGGAAGGAAGGAAGGAAGGAAGGAAGGAAGGAAGGAAGGAAGGAAGGAAGGAAGGAAGGAAGGAAATGGGAGGTAAGAGGGAGAGAGGGAGGGAGGGAGGGAGGGAGGGAAGGAGGAAGGAAGGAGTTCCAAATTACAATACCTCTAAAAAAAGTGACTGACGATTTTTCACACTTGCAATCATTGCAGCATCCCATGGTCATGCAATCAAAATTCAAATGCTCGGCAACTGGCATGTACTTATGACAGTTGCAGTCTCCCAGGGTCACGTGATCCTCTTCCGCAACCTTCTGACAAGCAAAGTCAATGGGGAGGAGCTGGATTCCCTTAAGAACCTTAAGTTGCTAGCTTAAGAACTTCAGCGATTCACTTAATAACTGTGGCAAGAAACGTTGCAAAAGGAGACCGAAACTCACTTAACAATTTGTTGTGCTTAGCAACCTAAATTTCGGGCTCAGTTTTGGTTGTAAGTCGAGGATCACCTGTTGCCAAATACTGAGTGGTTGGGATGTTGTGCTTTCATTTGGCACTCCTTCCCCCATGGCCTCCTCTGGAAAACAGGTAATCCTCAATTTACGACCATAATTTAGATCACGGCTCCGCAACGCTTCCGTTGTTAAGCCAGGTGGTTGTTAAGCAAGTCGCCCCAATTTTATGAACTTTTTTTTCCCCACAGTTGTTAAGAGAATCTAGCGGTCATTAAGCGAATCCAGGTTCCCCCATTGATTTTGCGTGTGAGAAGACGCCTGGGAAGGTCGCCCAGGGTGATCATGTGATCAATTGTCAAAAAATGCATGCTGGTTGGCAAGCCCCCCCCCCGAATATTGATCATGTGACTAAGGGAAAGCCACAGCGGTCGTAAGCGCGAGGACTGCCTGTATAGGTAGTACTCGACTTTATGGCCAGAATTGAGATCGGAACTTCCGTTGTCAGTTGTTGCAGTTGTAAGTCAGATTGAACCCTTTTTGTGACCGTTTTTGCAGCCGTCGTTCTGCGAATTCAACTTTCCCGGGAATTGGCAAATGAGGTTACAAATCTTGATCCCATAACCGCAGGGTGCTGCAGCCAATCCTAAATGCGAAGCGGGTGGCAAATTGTGATCACGCAATCACGGAGATCTGTACGACAGTTGTCAGTGCGAGTTTCCTGAGGCTGTCGTTAACTTCAAACTTCAAAAACCAGTCATAAGTTGAGGACTACCTGTAGGGTGATGATGTCACAGCTATGACTATGAGATCACTTGACTATGAGCCAGCCGTGTGCAGCAGTAGCCAAAAAAGCTAATGCAATCCTGGGTTGTATAAAAAGAGGCATTGAAGATCACACGAAGGTATTAGTACCACTTTACAATGCCCTAGTGCAGGGGTTGGCTGGCTCAGGAATTCTGGGAGTTGAAGTCCAGAAGTCATAAAAGAGCCAAGGTTGCCTACCCCTGCCCTAGTGAGACCACACCTGGAATATTGGAGCCAATTTTGGTCACCCTATCACAAAAAAGATGTTGAGAGTTTGGAAAAAATTCAGAGAAGAGCAACTAAGATGATCCAAGACCTGGAGACTAAAACATATGAAGAACATCTGCGGGTCTTGGGTTTGGCTAGTTTAAAGAAAAGAAGAAACAGGGGAGACATGATAGCAGCGTTCCAGTATTTGAGGGGCTGCCACAAAGAAGAGAGGGTCCAATTATTCTCCAAAGCACCAGAGGGAAGGACGAGAAACAATGGTTGAAAACTGATCAAAGTGAGAAACAACCTGGATTTAAGGAGAAACTTCCTGACAGTGAGGACAATTAACCAGTGGAACAGCTTGCCACCAGAAATCGTGCGTGCTCCATCACTGGAGATTTTAAAGAGGAGACTGGACATTCACCTGTCTGAGATGGTATAGGTTCTCTTGCTTGAGCAGGGGGCTGGACTAGAAGACCTCCAAGGTCCCTTCCCTATTCTATTATTCTGTGATTGCAGAAATCCATTCCCCCCTAAAAAATCAGAAGTTAAGCCAAGAATGCAATTTGTTCCTCGTTGTCTGAAAGACGTAGGAATGATGAACAGAAGGTCCATGTGATTGAGGGCGGACATCTCTCTGTGTATGTTTGTGTGTGTGTGTGTGTGTGTGTGTGTGAGAGAGAGAGAGAGAGAGAGAGAGAGACAGAGACAGAGACAGAGACAGAGACAGAGAGAGGCAGACAGACAGACAGAGAGAGAAGACAGACAGAGAGAGAGAGAGAGAGAAACTATAACACAGAAATAAAATAAAATTCCCCATCCCTACCCAGCTAAGTATGGGAATTGCCTGCTTTTAAAAGGCCTCCTCTTACATATGCAAATCTTTAATTAAACACACTCATAAAACTATAATGAGCCCTTCATTTAATTAAATGGGGTGACTCATTTCATTAATTTTTAGCAAATCACAAAGCCGTTTTCCTTCCGTCCTTTGAATTCAAAAGCAGCAAGAGGAAAGGTCCAAAGGGGAATTGATTCTAAAAATGCTTTAGATGTCTCTCTACTTTTAGAGGCCCCATGTTGTCTTCAACGGGTTGTCCATCGTGCATGTCCAGGTAGTCCTCAACTTACAACCACCATTGAGCCCCAAATTTCTGCGCCTAAGCAAGACGGTGATTGAGCTTGACCCCATTTTACGACCTTTCTTGGCACACTTGTTAAGTCAATCACTGCAGCTCTTCAGTTAGTAACACGGTTGTTAAGTGAATCGGCTTTGCTTGTCACAAGGTCGCAAAAGGGGATCGCTAAGAAGAGCCGTGGTGGCACAGTGGTTGCAATGCGGTACTGCAGGCGACCTCTGCTGACTGCCAGCTGCCAGCAGTTTGGCAGTTCGATCCTGACCGGCTCACGGTTGACTCAGCCTTCCGTCATTCCGAGGTCGGTAAAATGAGGACCCAGATTGTTGGGGGCAACAGGCTGATTCTGTAAACCACTTAGAGAGGGCTATGAAGCACTATGAAGTGGTATATAAGTCTAAGTCAGTGGTTCTCAACCTGTGGGTCGGGACCTCATTTGGGGTCGATTGACCATTTCACAGGGGTCGCCAAACAAGGCTGTCCGCCATTTCCCCCCCCTTTTCTTTGGCCACGCCCCTGGCACCTGGTGATGTATAAGTGGTTGGGGGTCACCACAACATGGGGAACTGTATTATGGGGTTGCGGCATTAGAAAGGTTGAGAACCACTGGTCTAAGTGTTATTGATATTGATATTCCATTCCATTCCATTGGTGGTGCAGTGGTTAGAATGCAGTATTGCAGGCTAACTCTGCCAACTGCCAGGAGTTCGATCTTGACCAGCTCAAGGTTGACTCAGCCTTCTATCCTTCCGAGGTCGATAAAATGAGGACCCAGATTGTTGGGGGCAAGAGGCTGACTCTGTAAACCCCTCAGAGAGGGTTGTAAAGCACTGTGAAGCAGTATATAAGTCTAGAATGCTATTGCTATTGCTATCTGAATTGTGATCACACCACCGTGGGGAATGCTGCAACGGTTGTAAGTGTGAAAAACGGTCATAATTCAGTGCCGTTGTAATTTTGAATGGTCACTAAAGAGTTGTAAGTCGAGGACAACCTGTAGTTGAGTTGAGTTGATTTCTCCCTCTCTCTCCCGACTTCCACATTTGGAAATTATACCTGCTTTTATTTCTGGCTTGTGTCACCCTCTTCACACAGCTGTCCAACTCCTGGATGCAACGGATCAGGACATATTCGCGGAAAGTACGCGAGACACAGGAGGTGAGTTTTCTTGTCCGCTGGAAGCTCTAATTCCATCTTCCCCACCGTCACCTTCATTGGATTCAGACGTTTCAGCAAGGAAGCTCAGCTCACCAAACCATCTTCTGAAACGGTGGCCAATTTTCCTGGGGAAATATCTGTCCCTTTCAAGAGCATTTAAAGCACCACCGTTCTGGCCAACACAAGCTTATTATCAGTCAGGTGGGCATAGTGGTTAAGGGGCTGGTCTAGAAACCAGGAGACTGTGAGTTCTAGTCCTGCTTTAGGCATATAAGTCAGCTTGGTGACTATGGGCCAATCATCAGGAGACTGATTTCTAGTCCCACCTTAGGCGTGAAAGTCAGTTTGAAGACTGTGGGCCAATCACCAGGTGACGTGAGTTCTAGTTCCGCCTTAGGTGTGTAAGTCAGCTTGGTGATTTTGGGCCAATCACCAGGAGATAGTGAGTTCTAGTCCTGCCTTAGGCATGTAAGTCAGCTTGGTGACTTAGTTTAGGCCAATCATCAGGAGACAGTGAGTTCTTGTCCCACCTTAGGCGTGAAAGTCAGCTTGGTGACTTTGGGCCAATCATCAGGAGACTGAGAGTTCTAGTCCCACCTTAGGCGTGAAAGTCAGTTTGATGACTTTCTGATTCTCTCTCTTCCCCTTATTCTTTCTCTTTTCTTTCTCTTTCTATCGCTCTTCCTCTTCCTTTCTCTCCCACTTTTTGTTTCTCTTTCTCTTCTTTCTGTTTGTTTCTTTTTCTCTTTTTCTTTCTTTCTCTTCCACTCTTTCTTTCTGTTTATCTCTCTCTCTTCCTTCCTCTCCCACTTTCTTTCTCTTCTTTCTGTTTTTTCTCTTTCTCTCTTTCTATTCCTTTCTATTTCTTTTTTTCTCTCTCTTCCCCTTATTCACTTTTCTCTTTTTCTCTCCCACTTTTTGTTTGTTTCTATTTCTGTTTCTCTTTCTCTCTCTCTTCCTCTTCCTTTCTCTCCCACTTTTTGTTTCTTTTTCTTCTTTGTTTCTTTTTCTTTCTTTCTGTTTCTGTTTATCTCTCTCTTCCTCTTCCTTCCTCTCCCACTTTCTTTATTCTTTGTTTTTTCTCTCTCTTTCTCTCCTTCTATTCCTCTCTTTCTGTTTGTCTCTTTCTCTTCCTCTCTCTTTCTGTTTCCCTTCCTCTTTCTTTCCCTTATTCTTCCTCTTTCTCTCTCTCTCTCTTCCTCTTCTCTCTTCTCTTTGTCTTCCTCCTAGTTTACAAAGCTGCCCGCTGGCGAAGAAGAGGAAACTTCAGTACGTAGAAGCAGAACATCTGGGTGCCAAGAGAAAATCTCATCCCTTGAAGCTCAGCCTTGACGAAGACTATAATGTCGACAGTGATGCGAGCGAAGAGGCCGAAGCCAAGCTGGACTCTGTGACAGACGATTCAGAAGGGACCCTGGAGGAGGAGGAGGACGACGAGGAGGAGGAGGACGACGACGAAGGAGAAGCCCTCGCACAAAAGGAGGGGTCCAGCAGCCCTCCCCCGGAAGAAGGTGTGGGGTTGTTTCTGATAATGCCAACAATGTACAGGTGGACTTATGACCAGAATTGGGACGAGAATTTCCATTGATTAGTAAGGTGGTCGTTAAGTGAGTCATGGGACCAGAATTTCCATTGCTAAGGGAAGCAGTGGTTAAGTGACCTGTGCCTCATTTTTTGACCTTAACAACAGTTATTAAATGAATCGTTGCAGTTGTAAAAGTGACTCTATCAGAGCGTGCACAGTCTTATTGCACTGAGATAACCCAGGAGTAAACACACTAAACAGTTGTTTGTATTAAAGGGTGGTTTATCTTACACTATCTACAATAGCATACACCAGGAGCAATATACGTACACGTACTAATACAGCAAGATCCAACAAACCACAATTATAGCAGGAAACGGAAGAGAGAGAATGCATCAGCGGAGTCTTCCCTTTATACAAAGGCTCTTAAAGAGACGCAGACCCTGCTGAGTCATTTCCATCATTACATCTTACATAAGCTGGTTAGCTGTTAAATCAATACCTTGACAAAATCGCCCAGTTATTAAGCAAAGCCCACTTCCCCTATTGATATGGCTTGTCAGAAGCTGGTCAAGAAGGTTTCAAATGGGGAATCGCATGACTCCAGGACAGTGGACGTTCATAAAAACGTGCTGGTGGCCAAGCGCCTGAATTTTGATCCCATGACTGTGGGGAATGCTGCAACGGTCATGAGGAGTGTGAGGACCAGTCATAAGCCACTTTTTTCAGTGTCATTCTAACCTCAAATGGTCACTAAACGAAGGGTTGTTGAGTTCAAGCAGCAAAGGTTGGGGACCATTGCTCTGAAGAATATATCCATAAGTTGTTCACTCAGAAAATTAAGAAAGGAGCTACATTTTGAGGGGTCCTTAGTGCCCTCGGAGCTGGGCTGTTTTCTTGCAGACATTTCATGAACCAACTACGTAACATCATCAGTGCTAGTAAGGAATGGGCTTTGCTTTCAATTTATATTCTAGCAGATTGTGCCATCGCTGTTGGCGGGAGTGGTCTTGGAGGTTCTTTAGCTGAGCTCCTAGACCACTCCCACCAACACTGATAGGGCAAGCTACTAGAATATAAAACAAGAGCAAGCCCTACTCCCTTCTAGCCCTGATGATGTTACCTAGCTGGATCATGAAACGTCTGCAAGAAAACCACCAACCTCAGGGTGCACTTAGGACACTCCAGTATCTCCCTCGACTTGCAGTGCAAAAGCCTCAGACACCCCATAACAAAGTAGAGACATTTCCCCACCACCACCACCAGTTGGCTACCACAATTTTGAAGGAATTCTCTTTCCAATCCAGGCCAAAGAACAGAAGGAACTCTCTTGTCTGAACGGAAAGTGTCAGAAAGTGAAGGCGAAGTCTCCAGCAGCGGGGGAAACACCATGCATCTGCTCTGTGAAGGAGCAACGGAAGAAGAAGAGGAGGAGGAGGAGGAGGAAGAGGAGGAGGAGGAAGAAGAAGAAGAAGCAGTGGAGGAGGAATGTGAGAAGGAGATCGTCATCCACCCAGAAGATGCAGAAGAAGTCATTGAGGTCACCAGTGAGCGTAGCAGTGATTTGTACCTGGAACATCAGGAGGATGAGGGGAGTTGTGAGGACTCATGCAAACTGCAAAAGGAGGAAGAGGAGGAGGAAGAGGAGGATGACGAAGAAGAAGAAGAAGACCATGAAGCAGAAGAGGAGGAGGAGGAGGAAGAAGAAGAAGAAGAATACGAAGAGGAGGAAGAAGAAGAGGAAGGGGAAGCGATGGCCGAGGTAATCTGTCCAGAAGCTCCTCACATTTCTCAGGATAGCCCCCAAGCCCACTGTGAAAGACCGACGGTCAACCCCAAGCCGGAATATTCTGTCATTGTGGAGGTGAGGTCAGACGACGAAAAGGACGACGATTCCCACTCCCAAAAGTCCACGGTGACCGATGAATCCGAGATGTATGACATGATGACGCGGGGAAATCTGGGCCTGTTGGAGCAGGCCATCGCCCTGAAAGCTGAACAGGTCAAGGTGGTGAGGGAGCCCGGCCAGCAGGTGACCAGAGAGCACGCGAAACGTTTCCAAGTGGAGGAAAAGCAGAACAAGACCTTGGACTCCATCAGGAAGAACTATTACAGCAAAGGTAAGGAGAGGTGGCTCGGCACAAGGCCTCAGGGGTTAAAGACGCTGAGGTTGTCAGCACAACAAGATAGGGTGAGCTCTGGTTCTTGCCTCAGCTCCTGTGCACCTAGCAGTGCTAGAAAGCGTGCAAATGTCTATGGAGATTGTCAGTCATCCAGGTCATCGTTGTACCAAAGATGCTTTTTCAGGAGGCAACTGGACTTTCTTGTTTTTCTTTGAAGACATTTTGCTTCTCATCCAAGAAGCTTCTTCAGCTCTGACTCGCCATCTATTTCAAAACTGAACGGCCCTCTCTCAACAGAGGGGGAGGGAGATGACACCATCTATCTCGAGTCTACACCTTCCTTTCAGCAGTTCCAAGAAGTCTCCACACCCATTTGCACCACTCAGGTGACCCTGAGGACACAGATCCAGGTGGCCTCAACAACTCTCTAAAACAGTGGCTCTCAACCTGTGGGTTGGGACCCCATTTGGGGTCGAACAACCATTTCACGGGGGTCGCCAAACAAGGCTGTCCGCCATTTTTCCCCCCTTTTCTTTGGCCATGCCCCTGGCACCCGGTGATGTATAAGTGGTTGGGGGTCACCACAACATGGGGAACTATATTATGGGGCCGCGGCATTAGAAAGATTGAGAACCACTGCTCTAAAAGGATGCAAATGACCGGCTGTCTGCAAGGAGTATAAATCCTTCCATTCCTCACCATCCAGTCAGAGCTGAAGAAGCTTCTTGGATGGGAAGCGAAACATCTTCAAAGGAAAACAAGGAAGTCCAGTTGCCTCGTGAAGGAAATCACGCGATCCCGTCATAGATATGAAACCAGTTGCGAAACATCTGAATTTTGATCATGTGATCCTGGGGACGCTGCTACAGTTGTAAATGTGAAAACTGGTCCTAAGTCGCTTTTTTGGGTCCTGTTGTAACTTCGAAGGGCCACTAAATGAACTGTTGTAAATTGAGGGCTAACTGTAACCTCCCAGTGTGGCAGTTACCTTTGGCAAAAGCTGGTTTTAAGAAAGGAGTGGACCGTGAACATAGCTCTAAAGACAGATGTCGGGTTCAACACCGGGCTTCCGATAAGGAGTAAGTCTCCAGAGGGAGCTTCTTACTTATTCTACAGGTAGTCCTTGACTTATGGCCCCAATGGAGCCGAAAATTTATGTTGCTAAGCGAAACATTGGTTAAGTGAGTTTTGCCCTGTCTTACGACTTTTCTTGCCACCGTTGTTAAATGAATCGTTGCAGTTGTTAAGTTAGTGACATAGTTGTTAAGTGAAACTGGCTTCCCCCTTGAATTTGCTCGTCAGAAGGTCGCAAAAGGGGATCTCAAGACACCCCCCCCAGACATTGCAACCGTCACAAAAAGGAACTAATCGCCAGGTGTCTGAATTTTGAGTACTCGACCCTGGGGACGCTGCAACGGCCATGCAAAAAACGGTCCTAAGTCACTTTTTTCACTGCTGTGGCAACCTTGGAACGGTCACTAAATGATGTGTTGTAAGTCAAGGACTGCCTGAACCTGGTTTCCCAGAGTAGCTTTGCTGATCCCTGTCGGAGACGGAACCTGGAATTAAACAGACATTTGAGTTAATAAACCGCGGCAACTTCTGCCGTTTTGATGACTGCAGGGTTGCAGTTCAGTCGGATGAACTGGGCGCGTTTATAGAGCTTTGAAGGGACGTTTCACTTCCACGCTGCCGGGTGCAGAGCTGCTTTGAGCACAAAAGGGAAGGAAATGCTCCTTGAAGAAAAGAGGAAACGGCTTGGGTGGCTTCACTTTGCACGACTTCTTGGGAGATGTTTGAGAAGCGGGAAAGGCTTCGGGAAGAGGAGGAAGCCATGATGAAAAGTCTCCCATCCAGGCCATTTGTATCCTCGCTGACATCTTGATGAGGCAAATAAGGTGATTTCCACCCCGCTGTGTGTCCTGCTGAGGCAAAACATTGTTCCCTTGGGAAGGCTAGCAGGTGATCAGAATGTTGATCTGATCTGTATAGGAACACTTTCTTTCTTTCTTTCTTTCTTTCTTTCTTTCTTTCTTTCTTTCTTTCTTTCTTTCTTTCTTTCTTTCCTTTCTCTTCCTTCCTTCCTTCCTTCCTTTCTCTCTTTCTTTCTTCCTTCCTTTCTCTCTCTCTTTCTTTCTTTCACTCTCTTTCTTTCTCTTCCTTCCTTTCCTTTCTTTCTCTCTTCTTTTCTTCCTTCCTTCCTTTCTTTCTTCCTTCCTTCTTCCTTCCTTCCTTCCTTTCTTTATTTTTCTTTCTCTCTTTTCCTTCCTTCCTTCCTTTCTCTCTCTCTTTCTTTCTTTCTCACTCTCTCTCTATTTCTTTCTTTCTCTTCCTTCCTTTCTTTCTTCCTTCCTTCCTTCCTTTCTTTATTTTTCTTTCTCTCTCTTCCTTCCTTCCTTTCTCTCTCTCTCTCTCTTTCTCCCTCTCCCTCTCTTTCTTTCTCACTCTCTCTCTATTACTTTCTTTCTCTTCCTTCCTTTCCTTTCTTTCTCTTTCTTTCTTTTTTCTTTTTTCTTTCTCTTCCTTCCTTCCTTTCTTCCTTTCCTCTCTCTCTCTCTCTCTCCCCCTTCCTTCCTTCCTTCCTTCATTTATATCCCACTTTTATTATTTTTACAAATAACTCAAGGCAGGCAAACATATCCAACACACCTTCCTCCTCCCCACAACTATAAGCCTGTGAGGTGGGTTGGATTGACAGAGAGGGACTGGCCCAAAGTCACCTAGCTGGCTACGGCGGGACTAGAGCTCACTGCCTCCTGGTGAAGGGCCTAAACTAGTCACCAAGCCACCTTCATGCCTAAGGTGGGACTAGAACTCTTCTTCCTGTAATATTCTCCTTTTGTCTACATTAAACAAATATAATTCTTAATATTTTCAATACAAACCAAGTTGAATATAAACATTTTTAGTATTTATGCATATAATAATAACATCAACATATAACATGTTTTGTAATCAGCTTATTTCCGTTGTATTTATAAAAATCATCTTATTAAATCGTTATAGGTCCTGTTTTCAAGATTCTTATTGAAGCCCAGTTTCCCCTCACCAACCAAATTTTATTGTAAGCTCGTTTGTGCACCGTCTTCATTCGTTTTCTAGATTCTTCAAGACCCGAAAAGCGTGAAATCAAATGTCCTACTCCAGGCTGTGATGGCACTGGCCACGTCACAGGACTCTATCCCCACCATCGTAGTTTGTCTGGTTGCCCGCACAAAGACAGGATCCCTCCTGAGAGTAAGTGCATCTTAAAATTCACTACATTGCTGTATCAGTTAGGACAGTGGTAGGCAACCTTGGCGCTTTTATGACTCCTGGACTTCAACTCCCAGAATTCCTGAGCCAGCCACGCTGAGGGAAAAGGGAGAGGTTTCCAAGCTGAGCCATGCTGGCTCAGGAATTCTGGGAGTTGAAGTCCACAAGTCATGAGGGGGCCATAGTTTCGCCATGCTGACTCAGGAATTTTGGGAGTTGAAGTCCACGAGTCATGAAGGGGCCATAGTTCCCCCATGCTGGCTCAGGAATTCTGGGAGTTGAAGTCCACAAATCATAAAAGAGCCAAGGTTGCCTACCCCTGAGTTAGGACAATTCTTATAAAACAGCTGATGTACGATCATTCATGTAGTGGCCAAGTACTTTTGCCACAGTTGTTAAGCGAATCACTGCAGTCCTTAACTGAATGACACGTCGTTAAGTGGATCTACTTCCCCTATTGACTTTACTTGTTGAAAGCCAGTTGGGAAGGCCACAAAAAGAGATCACATCACCCTGGGACACTGCAAATGTTATAAGTAACATATTTCCCTGAAAATAAGACGGGGTCTTATATTAATCTTTGCTCCAAAATATGCATTAGGGCTTATTTTCTAGTTAGGGCTTATATTTGGGGAAATATGGTATTAAATGCATCCGTGTGGTTGACAATCTTAACGGGTTTATTTTTGGGATAGGGCTTATATTACGAGCATCCTGAAAAATCACGCTAGGGCTTATTTTCCCGGTTAAGTCTTATTTTCGGGAAAACATTGTACATGCCGATTGTCAAGCATCTGAATTCTGGTCATGTGACTGTGGGGACTGCCACAATGGTCATAAGCGCAAGGACCAGCTGTGAGTCACTTTTTCCAGTGTAAGCGGAGGAGCCCTTGTAATTTTCTTTTCTTTCCTCAAAGAAGACTGTGAAATTAAAATATGTACCGGCAGTCCTCAATGTATGCCACAGGTGAGCGCAAAATTTCTGTTGCTCAGCAAGGCAATGAATTTTGCCCCATTTTATGACCTTTTGGGCCACAAATGTTAAGGGAATCAGTGTAGTTGCTAAGTTAGTAACGGGAATCTGGCTTCCCCATTGACTTTGCTCATCAGAAGTTTGCAAAAGATGATCACATGACCCCCGGGAGATGCCAACTGTCATAATCCATCACATGCCAGTTGCCAAGCATCCAAATTTTGATCATGTGACCATGAGGATGCGGCAATGGTCATAAAGTATGAAAAATATAAGTCACTTTTTTCAGTGCTAGTGTAATTTCGAATGGTCACTAAATTAATGGTTGTAAGTAGAGGATTACCTACACTAGTTGGATATAATGTGAGTCTAGGCCAGGGGCAGGCAACCCTTGGCTCTTTTATGACTCATGGACTTCAACTCCCAGAATTCCTGAGCCAGCATGGCTCAGCTTGGAAACTTCTCCCTTTCTCCTCAGCATGGCTAGCTCAGGAATTCTGGGAGTTGAAGTCCACAAAAGAGCCAAGGTTGCCTATCCCTGCCCTATATCGGGGTCCTCAACCTTGGCTCTTTTATGACTTGTGGACTTCAACTCCCAGAATTCCTGAGCTAGCATGGCTCAGCTTGGAAACCTCCCTTTTCCCTTCCTCATGAAGCAGGAGGAAAACAGAGACTGATTACGGAGCTCAGATGAAGAATCCTCTAGCAAAAACATCTGTGGTATCCTAATATATTTATTTTATTTATTATTTTAATTTATTACAGCTCCGCTGGGATAAATCAGCAACTTTATCTGCATTGGTGGCCATATAATGCAGTAAAAAAGAAAGAAAAGAAAAAAGAAAAGTAATTTTGTTCTTTTTTCTCAGCATGTTTGGAGAAAAAATTGAATAGGCCAGTGCTGAGCGGTTTTAAATTTTAATAAGACAATGTGATGCAGGAGAGTTTCATTTATTTTTTCCCCAAAGGGGAAATATTTGCTATTTCTGACTCTAGAATAATTTCTTTTATAATCCTCTCTCAAGAAAGAAGGTGTGAGCTTATGAAAAATAACAATAAAAAAACCCAATCTTGTCTTATCAGTTCATTTCAAAGGCTGAAGACCGCCCCCCCCCAAAAAAATAAACCCCTAAGAGAAAGGAACATTGATCATTTATTTCCTCCTGGGTAAATGAAAAACAAAAATAAGTGCAAGTGCTGTTCTTCTGAAAGATATTTTTCTTTACTTTCAAGGTTATCTTCATAAAAGGCAATGAGGTTAAAATATATATGTTTGTTTTAAAGAATTAGAGGTTTGAGAAATATACATGGAAACCCAATCCCTTAAAACAAAGAACATATCTGACTTCACTGCAGGAAGCAGACTGGATGACCTGTTAGTCTGCCTGTCTATCATCTTATTTAGCTATGTCTCTCATCTATCTCATCTATATAATCTATCTATCTATCTATCTATCTATCTATCTATCTATCTATCTATCTATCCATCCATCCATCTATCTATCCATCTATCTATCTATCCTTTTTATCATCTATCTCATCTATCTGTCTGTCTATCTATCCTCACCTATCTACGTCTCTTATCTATCTCATCTATCTATCTATCTATCTATCTATCTATCTATATCTATCTATCTATCTATCTATCTATCTCTGTCTGTCTATCTATCTATCTATCTATCTATCTATCTATCTATCTATCTATCTCTATCATCTCTTCTATGTCTCTATCTCATCTATCTTTTTAACATCTATACCTGTCTGCCTATCTATCATCTCATCTATCTATGTCTCTCATATCTTATCTATCCTTTTATCATCTATCATCTACCTCATCTATCTGTCTATTTGTTGGTCTATCTGACTATCTATCTACCATCTCATCTATCTATGTCTCTCATCTATCTCATCTATCTTTCTATCTATCTCTCTATCTATATCTATCTATCTATCTATCTATCTATCATCTCATCCATTTATGTCTCTCATCTATCTCATCTATCTGTCTGTCTGTCTATCATCTCACCTATCTATGTCTCTTATCTATCTCATCTATCTATATCTATCTATCTATATCTATCTGTCTGTCTGTCTGTCTGTCTATCTACCTCTATCATCTCTTCTATGTATCTCATCTATCTTTTTAACATCTATATCTGTCTGCCTATATCATCTATCTATGTCTCTCATATCTTATCTATCCTTTTATCATCTATCATCTACCTCATCTATCTGTCTATTTGTTGGTCTATCTGACTATCTATCTACTATCTCATCTATCTATGTCTCTCATCTATCTATCTATCTATCTATCTATCTATCTGTCTGTCTATCTATCTGTCTATCTATCTATCATCTCATCCATTTATGTCTCTCATCTATCTCATCTATCTTTTTATCAACTAGTCTAAAGAAAAGAAGAAATAGGGGGGGACATGATAGCAGTATTCCAGTATTTGAGGGGCTGCCACAAAGAAGAGGTGGTCAAATTATTCTCCAAGGCACCAGAGGGCAGGACAAGAAGCAACAATTGGAAACTGATCAAAGAGAGAAGCAACCTGAAATTAAGGCAAAACTTCCTGATAGTGAGGACAGTTAACCAGTGAAACAACCTGCCTCCACAAATTGTGGGTGCTCCATCACTGGAGATTTTTAAGAAGAGGCTAGACAGCCACTTGTCTGAGATGGTATAGGTTCTCCTGCTTGAGGAGAGGACTGGACTAGAAGACCTCCAAGGTCCCTTCTAGCTCTATTCTATTCTATCTATCTATCAAAAAAAGTCAAGGAAACAATCAGTCCACTAAAGAGAGAAGATGGCAAGGAAGCAACCGGCAGCAGAGTGAAAGCAGAGTTGTTTAACTTGTTCTTTGCATCAGTCTTTGCGCAAAAAGAAACTGTAGCCCAACCTACCAAAAATATAACTGTAAAAGAATCGGGGAACTATCAGAGGACTGGAAAAGAGCTGATGTGATCCCATCTTCAAAAATGGGGAAAAAACCAGACCCAGGAAACTATAGACCAATCAGCCTAACACTGGGAAGATGTTGGAAAATATAATCAAAAAACAGATCTGTGAACATCTAGAAACAAATAAAATCGTAACTAGTAGCCAGAATGGGTTTGTTAGACAGCTATATGTCTGAAATGCTTGAGCAGAGGGGTGGGACTAGAAGACCTCCAAGGTCCCTTCCAAGTCTGTTTCTTCTCCTTTTATTATTATTATTGCTTTCTCACTTTTCTCCTTATTTCCTTTTTAATTCTCAAGTTCTGGCCAGGCACGAGAATGTATTAAAGTGCCCAACACCTGGATGCACCGGACAGGGCCATGTAAATAGCAACCGTAATACTCACCGAAGGTAGGTGATTTTTCCACTGTATCCTAGATATTTGAAATAATAATGGGTCAGGAAGCCGTTTGTTTAGCAAATACGGTTAGCTGATTGGGACAGCAATTGAACTGGAAGAGAGAGAATTTAGAAAAGGGCTGGAAACAGAGAGCAGCATCAGAAACTGTCTTGCATTTTTCTCTCATCCACTTTGCATTCATTTGCACACACACAAAAAAAGAATTTTCTCAGGAAATGAGGAAAAAACACTTTTTAGGAAGGCCTCATAAATCAGGGCTTTTCAACCTTTTCACCCATTGTACCACTTTTAGGATATGGCAATATCCGAGTACTACTAGTCGCCTAGCAAGGTGTCAAAAACTTGATGACCAAAAAGAAAAAAGTGATAAAGTACAGGTAGTCCTCGACTTACAACAGTTCACTTAGTGACTGTTCGAAGTTACAATGGCACTGAAAAAAGTGCCCCCCAAGCCACAGCCAAGCAAGACACCTGCTTGCCCACCCGGCAGCGCTCTTCCTCCTGTCCGAGGTTTTCATTGTTGTGAGCATTTCTGTTGAGGATTGGCAGTGGGGGTGGGGTGGGAGGGGGTGTTTGGTTTTTATTCCCCCCATCTGCTGGGTGGTTGCAGCAGGTTTTGGTCACTTCACATGACCCTGGGACATTGTGACCATCATAAATATGAATCAGTTGCCAAGTATCTGAATGTAAATCACAAGACCCTGGAGATGCTGCAACATTCCAGCTGATCGGCGCTTCTTCTGGGCTCAGCAGAAGCACCAGGATCAGTGCTGCTTTCCAGCTGATTGGTGCTTCTTCAGGGCTCAGCAGAAGCACCAGGATCAGCGCAGAGCTCCAGCTGGAGCCTGGCGCTGATCCTAGCGTTCCACTGATCCTGACAGCTCCGAAGAAGCGCCAATCAGTTGGAAAGCGGCACTGATCCTGGCGCTTCCACTGAGTCCTGACAGCCCTGCAGCTCCAGCCATCTCTCGCTCAGACTTGTGCGGTGCTGCCACCGGTTCAGCTCATTCCCCTCCCCCGCTACCACTTTTCTAGGATGGTTGCATACCACCTGCAAGGTGCCAATGTACCACAAGTGGTACCTGTACCACTGGTTCAATGGTGGCTCAGGAATTCTGGGAGTTGAAGTCCACAGGTCGCAAAGGGGCCATAGTTGCGCACTTCGTCCCAATAGCTGGCTCAGGAATTCTGGGAGTTGAAGTCCACAGGTCGCAAAGGGGCCATAGTTGCCCACTTCCTCCCAATGGCTGGCTCAGGAATTCTGGGAGATGAAGTCCACAGGTTGTAAAGGGGTCAAAGTTGCCCACTTCCACCCAACTGACTTTGCCTGTCAGAATTCAGTTGGGAAGGTCACAAATGATGATCACATGACTCTGGGATGCTGCAACTGTTGTAAATACATGCTAGCCCAAATTTTGATCATGTGACCAGGGGGATGCTGCAAAAGTACAAGGTCCGGTTACTTTTTGCAGTGCCGTTGTAACTTCCAATGGTCACTAAACAAATGGATGTAAGTCAAGGACTACCTGTACTCCTATAGTACAGGGTAATGCTTGACTTATGTCACAATTAGCGTCAAGTTTCTGCTGCTAAGTGAGATATTTGTTAAGTGAATTTTATCCCATTTTACCACAGTAAATTACTGTGGCTGTTAAGTCATTAACACGGTTGTAAAGTGAATCTGGCTTCCCCAATTGACTTTGCTTGTCCAAAAGGTCGCAAAAGGGGATCATGTGACCCCCAGGACACTGCATCCGTCATAAGTATGAGTCAGTTGCCAAGCGTCTGAATTGTGAATATGTTACTATGGGGATGCTGCAACGGCCATAACTGTGAAAATTGGTCGTAAGTCATATTTTTCAGTGACGCTATAACTTCGAACAGTCACTAAATGAACTGTTGTAAATTGAGGACTACCCTGAACTGCTTTTTTAGAAGCAGGGATTATGTCACCACTAAGAAAGTACCTGGGGAATTGTCAAAAAAAATGTCAACATTGTCCTTTCTTTGAGGCAATTAAATTTTCTGCCCGATTTATGTGCTCAACAGTATAAGCATTCTATGCTGGGTTAATTCTTGACTAGGATTGGTTCCCCCCCCCCCAATATATCTTGAAGGATTTACAATGTTGTTGACATTCTTGTGTGAGCCTTTTTTGCTTTGCAGAATATTTTGAAATCTCCAGGGCGCTGAACATCTTCTTATAACGGTTCTATTTTATTTTATTGTGTTTATTTTATTTAATCCCTGCATTCCTCTTCCCTATTATTTTTTTTTCTGCTTCTTCCTTGCTTTCTTCCAATAGCTTATCTGGCTGTCCCATTGCAGCTGCTGAAAAATTAGCCAAAACTCACGAGAAGCAACAGCCTCCCTCCGGCGACCCTTCAAAAAATCACTCGAATTCAGATCGGATCCTCAGGTAAATGGAGCTAACCTCTGTTTCTCCTTTTCCTCTCAAAAAGCCAGTTACAGTTTAGGGAATGTGTGCCCAACCTTGGCCGTTTTAAGACCATTACATAGTCGTTAAGTGAATAAGCTTCCCCCATTGCAGGGGAGGGCAACTATGGCCCCTTTGCGACCTGTGGACTTCAACTCCCAAAATTCCTGAGCCAGCCATTGGAGGAAGTGGGAACTATGGCCCCTTTGCGACCTGTGGACTTCAACTCCCAGAATTCCTGAGCCAGCCATTGGGAGGAAGTGAGCAACTATGGCCCCTTTGCGACCTGTGGACTTCAACTCCCAAAATTCCTGAGCCAGCCATTGGAGGAAGTGGGAACTATGGCCCCTTTGCGACCTGTGGACTTCAACTCCCAGAATTCCTCAGCCACCATTGAACTCTCGGGAATTCTGGGAGTTGAAGTCCACAGGTCGTAAAGGGGTCAAAGCTGCCCACTTCCACCCAATTGACTTTGCTTGTCAGAACTCAGTTGGGAAGGTCGCAAATGATCACATGACTCCGGGATGCTGCAAGAGCGTGCCTGGCTGAGGAATTCTGGGAGTTGAAGTCCACAAGTCATACAAGGGCCAAGTTTGAAGACCCCTGCTCTAGTCTAACAAAGAGAAGGATTATGAGTGACATGATAGAAGTCTTCCAGTACTTGAGAGGCTACCCCAAAGAAGAGGGAGTCAAGCTATTCTCCAAAGCACCTGAAGGCAGGACAAGAAGCAACGGATGGAAACTCATCAAGGAGAGAAGCAACCTAGAACTAAGGAGAAACTTCCTAACAGTGAGAACAATTGATCCGTGGTGCTGATCACTGGATCAGTGGTGCTGATCACTGGAAGCATTTAAGAAGAGACTAGACAGTCATTTGTCCAGAATGGTATAGAGCAGAGGTCACCAGCCTTTCTCAGTTGGTGAACCGGAAGAAAAGGGAGGGGGAAGCATTTAATACACACGCATGCTCGTGATGCAAAGTGGGCGGGGCTAGCCCTTGCGTGATACTTGCTAGCGCCATCCCATTCTTGCGCAGCAGAGTGCCCCGTTTCTGCGCAGTGTGGCGGCACCTGTTTTTGCAGCTGATGGCGTGGCGGCATCCCGTTTTAGCGCCCTGAGGCGCAGTGTCGACCCATTTTTGCACCCAGTGGCACAGCGGCATCCCTTTTTCGCACCTTGCAGTGCAGTAGTGGCCCGTTTTCAGCCTCGCGACACGGTGGCATCCTGTTTTGCACTTCAAGGCGCCGGGGTGGTCTGTTTTTGTGCCCTGTGGTGCAGCGTCCTATTTTCACACCCTGTGACCACTTGCTAGCACAAGTGCCTGTCCTTCAGGCCGATGGCCAGCAGGCTATTGTCCACTACTGGCCAGCAAGCTATGGTCCACTACTGGGCTGTGGACCACAGGTTGAGGCCCCCTCATATAGGGTCTCCTGCTTGAGCAGAGAATTGGACTAGTCCAGGAGTAGGCAACCTTGACTCTTTTATGACTCGTGGACTCGTGGACTTCAGATGAAGTCCATGGGTCATAAAAGAGCTGAGGTTGCCTACCCCTGGACTAGTCACTAGAAGACTTCCAAGTTCCCTCCCAGCTGTATTATTCTGTTATCTTCTGTTATCTGAATATGTTAAAGCTGGAATCATATTTTTAAAAAGTTCAATAACAGAGCATTAACTTTCAGGGTTGAGGGAAATAAAAACTGAAGTCTGAAGTCCAGGAACCAGTAAGTGAATTGAGCAAGTATTCTTGCTAAAAACAGGTTGCCTAGAAGTGGAACTTCCAACTTGGTCACTTGATCAAATCAAAAGTGCAGAGCCAAAAATAAATCAGAACAAATCAAATCAAAGTGTCTCAAAACAGATAAAGTCCTGAAATCCAATAATGCCTGAGCTGTTTGTGAATTGGTGTAAACCAGGGGTAGGCAACCTTGGCTCTTTTATGACTTGTGGACTTCAACTCCCAGAATTCCTAAGCCAGCATGGCTCAGCTTGGAAACCTCTCCCTTTCCCCTCAGCATAGCTGGCTCAGGAATTCTGGGAGTTGAAGTCCACGAGTCATAAAAGAGCCAAGGTTGCCTACCCCTGATGTAAACCCTTTCATTCTATTGAATTAAGCCTGTAGTATAGGATTTTACTATCGCTCTCTAAAGACGCTATACGTTTTCTATCAGATATGAAAATTGGTAACACTTAGAATCGTCAATTGCTTCCTAAAAGCATATTTATAATATCTCTTCCATTTTGCTATCTACCTTTCCCTTTTATACTTCATACTATGTGTTTATAAATGGATTCTATTCCAGAATAAAAAAAAGAATTTGAACACAAACAGTATATATAGCCTCAATTCCTAATTTGCTCAGAAAATAATTCCAAATAATTCTTTCTTCATATTATAATCTATGATCATAATAAAATACTGTGATTGGATTGGATTGGATCCTTCCTATGTTTGTCTTTAATAGATGGACACGAGGGATCCTTGGTGCTCTCTGAGTTTGGCTGTTTTCTTTCAGACGCTTCATTACCAAACCAGCTAACATCATCAGTGCTAGATGAGATTTGCTCTCTGTTTATATATATAAGGCCCTTCTAGCACTGATGATGCTACCTAGTTTGGTAATGAAGTGTCTGAAAGAAAGCAACCAAGTTCAGAGAGCACCAAGGACCCCACAATCCTCCTCCTCCACCACCACCACCTCCTCCCCCTCCTCCTCCTCCTCTCCATAAACCTCACTCCCTTCTAGCCCTGCTGATGTTACATAGTTGGGTAATGAAGCATCCACAAGAAAATATCCAAGTCAGAGAACACCAAAGACCCCCACAGTCCTCTTCCTCCTGTTCCTCCTCCCCCTTTTCCTCCTCCTCTTCTCCACAAACCTCACTCCCTTCTAGCACTGATGACATTGCCTAGTTGGGTAATGAAACGTCTGCAGGAAAACCACCAAGCCCAGAGAGCACCAAAGAACCCTCATTTCAACCCTGAGCTACAAATATTCTCCTCTGTCAGAAAGATGACTATTTCCTTAAAGCAGTGGTGGGGAACCTATGGCACGGGTGCCAGAGGCGGCACTCAGAGCCCTCTCTGTGGGCACGGGCACCGTCGCCCCAGTCCTAGGCCTTCAGCTGGGTTTTATAAAACCTTTTCACTTTAGGCCTCCATTGCCGTGTGCAAAAAAAAAAAAGGTTCAATCAATCAATCAATTTCAACTTCTCATGAAAAAAAAAGATCTTACAAAGTTGGAATTGATTGATTGAACTTTTTAGTCCCACCCAGTCTGTCGTTACCACCACAGCCATGCCCACCCAATGGGCCACGCCCACCCAATGGGCCACACCCACCCAAAGGGCCACATCCACCCAAAGGGCCACAACCACCCAAAGGGCCACATCCACCCAAAGGGCTACGCCCACCCAATGGGCCATGCCCACCCAATGGGCCACACCCAGCCAATGGACCATGCCCACCCAATAGGCCACACCCAGCCAATGGGCCACACCCACCCAAAGGGCCACATCCACCCAAAGGGCCACAACCACCCAAAGGGCCACATCCACCCAAAGGGCTACGCCCACCCAATGGGCCACGCCCACCCAATGGGCCACACCCAGCCAATGGACCATGCCCACCCAATAGGCCACACCCAGCCAATGGGCCACACCCACCCAAAGGGCCACATCCACCCAAAGGGCCACAACCACCCAAAGGGCCACATCCACCCAAAGGGCTACGCCCACCCAATGGGCCACACCCAGCCAATGGACCACGCCCACCCAATGGGCCACACCCAGCCAATGGGCCACACCCACCCAGTACCCGGCGATGCGTAAGTGGGTTTTGGGTTGCAGTTTGGGCACTTGGTCTCTAAAAGGTTCGCCGTCACTGTTGACCCTTTTAGCCAAGTTGTTCCTCATCAGTGTTCACGCAGAGCCATGAAGGTCTTACCAAAGTTCCCTCCTTTCCTTTCTCTCTTCTTCAGGCCTATGTGTTTTGTGAAGCAACTCGAGGTGCCTCAGTATGGAAATTACAGGCCCAACATGGTTCCTTCCACGCCAAGGGCCAACTTGGCCAAGGAGCTGGAGAAGTACTCCAAAGTCACCTTCGATTATGCAAGTTTTGACGCTCAGGTTTTTGGCAAACGCATGCTTGCCCCAAAGATTCAGTCTAGCGAAACCTCACCTAAAGCCTTTAAATGTAAGTTGGGTCTGGTCATGGACGGCCATGGGGAGAATGGATTTGTGTGTGGGGGGGTTGGTTATTTATTTGTGGTCCGGCCAATTAGACCAATATAGACCAGCCGACTTTCTTGTCTAAGATGGGACTAGAATTCACAGTCCCCTAGTGATTGGCCCAAAGTCACCCAGCCGACTTTCATGCCGAAGGTGGGACTGGAACTCACCGTCTCCTGGGGATTGGCCCAAAGTCACCCAGTCGTCTTTCTTGTCTAAGGCGGGACTAGAACTCACAGTCCCCTAGTGATTGGCCCAAAGTCACCCAGCCGACTTTCTTGTCTAAGGCGGGACTAGAACTCACAGTCCCCTAGTGATTGGCCCAAAGTCAACTAGCCGACTTTCTCGTCTAAGGTGGGACTAGAATTCACAGTCCCCTAGTGATTGGCCCAAAGTCAACCAGCCGACTTTCTCGTCTAAGGTGGGACTAGAATTCACAATCCCCTGGTGATTGGCCCAAACTTAGTCACCCAGCCAGCTTTCATCCCTAAGGTGGGACTAAAACTCAGTCCCCTGGTGATCAGCCCAGTCACCCAGCTGACTTTCATGACTAAAGCAGGATTAGAACTCATAGTTTCCCATTTTCTAGCCTGGTGCCTTAACTCCTAAACCAAACCGGGTCCTTGCCGTCAGAGTATTAGAAGAAGGAGCTTTTACATGCTGTGTTGAATTCCTGCAGGAAAGACAAGGGAGCAAGAAATAAATAAATGACTGAAGCCCAACACCATCCACACCTTTCTGCCTCTCTTGCTCCCCTTTCACAGGCAAACCTTTTCCAAAGGTTTCCACTTCCCCCAGCCACAGCCCTTCCAGCAATTACGTGAAGAACGCTTCGTCTTCGTCCACAGGCTTCGACTACTCTCACGACGCCGAAGCCGCCCACATGGCTGCCACCGCCATTTTGAACCTCTCCACCCGCTGCTGGGAAATGCCTGAAAACCTCAGCACCAAGCAGCAAGATCACTCCGGCAAGGTGAGCAGGCGAGAGGGAGCAGCCCCGTGGATGGATTACAGGTAGTCCTGGACTTACCATAGTTTGTTTAGTGACCGTTCCAAGCTACAACGGCAGTGAACGAAGCGACTTAACGACCGCTTTTCACACAATCATCATAGCGATCTAGACTAGAATAAAATAGAATAGAATAAACAGATAATAGACTAGAATGGAATAGAATAGAATAGAATAGAATAGAATAGAATAGAATAGAATAGAATAGAAAAAACAGAATAGAATAGAAAAAACAGAATAGAATAGAATAGAATAGAATAGAATAGAATAGAATAGAATAGAATAGAATAGAATAGAATAAGCAGTGAATAGAATAGAATAGAATAAGCAGAGAATAGTAGAATAGAATAGAATAGAATAGAATAGAATAGAATAGAATAGAATAGAATAGAATAGAATAGAATAGAATGGAATGGAATAGAATATGGAATGGAATGGAATGGAATGGAATGGAATAGAATAGAATAGAATAGAATAGAATAGAATAGAATAGAATAGAACAGAATAGAAGAGTTGGAAGGGACTTTGGAGGTCTTCTAGTCCAACCCCCTGCTCAGGCAGGAAACCCTATACCATTTCAGGCAAATGACTGTCCAATCTCTTCTTTAAAAACTTCCAGTGTTGGAGCACGGACAACTTCTGGAGGCAGGTTGTTCCACTGGTTATTTATTCTAACTGTCAGGAAATGTCTTCTTAATTCTCAGGAAATTTCACTGTCCCGTGGGGGTCATCTGATCACTTTTTGTGACCGTCTGACAAGCAAACCCACTGGGATTCACTTAACAACTGTGTTACTAACCTAACAACTGAGGCTTACTTAACCGTGGCAAGAAAAGTTGTAAAGCGAGGCAAAATTCACTTAACAAAGGTCCCACTTAGCGACAGAAATTCTGGGCTCAGTTGTGGTCATAAGTCGAGGACTACCTGTATTTATTTATTTGCTTGTTTGTTTGTTTGTTTAATTTGTATGCCACCCATCTCACTGATACAGCAACTCTGGGCAGCTGGCCATGTAAAAATGTAAGCTGTAAATCATAATAAGGGTCTTAGCCCGGTGTGCGCTTTGCTAAATAGGATACAAGCCAGACGGTTAGATTAATATCTTTTGATGTATGCATAAGTGATCTTTACAACGCATAAGTTGTTTATTTATTTATTTATTTATTTATGAGACTTATATACTGCTTAAGTGCAAGCACTCTCTAAGCGGTGTACACCAGTAAGCAATATATATATATATTTACATTGCCCCAACAATCTGGGTCCTCATTTTACCTGAGTCAACCTTGAGCCGGTGAGATTTGAACCGCTGACCTGCTGAAAACAGTCAGCTAAAGTGGCCTGCAGTACTGAACTCTAACTGCTGCGCCACCTCGGCTCTTGTTGTTGTATGGTAGCCCCTAGGCAGTATGCGATGCCCACTTGCAGATCTCAGAAGCTACGATCTACTGCAGATATGTCAAACACAAGGCCCGGGGGCCGGATTCGGCCCACGAAGTGGTTTCATGTGGCCCGTGAAGCCATCCTGGAAACAGTGAGGGAACGGCCCCCACTGCCTTGGCCCTAGCCCAGGCCAGCCAGGAGCCAAGGTACAATTTTGTGGTGGCCATCTATGCTGAAACGCATTCAGTCTTAGCTCCATAAGCCCCCCACCCCTGTATGGCCTGAGAGGAACACTGAGGCTCCTCCAATGGACCATGCCTTGGCACTTGCCCTGGTCCCACCCCCTTCTGCCAGAGACCCTCAGATCTGTCCCACTCCTGCCCAGGCACCCATAGGCACGCTTGACGCAAACGATGTAGAGCTGGCCACACCCACCCAGTAAGCCACACTCACTCCATTCACGTCCACCCAGTAAGCCGCACCCACCCTGGCGACACCCACCCGGCCCCCTGAGGGTAACCACAATGCTAATGCAGCCCTCAATGAAATTGAGTTTGACACCCCTGTTCTACTGCTTCCAAAGTGTTTTTGATGCATGGCAGGGTGTGCCCAGTCTTCAGTCTTGTACCTTGTTTCTTCCTTTCTCTCCCCATCATGTTGTGCACTGCCTAGTTTGGTAGCTGAAATATCTGCAAGAAAACAACCAAACTCAGAGAGCACCAAGGACGCCACAGATATTCTGCTCTAAGACAGTTAGGTCCACCTCACCAGGATGGTCTCGAGAGTTGCAGGATTGAAAGAAGAAATTATAAATGTGTTGTCAAAACTTTCCCCCTTTCAGTCCATGGACATTGAAGTGGATGAAAACGGGACTCTGGACTTAAGCATGAACAAGCATCGCAAACGTGAAAGCATCTTCCCCAGCAGCAGCAGCTGCAGCAGTAGCCCCAGCATCAAATACCCCGACGTGTCCCAACGCCAAAACTGCACCAGTGCCACCAGCAGCACCATGACCTCGCCCCAGTCCAGCCACACCTCTCGCCAGGATGAGTGGGACGGGCCCATTGACTACACCAAACCAAACCGACAACGAGAAGAGGAACTGGAGGAGGTAAAGAGGAGGAGTTGCAAGGCTCCTCTGACATTGCTTTGTTTCTTAGGGTGGGGAGAAGACTCAGGAGACCCTGGACCCTGAGTGGGCTGTGGGGATGGGAGACAGGAGGAAGAGAGGGATGGGCAGCTGAGTAAGCATCTCAAAAGGGACACTCCCTAGTTTTTTGGACTGTAAAGGCGAGGGCGGGGGAAGACATATTTTGAGACTAGCAAGGTTGTGGTCAGCCCTTTGATGTAGGATCCAATCTGGGTCGGTCACCGGGACCAAAAGTTTCGTCTTCCGAGCTCTGATTCATGCTGGAGCCCATCTTCGGGAAACTTCTCACTAGCTAGAGAGAAGTTCCCTTAAGATGGGCTCCAACACAAATCCAAAAGCTTGGAAGACGAAACCTCTGGTCCCGGTGACCAACCCAGATTGGATCCTACACAGTGGTGGAATTCAAATGCCTGAACAACAACTGGTTCTCTTATTCGATGCAGGCCTGGGCCCCTGAGGCCTAGAACAGACTTCCTGAAGTGACATCCATGCATTTCCGATGGGCCATTCTAGGCCTAGGAGGCCTCCGAGGCCTAGAACGGACTTCCGGAAGTGGCATCCATGCACTTCTGGTAGGCTGTTCTAGGCCTGGGAGGCCTCCTCCATGCCTCCTAGACTGGACTTCCAGAAGTGGCATCCACACACTTCTGGTGGGCCATTCTAGGCCTGGGAGGCCTCCTCCATGCCTCCTAGACTGGACTTCCAGAAGTGGCATCCACACACTTCTGGTGTGCCATTCTAGGCCTGGGAGGCCTCCTCCATGCCTCCTAGACTGGACTTCCAGAAGAGGCATCCACACACTTCTGGTGGGCCATTCTAGGCCTGGGAGGCCTCCTCCATGCCTCCTAGACTGGACTTCCAGAAGTGGCATCCACACACTTCTGGTGTGCCATTCTAGGCCTGGGAGGCCTCCTCCATGCCTCCTAGACTGGACTTCCAGAAGTGGCATCCACACACTTCTGGTGGGCCATTCTAGGCCTGGGAGGCCTCCTCCAGGCCTCCGAGGCCTAGACTAGACTTCTGGAAGCCAGCCAGTTCTTTGAGTACAGCAAAATTTAGCTACCTGTTCTACCAAATCGGTGCAAACCAACTGAATCCCACCACCGATCCTACAACATTATCCTGGGACACGTAAATTCGCCTTCGTTCGTCAGCCATTTGAGTTGATCCAGACAAGAAGCACCAACCATGATTACAGATAATCCTCAGAAAGGGGTCTATCCCCTGTGATCAGCTGACACAGATTACCTAAGCACAGAATCCGAGTTAAGCACAGATGTATATAATTAATTACATCCCACCTTTATTATTTTTAACCAATAACTCAAGGCAGAGAGCATGTCTAATACTCCTTCTTCCTGCTATTTTCCTCACAACAACAACCCTGTGAGATGGCTTAGACTGAGATAGGTAACCAAACTAATGGTTGTTAAGTTGAGGACTATCTGTATAGAAAGCCAGGTGTTGACTCAGTTCCAGATGACTTAATGGGCATGTTGAGGTTCTTTGCTATCTTCTGGGATATTTTTCTTCCCGATTTTGCTTGGGATTTCCTTGCAAAATTTCATTCTGCTTAACTTTCTCAAGATTAGCCAAGTGCTCATCTGCTGGGACTTATGCCAATTGTGCCAGTACCGCAATCTAAAGACACAACATACACGCTAATATAGGGCAAATTATTTGACCTTTGCATCATGTTCACTTGTATCCTGAAAATGCAAGCAGTTTTTCAGAGAATGGGGCTTTTCTGCCCATTGGAAGAAAAGGTCATTTAACATTTATACGCAATAATGTACAACAATACAGCGGAGACCTTTGTATTAAGCATTACACTCCAGATGGAAACCTTTCTTTAATATCAGAAAATAATTGAGGGTGCGTCACAACTGTCGATCAATACCACACTTAGCCGTACATTCCAACGTACAATGTTGCCTCTATTAACGTTTTAGAAATTATATTTAACATTGATATAAATTGTTATCTTTGAAGGTTTAAATTGTCTTGGTGCCCGCAATTTATATTGCACCCCGTTGATGTGTGCATTTCTTAATGTCTTGTTTGCGTCTTTTAATAAAATAATTGAGGGGTGGGGGGAGAGAGGAGGAAAGATTATTTGCTTGGCATATTTCAGTATTAACTGAATTGTGCTTGCAAGACACGTAGGCACTTATGTTGAAGGATGTTATGTCCGGGCAGAGGAAACATATGTTATGAGTCTTAACAGGTAGACCCGGCAGAAAACACCACCCGATAAAGTAATTCTTGTTGTTAGTTGCAAAGTCGTGTCTGACCCATCACGACCTTGGAGGTCATCTAGTCCAACCCCCTGCTCAGGCAGGAAACCCTATACCATTTCAGACAAATGGCTGTCCAGCCTCTTCTTAAAAACTTCCAGTGTTGGAGCATTCACCGCTTCTGGAGGCAGGTTGTTCCACTGGTTAATTGTTCTAACTGTCAGGAAGTTTCTCCTTAGTTCTAGGTTGCTTCTCTCCTTGATTAGTTTCCACCCGTTGCTTCTTGTCCTGCCTTCAGGTGCTTTGGAAAATAGCTTAATTCCCTCTTCTTTATGGCAGCCCCTGAGATATTGGAACACTGCTATCATGTCCCCCCTTGTCCTTCTCTTCGTTAAACTAAACATACCCAATTCTAGCAAAGGTTCCTTATATGTTTTAGCCTCCAGTCCCCTACATCTTTGTTGCTCTTCTCTGTACTCTTTCTAGAGCAGTGGTTCTCAACCTGTGGGTCGGGACCCCATTTGGGGTCGAACGACCATTTCACGGGGGTCGCCAAACAAGGCTGTCTGCCATTTCCCCCCCCCCCTTTTCTTTGGCCACGTCCCTGGCACCCGGTGATGTATAAGTGGTTGGGGGTCACCACAACATGGGGAACTGCATTATGGGGTCGCGGCATTAGAAAGATTGAGAACCACTGTTCTAGAATCTCAACATCTTTTTTACATCGTGGTGACCAAAACTAGATGCGGTATTCCAAGTGTGGCCTTACCAAGGCATTGAAGAGTGGTATTAATACTTCACGTGATCTTGATTCTATCCCTCTGTTAATGCAGCCTAGCACTGTGTTGGCCTTTTTGGCAGCTGCAGCACACGGCTGGCTCATATTTAGGTGATTGTCTACTAGGACTCTGAGGTCCCTCTCACAGTTACTACTATTGAGCATGGTGCCACCTATGCTGTACTTGTGCATTTGGTTTTTCTTGCCTAAATGTAGAACCTTGCTTTTTTCACCATTGAATTTCATTTTGTTAGTTAGTGCCGAGTGTTCAAGTCTGTCCAGATCCTTCTGTATCTTAAGCCTGTCTTCTGGAGTGTTGGCTATTCCTGCCAGCTTGGTGTCGCCTGCAAATTTGATGAGTTCCCCATCTATCCCTTCATCCAAATCGTTGATGAAGATGTTGAAGAGTACTGGGCCCAGAACATAGCCCTGGGGCACCCCACTACACACTTCCCTCCATATAGATGCAGTTCCATTGAGGACCACTCGCTGAGTATGGCCGGTCAGCCAGCTACGGATCCATCTGGTGGTGATTCTGTCTACCCCACATTTTTCTATCTTATCAAGTAGTAGGTTGTGATCTACTTTATCAAATGCCTTACTGAAGTCCAAGTAAATTATGTCCACAGCATTCCTCTGATCCACTAATTTTGTCACTTGGTGACAAAATTAGCTTTCATACCCTAAGGCAGAACTAGAACTCATCCTCTCCTGGTGATTGACCTAAAGCCACCTTGGTGACTTTCATGCAGAAGGTGGGACTAGAACACACAGTCTCCTGGTGATTGGCCCAACGTCACCCAATCAGCTTTTATGCCTAAGACAGGATTAGAATTCATGGTTTCCTAGTGATCGGCCCAAAATCACCCAGCTGGCTTTCATGCCCAAGGTGGGACTAGAACTCACCATCTCCTGGTGATTGGTCCAAAGTCATCTGCCTAAGGCAGGATTAGAACTCATGGTCTCCTGGTGATTGGCCCAAAGTTACCCAGCTGGCTTTCATGCCCAAGGTGGGATTAGAACCCGCCATCTCCTGGTGATTGGTCCAAAGTCAGCTGCATAAGGCAGGATTAGAACTCACAGTCTCCTGGTGATTGGCTCAAAGTCACCCAGCTGGCTGTTGTCTGGTTCCTAAGCCAGCCCCAAACTGGCTCTTACCAGACCCCTCTTGATTTCTCACCACCATAGACTACTATAACTTTCCTCCCATAAAATTAACAGACTTCAGGAGCTTGATCCTCACCATGGATCTACAGCATGCTCTGATGTTCAAGATAAATCAGTGCCTTTATAAGCCAGAATCTACTCTACTGACATTTCTCTTTGGCTTCCATGTTTTAATCCATGTTTTAACTCGTGAACCCCAGTCAGGAATTCTCTGGAGTTTTGCCCCAAGGGGCTGTGGAGTAGTTCTGCCAAGCTAACTCTTCTTCTTCTTCTTCTTCTTCTTCTTCTTCTTCTTCTTCTTCTTCTTCTTCTTCTTCTCCTCCTCCTCCTCCTCCTCCTCCTTCTTCTCCTTTTCCTCCTTCTCCTCCTCCTTCTTCTCCTCCTCCTCTTCCATCTTCTTCTTCTCCTTCTCCTCCTCCTCCACCTTCTTCTTCTTCTCCTTCTCCTCCTCCTCCACCTTCTCCTTCTTCTTCTTCTTCTCCTTCTCCTCCTCCACCTTCTCCTTCTTCTTCTTCTCCTTCTCCTCCTCCACCTTCTTCTTCTTCTTCTCCTTCTCCTCCTCCTCCTTCTTCTCCTCCTCCTCCTCCTCCTCCTCCTCCTCCTCCTTCTTCTCCTTTTCCTCCTTCTCCTCCTTCTTCTTCTCCTCCTCCTCTTCCATCTTCTTCTTCTTCTTCTCCTCCTCCTCCTCCACCTTCTTCTTCTTCTTCTTCTCCTTCTCCTTCTCCTCCTCCACCTTCTCCTTCTTCTTCTTCTTCTCCTTCTCCTCCTCCACCTTCTCCTTCTTCTTCTCCTTCTCCTTCTCCTCCTCCACCTTCTTCTTCTTCTTCTTCTTCTTCTTCTTCTTCTTCTTCTTCTTCTTCTTCTTCTTCTTCTTCTTCTTCTTCTTCTTCTTCTTCTGCCATATCCGTTATCAGACGTTGGCGATCATGTTGACGGTCCTGTTTTTATCAGCAGCCGCACGAAAAAGTGCTGCTGAGTTTTGTCCAAACCAGTCCCTTAGATTTTGAAGCCACAATGTTCTTCTTCTGCCTGGACCTCGTTTGCCTTCAATCTTTCCCTGGAGGGTTAAATGGAGTGTGCCGTATTTTCGCATTACGTGTCCAAAATGTTCTAACTTTCGTTTTTTAATTGTTTTGATGATTTCCCTTGGCTTTCCCAGGCAGCTTATCACCTCCTCATTTCTGATCTTGTCAACCCAGCTTATGCATAAAAGCCACCTGTAAAAGCTACCTCTACTCCCTCCAGAATATTTTCTGGGTTTGCTTTTTTTTTTTTTGCAGTCAGAGCCCGCTGCCCGTTCATTCGCCTCCTCGGAAGCCGACGAACAAGAAGTTCCGGAAGAAAACTTTGAAGAAAGAAAATACCCGGGAGAAATCACCTTAACCAACTTCAAGCTTAAGTTCCTTTCCAAGGAAATCAAGAAAGAGTTACTCACGTGAGTCTGCCAGCTTGGCTAAGCAGTCATGACCTAAAACAGGGCTTTTCAACCTTTTAACCCATTGTACCACTTTTAGGATACGGCAACATCCGAGTACCACTGGTCGCCTAGCAAGGTGTCAAAAACTTGATGACCAAAAAAAAAAAAAAAAAAGGAAAAAAGTGATAAAGTACAGGTAGTCCTCAACTTACAACAGTTCGCTTAGTGACTGCTCGAAGTTACAATGGCACTGAAAAAAGTGCCCCCCAAGCCACAGCAGAGCAAGACACCTGCCTGCCCACCCGGCGGTGCTCTTCCTCCTGTCTGAGGTTTTTATTGTTGTGAGCATTTCTGTTGAGGATTGGCAGCGGGGGTGGGGTGGGGGGTGTTTGGTTTTTATTCCCCCCCCGTCTGCTGGGTGGTTGCAGCAGGTTTTGGTCACTTCACATGACCCTGGGACACCCTGAGCGTCATAAATATGAATCAGTTGCCAAGCATCTGAATGTAAATCACAAGATCCTGGAGATGCTGCAACATTCCAGCTGATCGGCGCTTCTTCTGGGCTCAGCAGAAGCACCAGGATCAGCGCCGAGCTCCAGCTGGAACCTGGCACTGATCCTGGCGCTTCTGCTGAACCCTGACAGCACCGAAGAAGCACTGATCAGCTGGAAAGCGGCACTGATCCTGGCGCTTCCGCTGAGCCCTGACAGCCCTGCAGCTCCAGCCGTCTCTCGCTCAGGCTTGTGCGGTGCTGCCACTAATTCAGCTCATTCCCCTCCCCCGCTACCCCTTTTCTAGGATGGTCGTGTACCACCTGCCAGGTGTCAATGTACCACAGGTGGTACCTGTACCACGGGTTGAAAAGCCCTGACCTAAAAGATCCCAGGGGGAACACCCCTCCTCTCCCTTTATAAAAGGTTTTATTTTATTTCCAAAGTTAAAAGACCTAAAAAAAAAAAGAGAGAGAACAAAACCAAACCAGAAAACGTAAAAAGGAGAAAAAGAAAAAGGGCGAAAGACAACAAAACCAGAAAAATGTGCCTAACCACAAAAATAGCAAAGATACAGGTAGTCCTCGACTTACGTCCACAGCTGAGCCCCACATTTCTGTGGCCAAGCGAGACACTTATTAAGCGAACTTTGCCCCCATTTTACAACCTTTCTTGCCACGGTTGTTAAGTGAATTACTGTGGTGGTTAAGTCAGCAACTCGGTTGTTAAGTGAATCTGGCTTCCTCATTGACTTTGCCTGTCAGAAGGTCGCAAGAAGGGATCATGTGACCCCTCCCCCCGGGACGCTGCAACCGTCATAAGCACATGCCAGTTGCCAAGCATCTGAATTTTGACGGTGTAAACGGTGGGGATGCTGCAACGGTCATAAGTGTGAAAAATGGTCACGGGTCCCTTTTTTCAGTGCCGTTGTAACTTCAAACGGTCACTAAACGAACGGTTGTAAGTCAAGGACTTCCTGTACACATAATGGTACCTCTCTGGTTGACTACAGATAAATATATTTCAGCAGTCATCGTTTTCCCTACGCTACCGTTCGCAAAACAGGCCCACCGTTTATGAACTTCTAGATCTCTACAGTAGTGGCCAAAATTGTGGAAACCTTTTGGGAAAAGTGTATTTTTGAGGTTTGATGGCTAATAACACCACTTTTTTGGCGAGTAATACCGTAAAATTATATATCAGTGGAAAGATAATTTAATCAAGAATGTAATGCAACATAGTTTGTGCAATTATCCGAACTGTGTTCTATGAAAAGTTATAGCCAAATAACCAGAAAAAGGAAGCACAAGTTGCCTAGATTGATATCAGGTAGCTTTCCTTCATCCGATTGTAGCCAATGAGCATGAGTGTTTAGAGAGACAATCAGGTGTCATCTTGTTTCGGCCATGAGCCAATCAGATCACAGTAGGATCCAGTTATCGATGTCCTGTATTGAAGCTGAGAGAAGGACATTTGTCAGTGTGTTATGTGATCGCTATCAAGTTGGTTGGGTTATTTGTGATCTTTAGTAATAGTAGTAAAGTTGGAAGGGACCTTGGAGGTCATCTAGTCCAACCTCCTGCTCGGGCAGGAAACCCTACACCATTTTGGACAAGTGGCTGTCCAGTCTCTTCTTAAAAACTTCCAGTGTTGGAGCATTCACCACTTCTGGAGGCAGGTTGTTCCACTGGTTAATTGTTTTAACTGTCAGGAAGCTTGTAAAACGTAATAAAATTAAAGTCATGGTGCAAAGAGTTGACTGGTTGCCCAGAAAGTGATGTCAAATAGTATTATTAAGTGAACAAGGCTGCGGTTATAAGGAACTTGGAAGATAAATGGGTGAAAACTTAACCAAACGTGGCATTTCTACTGTACACTTTTCCCAAAAGGTTTCCACAATTTTGGCCACTACTGTATTTACTGAATTACTATACGGCATTAAAAAATATTTCGAAGATAAAAATCTATTATCAGTCAACCCGTTTGACCTACCATCTATCTCAGAGGTCCCCAATCTGTGGGCTGTGGCCTCTTGGCCACCAGGCCGTGTGAAGGGAAGGCCAGTGCACGCGCATGTGTGCATGCACTCACCCTCCACACTCATGCTAGCGCTGTCCGATCATCCCGTCGGTGCTAGTGTCACCCCGCCCCAAGTATCCCGTCAGCACTAGTGCCGCCCCACCCCCAGTGTCCCACCAGTGCTAGCATCACCCCATTTGCGATGCTCGCACAGCCCCGTTTGCACGTGCTCATGGGCTCGTATGTGGCCTGTTTGCACTCGTGTGTGGCCCAGTTGTGTGTGCGTGCACGTGCGTAATGGTGCCTGCCTTCCTTTCCGGGCCACCAAACCAAAAAGGTTGGCGACCTCTGATCTATCTACTGTAGAATAAAGCAGTTGACGGGTAATCCCAACAACAAGCTGACTTCCACAGTTATAGTTCTGTTAACCATCTATTATTCATTGTATTGCAACTCGCAGAAAGTCCACAAATGGCTTCTGACTGACCACAAACCTACTGCCATAGAGCCCCCCAGCTCTCTTCTAGTTTGCTTTCATTTAGATTCCTGTACTTAGCAGGGGTCGGGCTCCGTTGAAGAGGATGAATGTCTTTAAGACATTCAAAGTTCAAAGGTCATGCTAGAAAGTAGGAAAGAGGGGTACAGATTTGGAACCAACTTCCAGCCAAGGTAGTGGTTTGGTCATCAATAACTGAGCTGAAACATGCTTGGGATATGTCGATCATCTGGCAAAAAATTATAAAAATAAAACAAAAAAAACAAACAAATTTAAATTTAAAAATAGTAAGTATGTTAAAAATGACTAGCATTGATGATGTTGCCTAGTTGGGTAATGAAATGTCTGCAAGAAAACCACCAGCCTCGGAGAGCACCAAGGATCCCACAGTCCTCCTCCTTCCCCCCTCCTCCTCTTCCTCTCTTCCACAAACCCCACTTCCTTCTAGCACTGATGATGTTGCCTACTTGGGTAATGAAACGTCTGCAAGAAAACAACCAAGCTCAGAGAGCACCAAAGACCCCAGAGTTGTCCTCCTCCTCCTCCTCCTCCTCCTCCTCCTCCTCCTCCTCCTCCTCCTCCTCCTCCTCCTCCTCCCTTCCACAAACTCTACTTCAGCGTTTCTCAACCTTGACAATTTTAAGGCATGTGGACTTCAACTCCCAAAATTCCACAGCCAGCAATGCTGGCTGTGGAATTCTGGGAGTTGAAGTCCACATGCCTTAAAATTGTCAAGGTTGAGAAACACTGCTCTACTTCCTTCTAGCATTGATAATGTTGCCTAGTTGGATAATGAAACGTCTGCAAGAAAAACACCAACCTCAGAGAGCATCATCCCCTCCCCCCTTATATTAAAAAAAATAACAAAAATCTCTAAGGACAGACTCCATGGATCACTAGGTCTTTTTTCTGCCATCCATTTTCTGTGTTTCTGCATTCAAAATCCCAGCCAAGATTCATTCAGGTTTCATACAGGAAGGATTTTATTTAAAACCCAAAAGCTGTCGCTGATTTGCTCATATGAAGAGCCACTCCTTACGGTCTCTTTTTAAGTTGAAGCTTTGCCACGATTTAGGAATTGGGGTGGGGGGGTAAGAACGGTTCATCAAAGCCACCCCAATCTTACGTCTGGTCGAAGCGGTGATCAATGCATTTTATTTACATTCACGCTGGAATGTTTGGTGACCCCGTGGGAGCAGAAAACAACTTTTGCTTAACATATTGCTTCGTTTGCACACTGTCACAACCATTTCCGAAATGTCCCACCCTCTTCGCAACCTCCTTGGCTAGCAGCGTTTCTCCTGCCCTGCGAATGTAGAAGGTTGGGGGGGGGGTGGATAAAATTGTGAGACAGAAGGATTAACTAGCATCTGCGATTGTTAGATTCCCAAGGGTTGTTGAGTCTTCGAAATTCATATTTGGAGGTGCGATATTTCCAAATGGAAAAGGGGAGGGGGTGTGCAAGGGACGTAATGTGTCTATTGGAATAAATACACAACACATGGCAAGGTAAAAAAAATCATGAGCGGGTTTCTTTGTTTTAGGTTTTCGGAATATTGAAAGAAAAAAAAAGGATTAGAGTTTATATGTACACGAATACCTTCATCGGCACTGTTTCCCTGTGGTTGTAGATTCTCTTAAAAACCTTTTTTTTTCCTTCTCTGAAATCTACTCCTCCACTCGTCTGGCTTCTCTACTTTTAATATTCTAGGGAACTGAGATAAACTTCAGCCTCCAGTTAATCATTAGAGGATTTAGCTGCTTAGCTACCATATTAAAGAACTTGGCGGGATTCTCACCTTTCAAATTAAAAAGTTGACGAGCCTGAGAGAATCCGTGGTACAAGACTTAAGATGTTCAAATCTTTTGGGAACATTTTATTTGGCTTAAAGGAGCTTTCCAGCTGCTTAACACACTGACCTCATAGCCATATCTGATAACGGAAGAGATAACCATGGCAAGTTAACAGAATCCAGTGGTTGAGTTTGCATAACATTGCATTTGACAAACAAATAAACCATACGGTGGCTTAATGTGAAGACACGGTTCATGCAACATGGTAAAACATAGAATCATACAATGGGGAGGGACCTTGGAGTTCTTCTAGTCCAACCCCCCATCCCCGCCCAAGGCAGGAGTCCTTATACCATCCCAGAAAAATGGTTGTCCAATCTTTTTTTGGAGACCTCCAGTGATGGAGCACCCACAACTTCTGGAGGCAAACTGTTCCACTGATTAATTGTTCTCACTACAATCAGGAAATCCCTCCTTAGTTCCAGGTTGGGCCTCCTTTTGACAAGCTTCCACCCATTGCTTCTTGTCCTGCCCTCAGGTTCTTTGGAGAATAAGTCAACCCCCTCTTCTCTAGGACAGCCCTTCAATGATTTGAAGATGCCAGCATGTCACCCCTAAGCCTTCTCCTCATTAGGCTCTTTTATGACCCGTGGACTTCAACTCCCAGAATTCCTGAGCCAGCATAGCTCAGCTTGGAAACCTCTCCCTTTCCCCTCAGCGTGGCTGGCTCAGGAATTCTGGGAGTTGAAGTCCACACCTCTTAAAGTACCCAAGGCTGAGAAACAGTGGGCTAGGCCAGGGGTAGGCAACCTTGGCTCTTTTATGAATGGTGGACTTCAACTCCCAGAATTCCTGAGCCAGCCATGGCTCAGCTTGGAAACCTCTCCCTTTCCCCTCAGCGTGGCTGGCTCAGGAATTCTGGGAGTTGAAGTCCACGAATCATAAAAGAGCCAAGATTGCCTATCCCTGGGCTAAACATACCTAGTTGCCTTCATTGCATGCTTTAGCCTCCAGATCCTTTGTCATCTTTGTCGGTCTTGCCACCTCCAGATTTATGAGCCAGAAGGAAGCACTGATGATGCTACCTAGTAGGGTAATGAAACGTCTGCAAGAAAACAGCCGAGCTCAGAGGGCACCAAGGATCTCATAGAAGAAGTGATTTTTTTTTTCAGCTGAGAATAGGCAGCTGCTAACCACTCAGTAACTACTTAATATGACAAGCGGGCTTGATGCCTCTCTGTAACCAAGCCATCATGGCATAACACGGCCATGATAGTTAATTTCCCCAAGGGGGCATATGAGAAATTGGAATTGTTATGGAAGGCCGAACCAAAAGGGCTGTGAAAATACATACCGTATTTACCTGAAAATAAGACCCAACCAGAAAATAAGCCCTAGCATGATTTTTCAGGACGCTTGTAATATAAACCCCACCCCAAAAATAAGCCCCATTTAAGATCATCAGCCAGATCAGGGGTAGGCAATCTGGGCTCTTTTATGAATCATGGACTTCAACTCCCAGAATTCCTGAGCCAGCATGGGGAACTATGGCCCCCTTCATGACTGGTGGACTTCAACTCCCAGAATTCCTGAGCCAGCCATGCTGAGGGGAAAGGGAGAGGTTTCCAAGCTGAGCTATGCTGGCTCAGGAATTCTGGGAGTTGAAGTCCACGAGTCATAAAAGAGCCAAGGTTGCCTATGACGCATTTAGTATCTTATTTCTCTGAATATAAACCCTATCCAGAAAATAAGCCCTAATGCATCTTTTGGAGCAAAAATTAATATAAAACCCAGTCTTATTTTGGGGAAAACACGGGTAGGCACACAAGCATGGGCCTACATTAATTGGAAAAAAAACCCAGCAGTTGCCTTCAAAATACAGGTAGTCCTCGACTTACGATGGTTCATTTAGTGACTGTTCAAAGTTACAACGGCATTGAAAAAAATGACACGACCATTTTTCACCCTTACGACCTTTGTAGCATCCCTTGCTCATGTGATCAAAATTCAGATGCTTGGCAACTGGGCTCATATTTATGACCGTTGCTGTGTCCTGGTGTCATGTGATCCCTTTTTGCAACCTTTTGACAAGGAAAGTCAATTGGGGAATCCAGATTCACTTAACAACCGGGTTACTGACTTATCTACTGCAATGATTCGCTTAAAAACCGTGGCAAGAAACTTTGTAAAATGTGGCAAAACTCACTTTAACAAATGTCTCTTTAACGGCAGAAATTTTGGGCTCGGTTGTGGTCCTAAGTCGAGGACTACCTCAAAAAGCAGTGGCATACACTTATTTACATTTGATTTCTAATTTCCGATTGACCTCACATGGACCAAACAAAGGATCATAAAATGCCCAGGTCTAATCTATGGGGTATTCCCATTTTATCCATAGGATGGGCAGTGAACTAATCCTACAAGTCCTGTCTCCATTTTCTCTGGCACATTATGGAAAATCAGAATATCCAATTACTTATCTCTTGGGGAAGGAGATTTATTTTTAAACAGCAATCAATTTATCATTCTTCCCCTTAAGGCAGGGGTAGGCAACCTTGGCTCTTTCATGACTCGTAGACTTTAACTCCCAGAATTCCTAAACCGTTATGGCTCAGTTTCGAAACCTCTCCCTTTTCCCTCAGTGTGGCTGGCTCAGGAATTCTGGGAGTTGAAGTCCACACCTCTTAAAGTTGCTGAGGTGGAGAAACAATGGACTAGGCCAGGGGTAGGCAACCTTGGCTCTTTTATGACTCGTGGACTTCAACTCCCAGAATTCCTGAGCCAGCATGGGGGAACTATGGCCCCCTCATGACTCGTGGACTACAACTCCCAGAATTCCTGAGCCAGCATGGGGAAACTATGGCCCCCTCATGACTCGTGGACTACAACTCCCAGAATTCCTGAGCCAGCATGTCTCAGCATGGAAACCTCTCCCTTTTCCCTCAGCGTGGCTGGCTCAGGAATTCTGGGAGTTAAAGTCCACGAGTCATAAAAGAGCCAAGGTTGCCTACCCCTGCCCAAATGCCTGAATTTTGATCACGTGACCGTGAGGAAAAAATATTTAAATATTTAAACCAGGGGTCTTCAACCTTGGCTCTTTTATGACTTGTGGACTTCAACTCCCAGAATTCCTGAGCCACCATGGCTCAGCTTGGAAACCTCTCCCTTTTCCCTCAGCGTGGCTGGCTCAGGAATTCTGGGAGTTAAAGTCCACGAATCATAAAAGAGCTAAGGTTGCCTTCCTCTGCCTTAAGGTGATACTTCAGGATTCTGTTTGCAAACTACCTAGATACACAGGTAGTCCTTGACTTACGATCACAGTTGAGCCCAAAATTTCTGTTGTTAAGTGAGACCCTTGTTAAGTGAGTTTTGCCCATTTTACAACTTTTCTTGCCAGAGTTGTTAAGTGAATCACTGCTGTTCTTAAATTAGTCACCCAGTTATCTGGCTTCCCCACTGACTTTGCTTGTCCAAAAGGGGATCACATGACCTTGGGACACTGCAACCGTCATAAATATGAACCAGTTGACAAGCATCTGAATTTTGATCCTGTGATCATGGGGATGCTGGAAAGGTCGTAACTCTGACAAATGGCGATCAGTCCCATTTTTGAGTGCCTTTGTACATAACTTTGAACGGTCACTAAATGAACTGTTGTAAGTCAAGGACTACCTGTATAAAAGAATATGATTTGTAGATTTGTAGATATATAAAAGGGTATAAGTGAAGGTTCATTAATCAAGCTTGTGGGTTGGTTTCTGAACATTTCATTACCAGGCTAGGTAGCATCTTCAGTGGAGTTTAGGGGGTGTCTAGTGATGCTTTAGTGCAGTGGTTCTCAACCTTTCTAATGCCGTGACCCCATAATACAGTTCCCCATGTTGTGGTGACCCCCAAGTGGGTGTGGCCACCAATAAGAGGGAGTAGGACAGCAAGGGAAAAGGGGAAAAAATGGCGGACAGCGTGGTTTGGCGACCCCCGTGAAATGGTCGTTCGACCCCAAATGGGGTCCCGACCCACAGGTTGAGAACCACTGCTTTAGTGTCTGTTTATAAGGGCTTTGTGTGCTCAGTAGGACTTGTGATGGTGAGGTCACATCAGGTGAGGGTCCCATCAGGTCAGGTGATTGATGGGTCTTGTGATGGATCAGGTGTGGGTTTGTCAAGTGAAGGTCTTGTGATGGGTCAGGCATGGGTGTGTCAAGTGAGGGTCTTGTGCTGGGTCTTGTATGGATCAGGTGTGGGTGTGTCAAGTGAGGGTGTTGTGGTGGGTCAGGTGTGAGACACCAGTGAGAGCCTTCTGATGGGTCTTGTGATGGGGAGGTTACATTGTGAGGGTCATGGGGGGGCTTAATAAGAATATAATATTGCTGCTCACCAGTTGTAGCTCTAGAAAGCTGTCCAGCACCCCAGAGAAGGCAATTGAACTTCTAAAACCCCCTAAAACTCTGTTATAATTCCAACCACCCCAAATTTCTGTGAGCAGAGAGAGAGAGAGAAAGAAAGAGATAATCTTCTCCTTTTTTTCTATTTTTAGATATATTTTTTAATCACATATGCACGAATCTTACTGGTTTCTTTATATTTTTTGGCCACTCACATTTTTTCCCCATAATTATTTTCGTTCAGTTGCCCTACCCCAGGCTGTGATGGCAGCGGACACATCACGGGAAATTATGCTTCTCATCGCAGGTTAGTTCACCTTACCTACCCTTACTCTTTTCGGATTGTGACCGTCTCTTTAAAACAAAACAAAATAAAATCTTTTCTTTAAGAAAAAAAATAAAAAGTGTGCATACTTTGGTTCTGTTCCAGGGCTGGGCAACTATGGGAACTTTATGACCTGTGGACTTCAACTCCCAGAATTCCTGAGCCAGCCAACCATGGCTGGCTGGCTCAGGAATTCTGGGAGTTGAAGTCCGCCAGTTATAACGTCGCTCCAGTTGCTCAGGCCTGTCTATTCCCTCTTCCCCTTGCTTTGATTTTCCCAACTTTTTTTTTTTTTTTTTAGCTTACCCAAATATTCCATCTCTTCTTTTTCAGCCTTTCTGGTTGTCCTCTTGCTGACAAAAGTCTCAGAAACCTCATGGCTGCCCACTCTGCTGACCTCAAGTATGTTTGCGCTAAACTCAGATCTCTGTTTCTTTTTCCCTATCCTTCCCTGCTTCTTATTCTTTGCTTGCAATTTCCCTTTAAAACCGAAATCTGCCTGGGAGCTGACTTTACCTACCAAGTACCGAGTAGTCCTTGATTTGCAACCATTTGTTTCATGGCCAAAGTTACAACCGCAGCGGAAAAAGTGACCGTTTTTCGCAACTTACGACCATTACGATCACAGGATCAAAATTCGGACGCTTGCCAATTGGCATGTACTTATGACGGTTGCAGTGTCCCGGGGGTGTGTTTATATGTGTGTCATGTGATCCCCTTTTGCACAATGTCTGACAAGCAAAGTCAAATGGGGAAGCCAGATTCACTTAACATCTGTGTTTCTTACTTAACAACCGCAGTGATTCATTTAGCGAGGAAATGAAGGAAGAGGGTAAAATGGGGCAAAACTCACTGAACTCACTTAGCAATGGAAATTTTGTGGTCATAAGTCAAAGACTACCTGTACTGGATTGGGAAGGCACCCAGAGTTTGGATGACAGTAGGAAAAATTGCCTGAATTGTTTATACATTCACACTGATTTATATATATACATATATATATTTAAATCTCAGTCAGATTTTGATTGGCCATGCAATCAAAGGGACACGGAGTTTGGATGACAGTAGGAAAAATTGCCCGAACTGTTTATAAATTCACACTGATTTATATATATATATATATATGTAGGTCTTTGGTTATTCGGGTTTTCTCCCGCGTCAAATTGGAAGTGTCTTGGCGACGTTTCGACAAAGTCTCATTCGTCATCTTCAGGCTGGTGTTTTCGGCTTCGTTCTTCTAGGATAGAAGCACGAAGCCGAAAACACCAGCCTGAAGATGACGAATGAGACTTCGTCGAAACGTCGCCAAGACACTTCCAATTTGACGCGGGAGAAAACCCGAATAACCAAAGACCTACATACAAACACCCGCAAAAACCTCAGAAAACAAACAAATATATAATATATATATATATATATATATATATATATATATATATATATATATATATATATATATGAATCTCAGGCAGATTTTGATTGGGCATCCTTGACTAATGCAACTTATTTTTCCCCCCAAATCTCTTAATGGTTTTCTAGTGAACAATGCAATATTAGCAGTCCGTCTTCTGTCTAATAGCAGTGGTTTTGTTAGCACAGTTGACAACTCATGGACCACAAACTACGAAGACAGCAAAATGCCTGATCCGCACTAGAAAAAGTGTCCAAGGTTTTTCAAAGAACAGTCTCTACCTTCTCCCTCAGTGGCACTCAAGAATTTCTCTCAGTTCTTTCTGCAGACGACGGCATCGTTTTTCTTCTTCAATTAAAACTCGGTTAATTAAGTCTTCTTGATGCATCACTGCATTCAAAGTTACTACAAGTAATCCTCAACTTAGGATCAAAATTAAACTCGGAATTATTGTCGTAAGTTGTGGCAGTCATTAAGCAAGTCCCGATGACTGCAACCGATTTTACAATTCTTTTTTGCGGTGGTTCTTAAAGGAACACCACGGTCACTAAGAGAATGCCGCGTTTGTTACACGAACCCATTACATCCTGTAGGTGTTTTTTTTTTTACAGAAACAGGAAGTAAACACTAGTTTCCAGCAAAAAAAAAAAAAGTCACAAATCATGCGACCATGGGATTCAAATGGCCATAACAGTGAGTCAGTAGCCAAGTGCCCAGTCACGTTGACCATGGGTGGGCAGCCATTTCAACTTGGAAACCACGTTCTAAGTAGCTTCAAGGAAGTCTGTGGTAGCTTCGATCAGCCATTAAGTGGCCAGTCGTAAGTTGGGAACTACCTGTATTCAGCAGGATCAGAATAATGGCAAGACTTCATAGGTATATTTGAATGGAATTGTATTTGCAGAAGGAATGGGAATAAGAGAAAAAAAGCACACAATGCTATGCAGGTTTTGAGGTTTTGCTTGATAAAAAATACAGGAAACCAGAAGTTGCCTTTGAACTTTACGTTTTTATTCAGCTGAACAAGCTTCTCTAAAAAGAGAAAAAGCCCCAAATATCAGAAAAGCCTTATTTTTATACTTTCTTTGATTACATAAGCAATTCACCCAGCAAAGCTGGCACATATACAGCAGTGGCCAAAATTGTGGAAACCTTTTGGGAAAAGTGTACAGTAGAAATGCCCCCTTTGGTTAAGTTTCTACCCATTTTTCTTCTAATTTCTTTATAACAGTAGCCTTGTTCACTTAATAATTCTATTTTACATTGCTTTCTGGGCAACCAGTCAACTCTTTGCACCATTCCTTTAATTTTATTATGTTTTGCAAGCTCACTAAATGAAAGAACACAAAAAAAAAAACCCAACCGACTTGATAGCAATCACATAACACACTGACACATGTCCTCCTCTCAGCTTCAATACAGGACATCAATAACTGAGTCCTACTGTGATCATGAGAAAGGCAAGGCTAGATGAATCAAAAGTTGGAATTAAGATTGCCGGGAGAAATATCAACAACCTAAGATATGCAGATGATACCACTCTAATGGCAGAAAGTGAAGAGGAACTAAAGAGCCTCTTGATGCGGGTGAAGAAGGAGAGTGCAAAAGTTGGCTTGAAACTCAACATTAAGAAAACCAAAATCATGGCATCCGGCCCTCTCAATTCCTGGCAAATAGATGGGGAAGAAATGGAGGTAGTGACAGATTTTATTTTTCTGGGCTCCAAGATCACCTCAGATGGGGACTGCAGCCAAGAAATTAAAAGACGCTTGCTCCTGGGGAGGAAAGCTATGGCAAATATAGACAGCATACTAAAAAGCAGAGACATCACCCTGCCAACAAAAGTGCGTATAGTCCAGGCCATGGTTTTCCCAGTTGCAATGTATGGTTGTGAAAGTTGGACCATAAGAAAGGCTGAGCGCCAAAGAATTGAGGCCTTTGAACTATGGTGCTGGAGAAGACTCCTGCGAGTCCCTTGGACTGCAAGGCGTTCAAACCGGTCAGTCCTAGAAGAGATCAACCCCGACTGCTCTTTAGAAGGCCAGATCCTGAAGTTGAAACTCAAGTACTTTGGCCACCTAATGTGAAGGAAGGACTCACTGGAGAAGGGTCTAATGCTGGGAAAGATTGAGGGCAATAGAAGAAGGGGACGACAGAGAATGAGATGGCTGGATGGAGTCACTGAAGCAGTAGGTGTGAACTTAAATGGACTCCAGAAGATGATAGAGGACAGGAAGACCTGGAGGAACGTTGTCCATGGGGTCGCGATGGGTCGGACACGACTTCGCAATTAACAACAACTGTGATCTGATTGGCTCATTGCCAAAACAAGATGACATCTGATTGGCTCTCTAAACAAACACTCATGCTCATTGGCTACAATCGGATGAAGGAAAGCTACCTGAGATCAACCTAAGCAAGTTGTGCTACCTTTTTCTGGTTATTTGGCTATATCTTTTCATAGAATACAGATAATTGAACAAACTTTGTTGCATTACATTGTTGATTTAATTATCTTCCCACTGATATATAATTTTATGGTACTACTCCAAAAGAAAAGTGGTGTTATTAGGCACCAAACCTCAAAAATACACTTTTCCCAAAAGGTTTCCACAATTTTGGTCACTACTATAAGATAAAGACTTCGCCCTTTAAGGCTGGCACACTGTAGATAAGAAGGAAGAAAGCAGAAGTAGCTAAAATGTTCCCTTTTGGGTGTTCCCCTGAGACACCATTTGTTCCCTTTGGGGTGGTTTAGGTGTTTCCCTAACACACCATATGTTCTCGAGTGGGTTAGGATATTGGATGTTTCCTTTGCTGTCCTTTTATGACCTTGCATTCACGGTTCTGCAAGTGGCCAGAGATAGCGAGGCCATCTGCACGTATTCACAATTACCAGTAATACTGTCCCCTAAGTCCGGGTCAACAACAATTTGTTCATTTTTGAAGCACGAATGTAACCAGTCCCACTCACCCTGCATCAAGCATCTGAGGACTTTTCTACCCGTTTGTTTCCCACATTCAGGCAAACGGTTGCGTCACATAAGCCATCATCCCAAAGATGCTGTTTCAGGAGGCAACTGGACTTTCTTGTTTTTCTTGGAAGACGTTTTGCTTCTCATCCATGAAGCTTCTCCAGCTCTGAAGCGAAACAACTTCAAAGAGAAACAAGGAAGTCCAGCTGCCTCTTGAAAAAGCATCTTTTGAACAACTGTGACCTGGATGACTGAACTTCTCCTTAGTCATCACAGAAACCACACAACAGCTTAATCAAGGAAACACTAGTACAGGGGTAGTTAACCTTGGCCCTTTTATGACTCGTGGACTCCAACTCCCAGAATTCCTGAGCCAGCCACGCTGAGGGGAAAGGGAGAGGTTTCCAAGATGAGCCATGCTGGCTCAGGAATTCTGGGAGTTGAAGTCCACGAGTCATGAGGGGGCCCTAGTTCCCTCATGCTGGCTCAGGAATTCTGGGAGTTGAAGTCCACGAGTCATAAAGCGACCTCGGCCTAGGCCAGAGGTAGGCAACCTTGGCTCTTTTGTGACTCGTGGACTCCAACTCCCAGAATTCCTGAGCCAGCCACGCTGAGGGGAAAGGGAGAGGTTTCCAAGATGAGCCATGCTGGCTCAGGAATTCTGGGAGTTGAAGTCCACGAGTCATGAGGGGGCCCTAGTTCCCTCATGCTGGCTCAGGAATTCTGGGAGTTGAAGTCCACGAGTCATAAAGCGACCTCGGCCTAGGCCAGAGGTAGGCAACCTTGCCTCTTTTGTGACTCGTGGACTTCAACTCCCAGAATTCCTGAGCCAGCCACGCTGAGGGGAAAGGGAGAGTTTTCCAAGCTGAGCCATGCCGGCTCAGGAATTCTGGAAGTTGAAGTCCACGAGTCATGAGGGGGCCATAGTTCCCCCATGCTGGCTCAGGAATTCTGGGAGTTGAAGTCCACGAGTCATAAAAGAGCCAAGGTTGCCCACCCATGCATATATAAAAGCTAAGGGCAAACCCTACTCCCTTCTAGCACTGATGATGTTACCTAGTTGGGTAATCGGACTTCTTTGCTTATTGGTTTTGAAACATTTAGTTGCTTATTCAAGTAGCTTCTTCAGTCTACAGCTTGTCCTCGGCTTACAACCATTCGTCTGGTGACCGTTGGAAGTTACGACAGCACTGAAAAAGTGATTAATGACCATTTTTCACACTGACAACTGTTGCAGCATCCCATGGTCACATGATCATATGAAATGGTCTAGGGCAGGGGTCTTCAAACTTGGCCCTTTTATGACTCGTGGACTTCAACTCCCAGAATTCCTCAGCCAGGCACGCCTGGTTAAGGAATTCTGGGAGCTGAAGTCCACGAGTCATAAAAGGGCCAGGTTTGAAGACCCCTGGTATAGGGTCTCCTGCTTGAGCACGGGTTGGACTAGAAGACCTCCAAGGTCCCTTCCAGCTGATGGATTGATTGGTTGGTTGGTTGATTGATTGATCAAAATTCAGATGCTTGGCAACTGACTCTTATTTATGACGGTTGCAGTGTCTTGGGTCACTATGATCTCCTTTGGCGACCTTCTGATGAGCAAACTCAATGGGGAAGCCAAATTCATTTCACAACAATTTTATTAACTTAACAAACTGCAATGATTCACTTAACAACTGTGGCAAGATAGGTTGTAAAGGTACAACGGCACCGAAAAAAGTGACCTGTGACCATTTTCCAGACTTACGACCGTTGCAGCGTCCCCAGGGTCACGTGATCAAAATTCAGACACTTGGCCACTGACTCATATTGATGACGGTGGCCATGTCCCCTTTTGCGACCTTTTGATGAGCCATGGGGAAGCCAGATTCACTTAACAACCACATTTCTACCTTAACAACTGCAGTGGTTCATTTCACAACGGCGGCAAGAAAGGTCGTAAAACGGGGCAAAACTCACTCAACAAATGTCTCCCCTAGCAACAGAAATGTTGGGCTCAGTTGCGGCCGTAAGTCGAGGACTACCTGCAACTTGATCCAGAAGCTCTGGGTGTCTTAATAAGGTGCTAATTACACTAGCAAAGTTGTGAATTATTGTCATAAGGAGTTCTGAGAGAATTGTTCAAAGATTTTCAACGCGAAAGGAGGTGAAATTTAGTCCATATGCTTATGGAAAACACTAAGTCATTGTGTGGAAATTATAATTTTGCCTTCGGGACGCCTGTCCCTTTTAATCAGACACTCTCCTCTCTGACCCTGAATGAGTTTTTGGCACCCTTGGGAAGTGGTAACTATTTGTCTTGCAATTCCAGGGAATATATTTCCACATTGTTAGCACGATGTGCTATCCTTTGCATCCCTGTGTAAATTAAAAAAAAGTAAAAAATAGGCGTCTACAGGTAGTCCTCGACTTGCAACAGTTCATTTAGCGGCCATTCAAAGTTGCAACGGCATTGAAAAATGTGCCTCGTGACCGTTTTTCACACTTAGGACGATAGCAGCATCCCTATGGTCACGTGATCAGAATTTGGATGCTTGGCAACTGACTTGTATTTATGACAGTTGCGGTGTCTCAGAGTCACGTGATCCCCTTTTGTGACCTCCTGGCAAGCAAAGCCAATGGGGGGAAGCCGGGTTCACTTAACAACCGTGTTACTAACTTAAGCACTGCAGGGAGTCACTTAACAGCTGCGGCAAGAAAGGCCGTAAAATGGGCCAAAATTCACTTGACCAACGTCTCAGAAATTTTGGGGTCAACTGTGGTCGTAAGTCAAGGACGACCTGTATTAATTAATTGAGGTCATAAAAATTCCCCCATGCTCCACCAGGCCAGAAAAATGGAAATTAAATAAATCACTGACAGCGTCTTCAGGCCTTTCAAAACACAGATTTATCCGCATTTTTCTGATAGTTGGCAAAAAAAAAAAATTATAACATATAATGGGAAATTAAGGCGAACAGTCGATTGTAGATAGTCCTCAATTTACAACCCACAGCTGGGAGCAGGATTTCTGTGTTTATGCAAGCCGTGAACAGTTTTATGACTTACGGTACTTGCCATGTTTGTTAAACGAATCAATGCAGTTGATAAATGCTCGTTAAGCAAGTCTAGTTTCCCTCATTGACTTTGCTTGCTAGAAGCTGGCTGGCAAGATAGTAGTAGTAGTAGTAGTAGTAGTAGTAATAGTAGTAGTAATAATAATAACAACAATAATAATAATAATAATAATAATAATAATAATAATACACGATATCTGTGATACCATCAAACATCCACATCTGCCTATTCCAGGTCCTTGGGAAGGACCGATAGGTAGACAAAAATGCCAAATCCAGTCTGAACATCTGGCTCACTGTGCGATGATTAATAATAATAATAATAATAATAATAATAATAATAATAATAATAAAGTTGGAAGGGACCTTAGAGGTCTTCTAGTCCAACCTCCTGCTCAGGTAGGAAACCCTAAATCAGGCATGTCAAACTCGCGATGTCACATGACATCGTGTGACGTATCGCGACTTTTTCCCCAGTGCCGGCAATGAGGTGGGCGTGGTTTCGGCGTGACGCATCTGGCCCATGGGCCGGCAGTTTGACATGCCTGCCCTATACTATTTCAGACAAATGGTTGTCCAATATCTTCTTAAAAAGTGTTGGAGCACCCACAACTTCTGGAGGCAGGTTGTTCCACTGGTTAATTGTTCTAACTGTCAGGAAGTTTCTCTTTAGTTCTAGGTTGCTTCTCTCCTTGATCAGTTTCCATCCATTGCTTCTTGTCCTACTTTCCAATGCTTTGGAGAATAGCTTGACTCCCTCTTCTTTGGGGCAGCCCCTGAGATATTGGAGCACTGCTATCATGTCCCCCCTCGTCCTTCTCTTCATTAGGTTAGAGTCTAGACATATCCAATTCCAGCAACCATTCCTTATATGTTTTAACCTCCAGCTACATGGCAGTCATGTGACCCTGGGACACTGCAGCCATTTTAAAAACATGTTGGTTGGCAAACGGCCAGATTTTGATCATGTGACTGTGGGATGCTGCAGTGGTTGTAAGTGCAAGGACCCATCATGTCACCTTTTTCAGTTCCTTGTAACCTTGAACAGTCACTAAATGAATGACTAAGTTGACGACTACCTGTATAAAAAATATACCACATATAATCGTGGATAAGCCTATCTGCAGATAAGCTGACCCTTGAAATTTCAACCAAAATCTCATGAAAAGTGCATTACTGATCCTCAGACTCTTAAGACTCACAACTGTAACGGGCAACCTCATTGCAGCTGTAAGTTGGGGACTTACCTGTAGGTTGTTATAAAGGAGAGCTCAATAGCAGAATTTATAACTGCAGGAATTGGTGGGCTCTATTGGACGTCTTCAAGCACAAGCTGGTCCACTAGTGATTGGAAATAATATAGACATGGTCCTTGTTTAGTGACTCCTGCGACCTGGCAACGCAGTCAATAGGCAAAGCGGTCACTAAATGAAACTACAGCTGTGCTTCTGATCTGGCTTCCGCTTGGTTTTGCTTTAAAGACCTGCAAACGTCGTAAGAGTGAGGATTGCTCATAAAGGGATTGATGTAACGGAAGGGTTCCCATACAAGGCAGTCACTAAATGAGGACTACTTATTTGAATTCCTAAAGAGAATAGGGTTGAATGTGTTGGTTTAGGCCAGGGGTCTTTAAACTTGGCCCTTTTATGACTTGTGGACTTCAACTCCCAGAATTCCTCAGCCAAAGTACGTGGCTGAGGAATTCTGGGATTTGAAGTCTACAAGTCATAAAAGGGCCGAGTTTGAAGACCCCTAGTTTAGGCCCTCTCTTTCAAGTCTAAGATTATCTGAATGTGAGGAAACTGTTTGAATCTTCATTCCAGCGCAGATTTTTGTTCTCGTCTTAAATCCTGCTTCAGATCTCCTATTCAATAGTAATAAATTTGATAAGACCACCCATCCCCTCGGTTTTATGATTTCTTTCTCTTTTCTGTGCTCCCAGAATCATAGGAGCCAACATGTCTTCAATGACAAATGACAGTGATAAGAGAGAGGGGGGAAAAAACAACAACACTGCTCAAACAAGTTATGGCCTCGGTTTGCCTTACTTTGATGTGTAAAAAGAAGGGAAGCCAATTTACAATCATTTTTATGTTGATCTGGAATTTTCTTCCTTGAAATTTACCTACAGTAAAAAAAGAATCCTGAGATGATGATGATGATAATTTCTTCTTCTTCTTCCTCTTCCTCTTCTCCTTCTCCTTCTCCTTCTCCTTCTCCTTCTTCTTCTTCTTCTTCTTCTCCCTCATCTCCTTCTCCTCCTCCTCCTCCTTCTCCTTCATTTCTTTCTTCCTTCTCTATCCTTCCCCTCTCCTGCCTCCCTCCCTTCCTCTCCTCCTCCTTCTTCCTCTCAGGTGCCCAACTCCTGGCTGTGATGGGTCCGGTCATATAACAGGAAATTATGCATCACATAGGAGGTAAGTTGAAAATGTGTGTACAAAAATGAGACCAATGGCAGACAGAGAAGAGGGGAATTGGTATATTGGGGGAACTCATAAGCCCAGGCCTCTTTTGAAGGAGGTCAAAAAAAGTCAAGACGGTGGCTACAACTACCCAATCCAATGCATGATCATGGCCACCATCTTGACCAGCTCTACATCATTTGCGTCAAGGGTACCTGTGGGGGCCTGGGCAGGAGTGGGATAGATCTGAGGGTCTCTGGCAGAAGGGGGTGGGACCAGGGCAAGTGCCAAGGCATAGTCCATTGTAGGAGCCTCACTGTTCCTCTCAGGCCATGCGGGGGGGGGGAGCTTATGGAACTAAGACTAAATGCGTTTCAGCATAGATGGCCACCACAAAATTGTACATTGGCTCCCGGCCAGCCAGGGCCAAGGCAGCGGGGGACATTCCCTCACTGTTTCCAGGATGGCTTCATGGGCCACATGAAACCATTTTGCGGGCCGCAACTGGCCCCCGGGCCTTGTGTTTGATATGTCTGTTTTAGAGTCTCAACATCTTTTTTACATCGTGGTGACCAAAACTGGATGCAGTATTCCAAGTGTGGCCTTACCAAGGCCTTGTAAAGTGGTATTAATACTTCAGTTTCCATCTGTTGTTTCTTGTCTTGCCTTCTGGTGCTTTGGAAAATAAAATTGCCCCCCTCTTCTTTGTGGTAGCCCCTTAAATACTAAAATACTGCTATCATGTCCCCCAGTCTTTCTTTTCTCTAGACTGACCATTCCCAAATCCTGCAACTGTTCTTCATATGTTTTAGTTTCCAGGCCTTTAACCCTCTTAGTTGCTCTTCTTTGCACTTTTTCCAAAGTCTCAAACATCTTTTTTTGTAATGTGGTGACCAAAACTGGATGCAGTATTCCAGATGTGGCCTTACTAAGGATTAATAAGGCAGTGCTAATACTTCACATGATTTTGATTCTATGCATTTCAGACAAAGGGTTGTCTGATCTATTCTTAAAAATCTCCAGGGATGGAGCATCCACGACCTCTGAAGGCAATGTTCAATGTTTATTTATATTGTGACAATCAAAACTGGATGCAGTATTCCAAGTGTGGTCTTACCAAGGCATTATAACGTGGTACTAACACTTCACATGATCTTGATTCTACCTCTCTGTTAATGCAGCCCAGCACTGTGTTGGCTTTTTTGGCAGCTGCTGCACATTGCTGGCTCATATTTAAGATTGTCCACTAGGACTCCCAGATCCGGCTCACAGTTATTACGGTACTATTGAGGCAGATACCTGTATCCGTTCCCCATTCATCTGCCATAACCATAAACAGTATGGAGTCCTTGGTACTCTCTGACTTTGCTTACTGTCTTACTAGCATTGATGATGTTACCTAGTTGGGTAATGAAACGTCTGCAAGAAAACAGTCAATCTCAGAAAGCACCAAGGACCCTCTCAGTTCAACCCTGAACTACAAATATTCTCCTTTGTGGCATGAACAGTATAAAACAGCTGTTAGAGAGAAGCCAGTCACATTCAAGTAAAAAAAACAACCTGATGCTAAGGAACTTTCTAAGCAATAAAATCAATAATTTTCCCTTCTGCAATTTTCCAACTTCCTATCCTGAGTCTACGGAACTGGACAGGATGTGACTAAAAATATATATAACTTATATATTCCTCAAAAAAAATTCAGTTTCAATTCCGCAGCCATTTCTAGTTGCTCTTTCAATTCAATTCAGATTAGAGCTGGAAGGGACCTTGGAGGTCTTCTAGTCCAACCCCCTGCTCAGGTAGGAGATCCCAAAATCATTTTAGACAGGAGGCTGTCCAGTCTCTTCTTAAAAACTTCCAGTGTTGGAGCACCCACAACTTCTGGAGGCAAGCTGTTCCACTGGGTAATTATTCTCATCGTTAGGAAGTTTCTCCTTAATTCCAGGTTGCTTCTCTCTTTGATTAGTTTCCATCCGTTGTTTCTTGTCCTGCCTTCTGGTGCTTTGGAAAATAAGTTGACCCCCTCTTCTTTGTGGCAGCTATCATGTCACCCCCTAGTCCAGTGGTTCTCAACCTGTGGGTCGGGACCCCATTTGGGGTTGAACGACCATTTCACGGGGGTCGCCAAACAAGGCTGTCCGCCATTTTTTCCTCCTTTTCTTTGGCCACGCCCCTGGCACCCGGTGATGTATAAGTGGTTGGGGGTCACCACAACATGGGGAACTGTATTATGGGGTCACGGCATTAGAAAGGTTGAGAACCACTGCCCTAGTCCTTCTTTTCTCTAGGCTAGCCATACCCAAATCCTGCAACCGTTCTTCTGTAGTTTCCAGGCCTTTAATCGTCTTAGTTGCTCTTCTCTGCATTTTTTCCAAAGTCTCAATGTCTTTTTTTTCCTTTGCCCAAATTGCAATGTATTTGGAAAAATTAGCAAGAGAGGAATCCGACTTTCATCTCTTCAATCTGATTTTCAAAACAAAAAGCTAAACTTCCCAGAATCAGATCACTTCCCTTCTCTGCAGCAGCCTAAAGATGAAAGGGTCAGATTTTAGCTGATGCAAAATTCCTGTTAATAACCCCAGCGTATTTATGACTCCTATTATCTTTTTCAAACATTAATGAGGACCTCCGCTGTCTCCCATTTGAACAGCTCCATTAACATCTGCCATCTGCTAGCTAATACCTTCCTAGCCAGACACTATTAATTGCAAAAGCTGCACCCCTCAGTGCAAATGACTGTCATTTCTTTCATTTTCTTTTTTTAATTTTCACCACCGCTTGCCTCCCCTCCGAGGCGTGGAAACGGAAATTATCAGATCAAAGCACGTGTGGGAATATCAAAGGGGGGGGGGGGGGAAATGGTTCCTTTCAGTGTTAGGATGAAAATGAGATGTTCATTTTCAGGAGCAAAGGGGTGTTCCCCCCCCCCATCAATTGATACTTTCCTGGGAGTAAGGTGTGTGTGTGTAAGGAAGATTCCCCGACTTGGGGGCCAGCCGGTCAATTATTTAGATGGTAGAACTTTCACTTTCTTTACTCACGTCCATCTTAGCCAGAGTTAGTTAGCTATTTACTGGTAGTCCTCAGTCCATCCAGTTTTGGTCACCACGATGTAAAAAAGATGTTGAGACTCTAGAAAGAGTACAGAGAAGAGCAACAAAGATGATTAGGGGACTGGAGGCCAAAACATATAAGGAATGGTTGCTGGAATTGGGTATGTCTAGTTTAACGAAGAGAAGGACGAGCGGGGACGTGATAGCAGCCTTCCAATATCTCAGGGGCTGCCCCAAAGAAGAGGGAATCAAGCTATTTTCCAAAGTGCCTGAAGGCAGGACAAGAAGCAATGGGTGGAAACTAATCAAGGAAAGAAGCAACCTAGAACTAAGGAGAAACTTCCTGACAGTGAGAACAATTAACCAGTAGAACAACCTTCCTCCAGAAGCTCTAAATCAGTGGTTCTCAACCTGTGGGTCGGGACCCCATTTGGGGTCGAACGACCATTTCACGGGGGTCGCCAAACAATGCAGTCAGCCATTTTCCCCCCTTTTCCTTAGCTGTGCTACTCCCTTTTATTCTGTTGGCTTTTGAAAGCCAATAGAATAGACTCTCTTGAATAGAGTCTAATTCTATTGGCTTTCAAAAGCCAATAGGAATTGTCCAGGCTGTCTCTGCCCTGCTGAGCCCGCCAAAAGTCCCATTCTACAAACGGTGCTGCACCAGTTGAATAGTCCTCGACTTACAACCGGTTGAGTAGTCCTCGACTTACGACCGGTTGGGGGTCACGGCATTAAAAAGGTTGAGAACCACTGCTCTAAATGCTCCAACACTGGAAGTCTTTAAGAAGAGACTGGACAACCATTTGTCTGAAATGGTATATAGAGTTTCCTGTTTGAGCAGGGGGTTGGACTAGATGACCTCTAAGCTCCCTTCCAACATTATTATTATAATTATTATTATTACTATTATTATTACTATTATTACTACTACTACTATTATTATTATTACAACTGAGCCCAGAATTTACGTTGCTGAGAAAATTGTTAAGTGAATTTTGCCCCATTTTGCCAACAGTTAAGTGAATCCCTGCAATTGTTAAGTTAGTAACATGGTTGTTAAGTGGATCTGGTTTCCCCCATTGACTCTGCTTATCAGAAGGTCACAAGAGGTGATCACATGACCCTGACACGCTGCAACTGTCATAAGTATGAGTCAGTTGCCAAAAGTCTGAATTTTGGTCATGCAACCAGGGGACTGCCGCAATGGTTGTAAGTGTGAAAAATGGACAAGTCACTCTTTTCAGTGCCATTGTAACTTTGAACGCTCACTAAATGAACTGTTGTAAGTCAGAGACTACCTGTATTTACTTATATCCTGCCTTTATTATTTTTTGTCAAGGCAGCAGGCAAAACTAATACCCCTTACTCTTCCTGATTTCCCTACAATAATCCTGTGAGGTGGGTTGGGCTGAACTAGAACTCACCATCTCCTGGTGATTGGCCCAAAGTCACCCAGCCAGCTTTCAAATCTAAAGAGACTAGAACTCACCATCTCTAGTAATTGGCCCAAAGTCTCCCAGCCGCTTTCACACCTAAGGAGGGACTAGAACTCACCGTCTCCTGGTGATTGGTCCAAACTCTCCCAGCTGTTTTCACACCTAAGGAGACTAGAACTCACCATCTCCTGGTGATTGGCCCAAAGTCTCCCAGCTGCTTTCAGCTCTAAGGTGGAATTGGAACTCACTATCTCCTGGTAATTGACCAAAGTCACCAAGCCAGAGCGGTCATAAGTGCGAGGCCCAAGGTTTTTTTTAGAGCTGTTGTAACTTCGAACAGTCGCTAAACGAATAATTGTACGTCGAAGATTACCCATAAGGCGACCAGCATCAAGATGGGAAGGAATTTGCCCAACTCATTGTGATGTCCATTTTTTTTCTCTTCTGTTTTTTTTTTAAAAAAAACCTATAGTTTATCAGGTTGCCCTCGTGCCAAGAAAAGTGGAATGAAAATCCCACCCACAAAGGATGACAAGGAGGATCCTGAACTGATGAAGTAAGTGAGGGGAAAATGTCTGAACCATTCAGAAAAGTTATTTTGTTCAGCAGGTGCTACCTCAACCACCAATCTGGAGAAAAAGCTACATTCGTTTGCAGTGGCAGGATTCAAATACCTGAAAAACTTGTTCTCTGCTTGGATGCCACTTCCGGAAGTCCATTCTGAGCCGTGCACTTCCAGTGGGCTGTTCTGGGCCTGGAAGGCCTCCCCGGCTCAGAAGGGACTTCCGGAAGTGGCATCCACGCACTTCCGGTGGGCTGTTCTGGGCCTGGGAGACATCCCAGGCTCCAAACAGACTTCCGGAAGTGGCATCCATGCACTTCCGGTGGGCCATTCTGAGTCTGGGAGGCTTTTTGGCTTGGCAGATCCCCCCCCCCATCTGACCCACATGCCAGTATACCGGTTCCTTACCACTGCCTGGCTTGTTTCACGGAGATGGCAAATGGCCACGGCCAGCAGCAAACAGCCGCGGTTGGCCAAAACCGGCCGTGGAAATTGCCAGGCAGCGATAAGGAACTGGTATATAATTGGCTAGTGGGGCACGTGGGTCAGATCCCCCTTCCCCCACCAGCTTTGCCTCGTCGCAGAGGCACTGGCAGCTTTCCCCCTTACCTCGTGTCTATGGTGGAAACCAGACAAAATTGGTGGCTGGCCATCTGCGCAGGCTCTTAAGTAGGACTTACTTTCAGGGGGAGGGCTTATATTAGGGCCACCCCCCCGACAATCAGCTGGGGCTTAATTTGGGGGGAGGGCTTACTTTTAGGGAAATACAGTATACTAGGATTAGTGGATGAGGGAATGAAATAATATTGAATTAAGAGATCAATCTTGGTCAGTCACCGGGACCAGAGAATTTGTCTTCCTCTCCAAGGTAGAGAGAAGGTCCCTGAGGATGGGATCCAGCACGAGTCCAAGAGCCCGGAAGACAAAAACCCCAATCCCAGTGACCGACCCAAATTGGATCCTGCAAGATTATTCTGGGACACATAGATTCACCTTCATTCGTGAAGTGAGAGAGTCTGTCTCTCGCCTTTATTTTCGCTTGAAAATAAAGTATTATCAGAGATACAGTCCTCCAGAAAACTGAGGTTGTTAGGGGCCAAGTGACTCAAAATGTCATGGATAATAAAATGCACACTACGCAAATGTCACGCAAGTTAATATGCATGCTTATACGAAAATACCTCTCCTGTTTTTGGACCTTTAAACCTGAGAGTCATGCCATTAACCCATTTCAGGGGGGTGAACGCAATAAAACTTGAGCCCCACACCAACCGTCCCGCGGCTACCTAACACTCTTAAGCCAGAACAAAAGCAAGTGAACACTTAGCAAGCTTAACGTATTGCACAAATATCACTGTGAGAACTTCTACTGACCTGATTCAGCATGTTTTGTGAATCCAATCCAATTTGGTTATAAAAAGGCGAGCGTATCTAATAAAAGGTTCAATTTTCAGCCTGGGCCACATTCACACATAGACACTTTTTCCCAATGCAAAGCTTGCATTGCATCAGACTAACATATGGATTTCATGTGAGCATTTTTGCTTCTTGAAAAAAAACAGGGTCTGTTGCATATTTCTGAAAACCGCCTTTCTCCTTCCTGGTTGCCTCTGCGGATAATATAATACAGGTAGTTCTCAACTTACGACCACAACTGAGCCCAATATTTCCGTTGCTAAGCAAGGTGGTTGTTAAGTGAGGTTTTCCCCCATTTTGCCATCTTTCCCCCCCCCCATAGCTGTTAAGTGAATCAGTGCAGTTCTTAAATGAATCATGTCAGCAAGTCTGGCAACCCCCGTTAACTTTGTTTCTCGGAAATCGGCTGGGAAGTTCACAAACGGTGATCACATGACCTGGGGACATTGCAACTTGCCAGCTGTGCAGCGTCCGAATTTTCATTATATGACCACAGGGATGCTCCACCGGTCGTAAGTGTGAAAAATGGCCATAAGTCCCTTTTTTCAGTGCTGTTGTAACTTCAAAAGGTCACTAAACAGATGGTTGAACTGCGGGGTCCTTGGCGCTCTCTGAGCTTGGTTGTTTCCTTGCAGATGTTTCATCACCCAACTAGGTAACATCATCAGTGCGAGTAAGGAGTTGGGTTTGCTGTCAGTTTATACTCTGGTGTCTTGCCTTCCTGGGTGGGAGGGGGGGCGGTCTTAGGGATTCTTCGGTTGGGCTGTTTACCAATGGCTCTTGGGCACTTTCTTGACTGGGGTATTGCTTGCTTGATGGTTGGTCTGAAGGTGACCTTGGAGCTAATCTAAACCTTGGTCACCTTCAGAGCAACAATCAAGTAAGCAATACCCCAGTCAAGAAACTGCCCAAGAGCCATTGGTAAACAGTCCAACTGAAGAATCCCTAAGATCGCTCCCACCCACTCACCCAGGCAGGCAAGACACTAGATAATATAAATAATATAATATAAATCCGCAGCAAACCACACTCCTTACCTAGTTAGGGTAATAAAATGTCTGCAGGGAAACAAGCAAGCTCAGAGAGCACCAAGGACCCCACAGTCATCGTTGTCATCCTCCTCCTCCTCCCCCCCATGTCCCCCACTCCCTTCTAACACTGATGATGTTATCTAGTTGGGTAATGAAATGTCTGCAAGAAAACAACCAAGCTCAGAAAGCACTAAGGACCCCACAGTCGTCCTCCTCCTCCTTCTCCTCCTCCTCCTCCTCCCCCTCTCCCTCCTCCCCCTCCTCCCCACTCCCTTCTAACACTGATGATGTTCCCTAGTTTGGTAATGAAACATCTGCAGGAAAGCAACCAAGCTCAGAGAGCACCAAGGATTCCACAGTCCTCCTCTTCCTCTTCCTCCCCCCCATGTCCCCCACTCCCTTCTAACACTGATGATGTTATCTAGTTAGGTAATGAAATGTCTGCAAGAAAACAACCAAGCTCAGAAAGCACTAAGGACCCCACAGTCGTCGTCGTCGTCCTCCTCCTCCTCCTCCTCCTCCTCCTCCCCACTCCCTGCTAACACTGATGATGTTCCCTAGTTTGGTAATGAAACGTCTGCAGGAAAGCAACCAAGCTCAGAGAGCACCAAGGATCCCACAGTCCTCCTCTTCCTCTTCCTCTCCCCCATGCCCCCCCCACTCCCTTCTAACACTGATAATGTTACCTAGTTAGGATAATGAAAAGTCTGCAAGAAAACAAGCAAGCTCAGAGAGCACTGAGGACCCCTCATTTCAACCCTGAGCTACAAATATTCTCCTTCATTGGTAGATGGTTGCAGGTCAAGGACTACCTGTATGTCAGGGCAGGTGAGATCACAGCATGTCCCCCCCCCCCCCGCCATCTCCCTGTTTCTCTTCTCTTCCTGTCTGTCCCCCCCCCCCCCCCACAGCAGGATACAATTTGAAAGAGAAAAAAAAAATACATTCCCCAGAGGTCTGAATTCCTGCAGGGAGAGGGTTTTTAAAATCCAGCCACAGTCTAGGAATTGCCCATGCTGCCATGGTTCAACCACAAGGGTCAATTAATTACCTCCGAGCCATCATCAGAATTGTCACACCTGGCATTTACATAACATTTGAAGTGGGTTCATCGTCCCTCATTATTTCAAGCCCTGCTACAGCACCGCACAGAATCCTACAGCTGTTGCAAGATTCTTTCTTAAACTATAAATACCAGCCCCGGGCTCTCAGTTTCTCTCTGTTTTCCCACGTTAACAAACTCTTCGGCTCAAATTTATTGCACGTTAGAGGTTGTTGCTAACACAAAGTGCTGTTGTCTCCAATAGCATCTGAGCTGGATCACAAGGAAAGGGGGGGTTTAACGGACCCCCCCTTTTTTTTTTTAGGATCACAATCCTAATTGCACATCTCTATTTGAAGAACCATTTGACATCAACTATATTACTTTTTCTGAATTACAGGGTGCCCTTGACTTACCATCATTTGTTTGGTGATCGTTCAAAGATACAACGGCACCATTTTAATGCCCATTGTTCACACTGACAACCGTGGCAGCATCCCCACGGTCACGTGATCAAAATTTGGACGCTTGGCAACCGACTCATACTTATGACAGTTGCAGCCTGTCGGGGTCATGTGATCTCCTTTTGCGACCTTCTGATGCAGTGGTTCTCAACCTGTGGGTCAGGACCCCATTTGGGGTCGAACGACCATTTCACGGGGGTCGCCAAACAACACAATCCGCCATTTTTCCCCCCTTTTCCTTAGCTGTGCTACTCCCTTTTATTCTATTGGCTTTTGAAAGCCAATAGAATAGACTCTCTTGAATAGAGTCTAATTCTATTGGCTTTCAAAAGCCAATAGGAATTGTCCAGGCTGTCTCTGCCCTGTTGAGCCCGCCAAAAGTCCCATTCTGCAAACGGTGCTGCAAGTTGTCTGCAGTGAAGGCGAGCTGTCTGGAAGTTTCCACCCCTCCCTGCTGAGCAACTACTAAAAATGTAAGGCCAGGAGTGGGAGGTGGGAGGCCGGCGGGCGCAGGGAGGGTTGCTGGCGTGCGTGGGGCCTGGCGGGTGTCTTACTTCCCTTGGGCTGGCCAGCTGGTGGCCCAGCCTGTGGTCGGCCTGCTCCGTCTCTACCGCTTGCCAGCTACGCCTCGGCCGGCGCAGGGGGCGGCACCACGCATGCGCGGCACTCCCAGGCAGGGAAAGTCCTCGACTTATGACCAGTTGGGTAGTCCTCAACTTACGACTGGTTGGGTAGTCCTCGACTTACGACTGGTTGGGGGTCGCGGCATTAAAAAGGTTGAGAACCACTGTTCTGATGAGAAACTCAGTGGGGAAGCCAGATTCACTTAACAACAGTGTTTCTAACTTAATGGCTGAAGTGATCCCTTTAACAACTGTGGCAAGAAACATCGTCAAATAGAGCAAAACCCCCTTAAGAATTTTCTTGCTTAGCCACAAAAATCCTGGGATCGGTGGCAGTCCTAAGTTGAGGATAACCAGCATTTAGTTGACCATCCTTTGCTATCTATTCCACTAAACAGCCCGAAAACAGACAACCTCATACAGACACCCTCCGTAGATCTCAAGCCAGCTGTTGGTGCCAATAAGATGCTGGTTTGTTTTTTTATAATATGAAGGCAACGAAAGTTAAATTAGCAATGTAAAATATTGGTGCTGTTGAATTGTCGCTTTCACCTTTCCATCTCTCTTTCCCTCTTTCTCTCGAGATTTCCGTCGATTCCTTACGATCACATCAACAGCGAGGCTGTTATGAATGTAGTCAGCATCCCGCTCGCAGGGATAGTATAGGAGAATTGCACCACATTTGCACGGGATTTAAAACAGGGCCAGGGTTTCCAAATTATCTCAGAGGGGGAATGAAATAGCCACCATGGGCTTCTCAGTCGTCAACTCCTCTGCTTTCTTTTTTTTCTAATGGAACAACATTAAAATGCTGATGGCGATAACAATGAAACATAGAATAATGAAACTCAAGCCAAACCACAGTATATATGTTGACAATTGCCTTTGAGATTCCTAATGGTTTCGCTGCGTAAAGGGGTAGCTCAGCTTCTATCCCACCAGGTTTATTCTATTGGTTAAATTTGTTTATTCTCACCCGTCTTGCCGTGGGGCTAGTCTAGGAGGCTTATGACAATAAAAAGGGAGAAATGAAAATAACGGCAAACATTAACAGTAGCAAAATAGTGGAACAATGGTATAAAGCAGTGGTTCTCAACCTGTGGGTCGGGACCCCATTTGGGGTCGAATGACCATTTCACGGGGGTCGCCAAACAACGCAGTCCGCCATTTTTTCCCCCTTTTCCTTAGCTGTGCTACTCCCTTTTATTCTATTGGCTTCTGAAAGCCAATAGAATAGACTCTCTTGAATAGAGTCTAATTCTATTGGCTTTCAAAAGCCAGTAGGAATTGTCCAGGCTGTCTCTGCCCTGCTGAGCCCGCCAAAAGTCCCATTCTGCAAACGGTGCTTACCGGCTGAGTAGTCCTCGACTTAAGACCGGTTGAGTAGTCCTCGACTTACGACCGGTTGGGGGTCACGGCATTAAAAAGGTTGAGAACCACTGGTATAAACAGTGACAAAGAAAACAATGAGAGTAGAGCGATATGACAATGAAAGATGGGCGGGTATGGAAACTGGGAGTGAGGAGGAAGATGGGGTTTGCTGTCAGCCTAGTTGCCACCTCCAGGGTGGTAGTGACCCCCCCCCCAAAAAAAGATTCCCTTTTCTGGGGTCCTTGGTGCTCTCTGAGCTTGATGGTTTTCTTGCAGACGTTTCATTACCAAACTAGGTCGCATCAGTGCTAGAAAGGAGTGGGGTTTGAGGGAGGGAGGGGGGGAGGAGGAGGACAACAATGACTGTGCAGATGTTTCATTACCAAACTAAGTAACACCATCAGTGCTAGAAGGGAGTAGGGCAGTGATGGCGAACCTTTTAGAGACCGAGTGCCCAAACCCACTTATTTATTACAAAGTGCCAGGGCCACATCAGCATTGTGGTGCCTTCATGGGGGGGGGGGCAGGGAGGCAACTCTGAGCACCGCCTCTGGCACGCAAAAACCGGGGATGCAAAAATTGGCCACCGTGCTGCAAGGTGCAAAAACGGCCGTGCCGTGGGGTGCAGATACAAGGCGCTGCACCACGCAAGAATGGGGCAGGGCTAGTGAGTATCGTGCAGGCACTAGCCCCGCCCCATTTGCAGCACGTGTGTGCTCGCGGCCCTGTGCACGCATGCATGCATGTAAAATGCTTCCCCCTCCCTTTTCTTCCAGTCCACCAATCAACAATGATTGGTGGCCTCTGCTTTACCACCTCTACTCCAGCTTGCTAGTCAGCCGCTTCACCTCCTTTGTGCTGGGCGGGGCTACTGCTCTGGGCAGCAGTGGTGGTCTGATGCACCTCCTGCTGGTGAGGGTGGTGTGTGTGCCAACAGAGAAGGCTCTGAGTGCCGCCTCTGGCACGCGTGCCATAGGTTCGCCATCACTGAAGTAGGGGGTGCAGAGTAGAGGAGGTGGAGACTGTGGGGTCCTTGGTACTCTCTGAGTTTGATTGTTTTCTTGCAGACGTTTCATTACCCATCTAGGTAATATCATCAGTGCACCGATGATGTTACTGTCATGGTTCCGACAGATGAAACTCTTCAAAAGAACTTTGAGGCATTGTTTACCTTAAAGGATCTTTATTTTGAGTAGCATAACATCGGCACTGCATAATCGAAGCCAAAAACTGGATTCCCCTCCCCTGAGCACATAGTATCAAAGCACAATTCCCTCCTCCAATTAACCGTCATAAATCACATTCCCCAATTAGCTTGAAATGCAGGCTTCCTATCCAGTTCTCCAGCTCTGCCAATTCCTTATCAGCTCTGGTTACAATAACCTTGTTTCTCACGCTAGGTCTAGAGATGTTATGTCTAGCTGGACTCTCGTTCACATCCCCCCTCCCAGCATCATCTAACTCTAAAAGCAAAAGATAAAAGATGGCTACATTTCCATCTGTTGTCAATGCAAAAACATCCGATATTAGCAACATTGACAGTTACCTAATTTGGTAATAAAACATCTATAAAAAAACCACCAAACTCAGAGACCACTAAGGACCCCACTTCCTCCTCCTCCTCCTCCTCCTCCTGCTGCTGAGCTGATCACAATTCAACACCTGAGCTCCAAATATTCTCTTTTATAGATTCCCTTTTTTTTTTAACAGTACCACCCTGTAACAAACACTGATGTATGCTTTTAAATGACAGTGTATTACAGTGATATTAACAACTGGTCCTTGGGAACGATTCCACAGGTGGATACAGGTAGTCCTCAACTTACGACTGCAGGGATTCACTTCACAGCTGTGGCAAGACAGGTCGCAAAATGGAGGAAAATTTCACTTGACCAACGTTTCGCTTAGCAACAAAAACGTTGGGCTCAAGCAGGGTTGTAAACAGTGGTGGGATTCAAATATGTCAGGGGCCTTCAAACTTGGCCCTTTTATGACTTGTGGACTTCAACTCCCAGAATTCCTCAGCCAGCAAGTCCTGAAGGGGCCTTAGTTCCCCCATGCTGGCTGAGGAATTCTGGGAGTTGAAGTCCACAAGTCCTGAAGGGGCCTTAGTTCCCCCATGCTGGCTGAGGAATTCTGGGAGTTGAAGTCCACAAGTCATGAAGGGGCTTTAGTTCCCCCACGCTGGCTGAGGAATTCTGGGAGTTGAAGTCCAGAAAGTCACAAAAGGGCCAAGTTTGAAGACCGCTGAAATATGTGAACAAACATTTCTCTGTGTGGATGCCACTTCTGGAAGTCCATTCTGGGCCTGGGCCACAAAAAAATTAGCTACCGGTTCTGCCGAAGCGGTGCAAACGGGCTGAATCCCACCACCAGTCGTAAGTCGGGGACTCAGGCCTCTGAGCGAATCAGATTCCATAGGATGGGAAGGGGCGGGGGCGGGTTCCTTTTCTAAGTTGCCATTCCTTAAGACCTCTTTGTACTTTGTACAGGTGCCCTGTTCCTGGGTGTGTTGGACTCGGACACATCAGTGGCAAATACGCCTCCCATCGCAGTGCCTCAGGCTGTCCCCTTGCGGCCCGGAGGCAGAAGGAAGGTTCCCTCAACGGCTCCTCCTTTTCATGGAAGTCGCTCAAGAATGAGGGTCCCACTTGCCCAACTCCTGGCTGCGATGGTTCAGGCCACGCCAATGGAAGCTTCCTCACTCACAGAAGGTAAATTTCAAGCATCCAGCATGACACAATAACAAGAACAATAGAGTTGGGAGGGACCTTGGAGGTCATCTAGTCCAACCCCCTGCTCAGGCAGGAAACCGTATACCATTTCAGACAGATGGTTGTCCAATCTCTTTTTGAAAACTTCCAGTGTTGGAGCATCCATAATTTCTGAGGTGAAAGTCGTTCCCCTGATTAATTGTTTACGCAAGAAATTTCTCCTCAGTCCCAGGTTGCTTCTCTCCTTGATTAGTTTCCATCCGTTGCTTCTTGTCCTGCCTTCAGGCGCTTTGGAGAATAGCTTGACTCCCTCTTCTTTGGGGCAGCCCCTGAGATATTGGAACACTGCTATCATGTTCCCCCTTGTCCTTCTCTTCGTTAAAATAGACATACCCAATTCCAGCAGCCGTTCCTTATATGTTTTAGCCTCCAGTCCCCTAATCATCTTTGTTGCTCTTCTCTGTACTCTTTCTAGAGTCTCAACATCTTTTTTACATCGTGGTGACCAAAACTGGATGCAGCATTCCGAGTGTGGCCTTACCAAGGCATTGAAGAGTGGTATTAGCATTTCACGTGATCTTGATCCTCAAATATTGTTTTTGATTTCCAGTAGCTTTCATGTCCAGGTCACGATATCCTTATTACCGTGAGCTGTCTTCGTCACCAGCCTCCACAAGCACTCTAAATAACTTTTTTTTTGTAATATATTCAGCCTTTTAGCCTCATAAGTGCTCTCCAGGCCCCTATAAAGATTAAATCGCTATAAAATTAAATATCCCTGTTTTATGCCCATTTTTACAACAGGTGCTCCTCAGCTTACAACCACAGCTGAGACCTTACCTTAATTTCCGTGGCTAAGCGAGACAGTTCTGGAGTGAGTTTTGCCCCCATTTTACGACCTTTCTTGCCACTGTTGTTAACTGAATCATTGCGGTTCTTAAGTTAGTAACACGGTTGTTAAGTGAATCTGGTTTCCCCATTGACTTGGCTTGTCCAAAGGTCATAAAAGGGGATCCTGTGACTCCCAGGGACACTGCAGCCATCATAACTACCAGCCAGTTGCCAAACCAAGTCCGAATTTTGATCACGTGACCATGGGGATGCTGCAATAGTCATAAGTGTTGCTCTCTTTTCAGAGAAGAGCAACAAAGATAATCAGGGGAGGCTAAAACATATAAGGAACGGTTGCTGGAATTGGGTATGTCTAGTTTAACGAAGAGAAGGACGAGGGGGACATGATAGCAGTATTCCAGTATTTCAGGGGCTGCCACAAAGAAGAGGGAGTGAAGCTATTCTCCAAAGCCCCTGAAGGCAGGACAAGAAGCAACGGATGGAAACTAACCAAGGAGAGAAGCAACCTAGAACTAAGAAGAAACTTCCTGACAGTTAGAACAATTAACCAGTGGAACAACCTGCCTCCAGAAGCTGTGAATGCTCCAACACTGGAAGTTTTTAAGAAGAGACTGGACAGCCATTTGTCTGAAATGGTATAGGGTTTCCTGCCTGAACAGGGGGTTGGACTAGATGACCTACAAGGTCCCTTCCAAGTCTGTTATTCTATTCTGTTCTGTTCTATTCCCATTCCATTCTTATTCCCATTCCCATTCTATTCTATTCTATTCTATTCTATTCTATTCTATTCTATTCTATTCTATTCTAACTTTGAATGTACAAATAACTGTTGTACGCCAAGGATATCTGTATGGCGAATGCTAGTTAGAATTCTTCTTAATAATGGCATCTTGTGGAATGCTCAAATCTCAGTCCTGAGCAGTACAGTACAATTTCCTTTAGTGACCAACCTTTCCTTTAGTGACCATTTGAAGTTACATTGGCACTGAAAAAAAGTGATTTACATCAGGTCCTCGTCCTAATGTCTGTCGCAGCATCCTCATAGTCATGTGATCAGATTTCAGAGGCTCGGCCACTGACGTGTTCTTACGACAGTTGTAGCATCCCACATGATTGCATTTGTGATCTTCCCAGTCAGCTTCTGACAAGCAACATCAATGGAAAAATCCATATTTTGCTTATTGACCCTAAGATTCACTTAACAAGTAGAATGATTTGCTTAACAACAGTAGCAAAAAGGTTGTTAAGTTGGAGCAGGATTTGCTTAGCGATGGAAATGTTGGTCCCAGCTATGACTGTAAGTCGAGGACTATCTTAACAATGTAATATAGCAAGTTCCAGAAATCCAAATTTAGGAGACATCAAGCATTCACTTCCATTAAAAACTTCATTTTAGGGCCAAGTCGTATGATTGTATCTTTTTATGGGCAATCTGCAACTGAGTTCCTCTAATATATAAATTCTTACCCAAATGCAAGGCTGTTCATGTCATAATGAATTTCTAATGGATGTATAAAAAAATACTGCTTATAAACCCGAGGGGAAAGATGCCACTGAGAAACAAATTTACCACAAACATAAAATAGATGTTTTCTTGTTCTAATTTTCCTCCCCCTGACAAAGGAGAAAAATAATAAAAAAGCAGAAATTAGAAAAATCAATCCTTCTCTCAAAGAAGGCAAAAATATTTTGTTTGAAAATGAATGTAACATCAGTCAAGCACATTTTCTTCAAGTGCAGAGAAAAGCAACAAAGATGATCAGGGGAGTGGGGGCTAAAACATATAAGGAACGGCTGCTAGAATTGGGTATGTCTAGTTTAACGAAGAGAAGGACAAGGGGGGACATGATAGCAGTGTTCCAATATCTCAGGGGCTGCCATAAAGAAGAGGGAATTAAGCTATTCTCCAAAGCACCTGAAGGCAGGACAAGAAGCAACGGATGGAAACTAACCAAGGAGAGAAGCAACCTAGAACTAAGGAGAAATTTCCTGACAGTTAGAACAATTAACCAGTGGAACAACCTGCCTCCAGAAGCGGTGAATGCTCCAACACTGGAAGTTTTTAAGAAGAGACTGGACAACAATTTATCTGAAATGGTATAGGCTCTCCTGCTTGAGCAGGAGGTTGGACTAGATGACCTCTAAGGTTCCTTCCAACGCTGTTATTCTGTTAAGTTTCCAAACTCTTCAGTGATCTTCTATTTTTAAAATCAGAACTGAAACATTTGCTAGAGTGAATCCTTTCCAAGGAAACAATTCTCAGAACAGCATCTGCTCAGCGCTAACCCTATCCTAATTATTTTTGAGGGTTCTGTTATACAAGTTGTGTGGATCAACAGTCATCTTTGGCTCTCAGTGGGATAGCACGTCCACAGACAGAGCTGGTGTTCAATTTGGGGGGGTTCATCCTGGACTTCTTTATTTTATTTTTTATTATTTTATTTTATTTATTTTATTTCATTTATTTGTATCCTGCGTTTATTATTTTTACAAATAGCAATAGCACTTAAACTTATATACCACTTCACAGCACTTTACAGCTCTAAGTGGTTTACAGAATCAGCTTGTTGCCCCCAACAATCCGGGTTCTCATTTTTACCGACTTTGGAAGGATGGAATGCTGAGTTAACCTTGAGCCAGTTAGGATCGAACTGCTGGCAGTGGAACACAGTGTTAGCCTGAAATATTGCATTCTAATAGATAGATTGGAACAGAGATAGATAGATAGATAGATAGATAGATAGATAGATAGATAGATAGATAGATAGATAGATGGATGGATGGATGGACGGAGGGAGGGAGACAGACAGACAGACATACAGACAGACAGACAAGGTAGGTAGGTAGAGATAGACAGACAGACAGACATACATACATACATACATACAGACAGACAGACAGACAGACAAGGTAGGTAGGTAGGTAGATAGAGATAGATAGACATAGGTAGGTAGGTATATACAGACAGACAAGGTAGGTAGGTAGGTAGAGATAGACAGACAGATATAGGTAAGTAGGTAGGTAGGTAGGTAGGTAGAGATAGATAGAAAGACAGATATAGGTAGGTAGTAGGTAGGTATATAGACAGACAGACTAGATAGGTAGGTAGATAGAGATAGATAAACAGACAGATATTAGTAGATAGATAGATAGATAGATAGATAGATAGATAGATAGATAGATAGATAGATAGATAGATAGATAGATAGATAGATAGATAGCAATAGTGCTTAGATTTATGTACTGCTTCACAGCCCTCCCTAAGCAGTTCACAGAGTCAGCCTCTTACCCCCAACAATCTGGGTCCTCATTTTTACCGACCTCAGATGAATGGAAGACTCAGTCAACCTTGAGCCGGCCAGGATCAAACTGCTGGCAGTTGGCAGAGTGCAATGCTGCATTCTAACCACTGCACTACCACAGCTCTTAATAGCAATAGCACTTAGACTTATGTACTGCTTCACAGCGCTTTTTACTGCCCTCTCTGAGCGGTTTACAGAGTCAGCCTCTTTGCCCCCAGCATTCTGGGTCCTCATTTTACCGACCTTGTTGAGATTCGAACTGCCAAACTGCTGGCAATCAGCAGTCAGCAGAATTAGCCTGCAGTACTGCATTCTAACCACTGTGCCATCACGACTGATAACTTAAGACAGTGAACAAATGCAGTTAGCCCTTGACTTAGCCCCACTTGTTTAGTGGCCATTTGAAGTTACAACAGCACCGAAAAAGGTGACGAATGACCTGCCACTGCAGTATCTCCATGGTCATGTGATCAAAATTCAGATGTTCGGCAACTGGCAGGTATTTATGACGATTACGGTCATGTGACTTCCTTTTGCAGCCTTTTGACGAGCAAAGCCAATTCAGTTAACAACCGCGTTGCTAATTTAACTGCAGTGATTCAGTTAACAACTCTGGCAAGGAAGGTCGTAAAGTGGAGCTTAGCAACGGTCCCACCCAGCAATGGAAATTTGGGGCTCAATTGTGGTCGTACGCTGAGGACTACCTGTCATGTCAAGAAGGATAGAGCAATGACAGTACTTGGGTGCAATGCAATCATTGACCAAATATTACCAATTGGTCTTCACAAACAATAGCAATAGGATTTAGTATTTACAGTATATACTGGCCGGTAGTGCTTTACAGCAGAGGTCACCAATCTTTGTCAGTTGGCAGACCGGAGGAAAAGGGAGGGGGAAGCATTTTACACGTGCGCACGCGTAGGCATGGAGCCGCAAGCACATGCGTGCCGCAAATGGGATGGGGCTAGCACCCGCGTGATACTCACTAGCCCTGCCCCATTCTTGCATGGTGCAGTGTCTTGTTTCTGTGCCCTGCAGTGCTGTTTTTGCACCCCGCGGCACCGCAGTGGCCATTTTTGCATCTTGCAGTGTGGCGGTGGCCTGTTTTGTGCCCTGTGCCGCGGTGTCCCATTTTGGCATCCCAGGGTGCAGCAGCAACCCGCTTTTGCACCCCGTGGTGCGGCGTCCAGTTTTAGCGCCCCACAACCATGGTGCTAAGACAAGTGAGGGGGTGTGCATACACATGCGCACACACTGGCCGGCCTGTCCCACGGCCCGGTGGCCAGGAGGCCACGGCCCACTACTGGGCCACGGGCCACAGGTTGGGGACCCCTGCTTTACAGCACTCTCTGGGCAGTTTACAATGTAAGCATCGTTTACATATTGCTTCCAACAATGTGACTCCTCATTTTACTGACCTCGGGATGACGGAAAAGGCTGAGTCAACCTCGAGCCCTATCACAGTGGTGGCGAACCTATGGCATGGGTGCCAGAGGTGGCACTCAGAGCCCTCTCTGTGGGCACACGCGCCGTCGCCCCAGTCCTAGGTCTTCAGCTGGGTTTTATAAAACCTTTTCGCTTTAGGCCTCCGCTGCCGTGTACAAAAAAAAAAGGTTCAATCAGTCAATTTCAACTTCTCTCGGGGGAAAAAAAAGATCTTGCAAAGTTGGAATTGATTGATTGAAATTTTTAGTCCCACCCAGTCTGCTGTTACTACCGTAGCCACAGCCACCCAATGGGCCACACTCACCTGGCACCCAACGATGCATAAGTGGGTTTTGGGTTACAGTTAGGGCACTCCGTCTCTAAAAGGTTCGCCATCACTGCCCTATCAGGATCAAACTTCAGGCTGTGGGCAGAGTTTCCCTGCAATAATGCATTCTAACCACTGCGTCTCCAGGGCTCTTTAAAGAACCCTTTACTAGAACAGCGATCCAAGTGTACGCTCCCGTCAACCAAGCAGAAGACAAGGAGATTGGCTAGTTTTATGGTAACCTTTAATCTGAAACTGACAGGACAGGCAAGCAAAATATACTGCTTATGGCTGGAGGCTGAAATGTCATCGTAGTAATTGGTATGGAAGGAAACATTGGCTTGTACAGCCGGTGCAACAAAAATAAAATGAAAAGCAGCTTATCAGATACTTCCAGGCTGATGATTCATCCGTTGCTTGTGCATTCTTCAAACGTTCAAAAAAAAGTGCCTGCGTGCATGACCATCACTGGACAGAGCACCCAGAAATTAAATCGATTACTAGTACAAGAATATTGTACTGCATATAGTATAATATTTTCTCTGTGACTGCTGTTGTGTGTGATACAGGTAGAGTTGACGTAAAACCATGTTTAGCAGCCAGCTGTTCAAAGCTATAACAGCACTGAAAAAAAGTGGTCCTCACATTTATAACTGTCGCTACATCCCACGGTAACATGATCAAAATTTGGGCATTTGGCAAGCGGCACGTGTCCTGGGGTCACGTGATCACCATCTGCATCCTTCCCAGCCAGCTTCTGACAAGCAAAGTCAACGGGGAAAGCCAGATTTTGATGAATGACTGTATGATTCACTTAACAACCAGGGTAAAAAGGTTGTAAAATTGGGCACAGCTTACTTAACGACTTCCTGGATCCTGCCACAGAAATTCCGGTCGTACGTCGAGGATTATCTGTATAGCACAATCGAAAGCTATCTCATTTATACTTGACTTCAACAATTAGCAATATTCTAGGATTTGAAACTGACTGCTTGTCCATTCCTAACATTTCCTGACTCAATCTACCTGATTAACAATCATGTAATGAATTCACCGAGCTATGCCAGATTTAATATTAATGGATGTCGATAACAGAGGTCTTCTGGATTATTGTAAGGAATAAGATTTAATTACCCACATTAATGTGGCTTTTATATTTCTAATTGCTGTTTTCATATTTTCTGTTTTAATTGTTGAGTGCTGCCCAGAATCAGGGGACAGAGGGAGAGAGGGAGGGAGGAAATGGGAGGGAGGGAGGAAGAAATATGAGAGGGAGGGAGGAAATGGGGGGAGGGAGGGAGGAAGGAAATGGGAGAGAAGGAGGAAGTAATAAAGGAAATGGGAGGGAGGAAGGAAATGGGAGGAAGGAAGAAAGAAAGGAAGGAAAGAAATTGAGGCGAGGGAGGGAGGGAGGAAGAAAATGGGAGGGAGGGAGAGAGGGAAGAAGGAAATGGGAGGGAAGGAGGGAAGGAGGAAGGAAATGGGAGGGAGGGAGGGAGGGAGGACATGGGAGGGAAGGTGGGAGGGAGGAAGGAAATGGGAAGGAGGGAGGGAGGGAGGGAGGGAGGAAGGACATGGGAGGGAAGGTGGGAGGGAGGGAGGGGGGAGGGAGGGAGGGAGGGAGGAAGGAAGGAAGGAAATTGGGGAGAGGGAAGAAGGAAATGGGAGGGAGGGAGAAAGGAAGGAAGGAAATGGGAGGGAGGGAGAGAGGAAGGAAGGAGAACAAGATAGGACACATTTTTTCAACATATACGGTACTGCAGCATGTCAACTAAGCTTGAATTATTGCCTGGTTACAGCTCCTTTTGGAAGTTCTAATTTTTTTCTTTTTTCTTTCAGCTTATCGGGATGTCCAAGAGCTACTTTTGCTGGAAAAAAAGGGAAAATCTCAGGGGATGATATGCTCAATGCTAAATTCAAGACCAGTGATGGTAAAAATAATTTGTCTTCTTATTAATTTGGGGGCAGAGCAATCTAACATTGGGGTGCCGGGTGCTCTCTCTGAGCTTGGTTATTTTCTTGCAGACATTTCATTACCCAACTAGGTAACACCATCAGTCTGTGCACCTTTGTTTTATACATTGTACATAACCACCGTATTCATACTCTTCTCTGATCAGGATGACCCATACAGGTTAAATTTGAACGACCTAATTTGTTTAAAAATTGCACTACAATTTCAGCAAGATATTCCCTTGCACTTCGGAAGTCCCTCACAATTATGAACAGATTCGGCTTCGCTTTGCAACTTCTCCAATATGTCCACAAAATGTGTAACCTTTCCAAAGAAATTTTGTTCAAGAAATCTATTTCTAATCATGAATACCAGTAGTTCTCAATTTGCAACCATAACTGAGCAGGGAATTACAGCTGTTAGACTAGACATGTCAAACACAAGGCCCGGGGGCTGGATGCGGCCCGCGAAGTGGTTTCATGTGGCCCGCGAAGCCATCCTGGAAACAGTGAGGGAACGGCCCCCGCTGCCTTGGCCCTGGCCCAGGCCGACCGGGAGCCAATGTACAATTTTGTGGTGGCCATCTATGCTGAAACGCATTCAGTCTTAGCTCCACAAGGCCGTCTGGAAACAGCGAGGAACTAGCCCCTGCCGTGTGGGCCCCGTCCCCTGGGTGCATGCTGGGGGGGTGTCACCCTTTGTGAGGAATGAAGAAATGGGCCATGCCTTGGCGCTTGCCCCGGTCCCTCCCCCTTCTGCCAGAGACCCTCAGGTCTGTCCCACTCCTGCCCAGGCTCCCACAGGCACACTTGACGCGAACGATGTAGAGCTGGCCATGCCCACCCAGTAGGCCACACCTACTCCATCCATGCCCACCAGTAAGCCACACCCACCCTGGCCACAACCACCCGTCCCCCCCCAAGGGTAACCACAATGCTGATGCGGCCCTCAATGAAATTGAGTTTAACATCCCTGTGTTAGACCATGGCAGTCATTAAATGGGTCACCATATCACCGGGCTTGATTTTACAATCTTTTTTGTAATGGTCGTTAAATGAACAAGAGGGTTGTTAAATGAAGCCATTATACCTAATGGGGGAGGGGTTTGCCAGAAACCAGAACACTGAAAATGCCCCCCCCCCAAAAACCCATCAAAAATTCTGGTCATGTGACTGCAGGATGCTGCAAAGAGTTGTAAATGCAAGCTGGTTGTCAAGCACCCAAAATGCAAGGAGTGGGCGGGGCCATCGGAACTCTGACGGCTGGTGGCCAGTAACTTTTGGGGGCTCCACCATTACTTCAAATGGTTGCTAGGCAACCAGTCATTAAGTAGGACTGCCTCTACCTATAGGTCAGGGGTAGGCAACCTTGGCCCCTTCATGACTCTGTGGACTTCAACTCCCAGAATTCCTGAGTCAGCATAGCTCAGCTTGGAAACCTCTCCCTTTTCCCTCAGCGTGGCTGGCTTAGGAATTCTGGGAGTTGAAGTCCACAGAGTCATGAAGGGGCCAAGGTTGCCTACCCCTGCTATAGGTAGTCCCCTACATTTTTAGTGACCAGTGGAAATTTGAAAAGCATTGAAAAAAAGTAATTTATGACCAGTGTTCACCCTTACGACAGCTGTACCATCCGCATGGTCACGTGATCAAAATCCGGAAGACTTGGCAACTGGCATGAATTTATGACGGTTGCACTGTCCCGGGGGGGTGTCACGTGATCACCATTTGTGACCTTCTCAGCTGGCTTCTGGCAAGCAAAGTCAACGGGGGAAGCCAGATTCGCTTAATGACTGCACGATTCGCTTTACAAATGTGGTGACTCAACTGTGGCAAAAAAAGTTAAAATGAGGCAAAACTCACTTTGCGATGGAAATTATGGACCCGGTTGTGGCTGTAAGTCGAGGACTACCTGCATTGGCCAACCTACTTTCTTGGGGCTGATGAGTTTAATTTGTTGCTTTTATGATTCATTATAATTCCTAATAACAAATTGGGAAATGTGGAATAGAATAGAATAGAATAGAATAGAATAGAATAGAATAGAATAGAATAGAATAGAATAGAATAGAATAGATCTGGAAGGGACCTTGGAGGTCTTCTAGTCCAGCCCCCTGCTCAAGCAGGAGGACCTATACCAACTCAGACAAGTGACTGTCTAGTCTCTTCTTAAAAATCTCCAGTGGTGGAGCGCCCACGATTTCTAGAGGCAAGCTGTTCCACTGGTTAATTGTCCTGAATGTCAGGAAGTTTCTCCTTAATCCAGGTTGCTTCTCTCTTTGATCAGTTTCCATCCATTGCTTCTTGTCCTGCCCTCTGGTGCTTTGGAGAATAATTTGACCTCTTCTTTGTGGCAGCCTCTCAATACTGGTACACTCCTATCATGTCACCCCTTTTTCTTCTTTTCTTTGCAAAATGTTTGAATACATCTGGGGCTGGGTTTGAAAAAAAAAACTAAGGTGATGATGGCGGTGTTCTTCCCCTCTTGTGTCTTAAAGTTCTAGAGAATGACGAAGAAATCAAACAGTTAAACAATGAAATCAGTGAACTGAATGAATCCAACAGTGAGATGGAAGCAGCAATGGTGAAGCTGCAGTCCCAGGTAGGCTGGCATGTTGTTATTGTGATGGACCATCAAAACACAGGCCGATGGCGGGTAGAAAAAAGTGGCTGAAAGGGAGCAGTGTTCACCAACCTTGGCAACTGTATGATGTGGTGGACTTCAACTCCTAGAATTCCCCAGCCAAAATGGCTGCCTGGGGAATTCTGGGAGTTGAAGTCTACACACCGTAAATTGCTCTATCTGTGGACATTCTCAGTCATCCAGGTCATGGTTCTACCAAAGGTGCTTTTTCAAATAGGAACTGGACTGAATGGTGGATGATGATGATGATGATGATGATGATGATGATGATGATGATGATGGAAGGGACCTTGGAGATCTTCTAATCCAACCTCCTGCTCAGGCAGGAAACCCTATACCAGGGGTCTTCAAACTTGGCCCTTTTATGACTTGTGGACTTTAACTCCCAGAATTCTTCAGCCAGGCGTGCTGGCTGAGGAATTCTGGGAGTTGAAGTCCATAAGTCATAAAAGGGCCAAGTTTGAAGATTCCTAACCTATACCATTTCAGACAAATGGTTGTCCAATCTCTTCTTAAAAGCTTCCAGTGTTGAAGCATTCACAGCTTCTGGAGGCAGGTTGTTCCACTAATTATTGTTCTCACTGTCAGGAAATTTCTCCTTCATTCTAGGTTGCTTCTCTCCTTGATTAGTTTCCATCCACTGCTTCTTGCTTTGGGGAATAGCTTGACTCCCTCTTCTTTGTGGCAGCCCCTGAGATACTGGAAGACTGCTATCATGTCACCCCTAGTCCTTCTCTTCATCAGACTAGACAATTCCTGCAACCGTTCTTTATATATTTTAGCCTCCAATTCCCTGATCATCTTTGTTGCTCTTCTCTGTATGAAAGGATTATATTCCTTGCAGTCACCTGGTCGTTAGCTCTCTCTCTGAGAGACGTTGAGACCACTTGGAGATTTATCTCTGCCCTCAGGGCCACCTGAATAGTGTAAATGTGTGTGCAAGAGGGGGTCAAAGAGGCTACATTAAGACTGAACAGCCCTCTCTCAATAAAGGGGGAGGGATACGAACCTACCTATCTCCTGTTTACAACGCAGTCCTTTCAGCAGTTCCAAGAAGGTTCCACATCCATTTGCACATTATTCAGGTGACCCTGAGGGCACAGAGAAACCTCCAAATGGCCTCAACGGCTCTCCGAAAGAGTCCTAACGACCAGATGACTGTAAGGAATATAAATCCCTCCCATCCCCCGCCATTCAGTCAGAACGGAAGAAGCTTCTTGAATGACAAGCGAAATGCCTTCAAAGAAAGACATAGTCCAGTTGCCTTTTTTTTTCTTTAAAAAAAAAGCACCTTTGGAGTAAATTGTTCTAGAACCTTCACTGAGCTTTCAAAAGCTACAGTACTGGCCAGGACCCCTGTAACCCTTCTCCCTTGCGTCCGGCAGATCTCCAGCATGGAGAAGAACCTCAAGACCATCGAAGAGGAGAACAAGATGATAGAGGAGCAGAACGAAGCCCTCTTCCTGGAGCTCTCAGGGCTGAGCCAGACCCTTATCCAAAGCCTTGCCAATATCCGCCTTCCACACATGGTAAGGAGATGGGTGATCGTATCCCGGTTTTTGTAAGCAATTGTTGCACGAGGTTTTTCCTTCAGAAGTGGGAGAGTGGATGCCTCTGAATCATTTGGTTCATTCCTTTTTACCCAGTACAGGTAGTCCTTGACTTACAACAGTTCGTTTAGTGACCGTTCTAAGTTACAACGTCACTGCAAAAAGAGACTGTTGACAGTTTTTTCTATTCTATTCTATTCCATTCCATTCCATATTTTCTATTCTATTCCATTCCATATTTTCTATTCTATTCTATTCTACTCTAATCTACTCTACTCTACTCTACTCTGCCTCCAAGAGTAGAGTAGAGTGGAGTAGAATAGAATAGAATAGAATAGAATAGAATAGAATAGAATAGAATAGAATAGAATAGAATAGAATAGAATAGAATAGAATAGATGAGGATGGTGATGAGAATATAGAATAGGATAGGATAGGATAGGGTAGGGTAGGGTAGGGTAGGGTAGGGTAGGGTAGAGTAGAGTAGAATAGAATAGAATAGAATAGAATAGAATAGAATAGAATAGAATAGAATAGAATAGAATAGGTGATGGCACTTAACAACTGCGCAAGAAAAGTTCATAAAATGGGGCAAAACTCATTTAACCAATGTCTCACTTAGCAACAAAAACCTTAGGCTCAATTGTGGTCATATGATGAGGATTACCTGTATAAGGTAATTAGGGAGCCAGTTCCGTCTAGTGCAGGGGTAGGCAACCTTGGCTCTTTTATGACTCGTCGACTTCAACGAGTTGAAAGGGGGTACGCTCAAACGAATGTTCTGCTCTTGAATTTTTTCAGAAGCTTCAGAAGGGGTTGTTGAACGATTTGGCATGGCCCAGCAAATGATAACTGTTTAATACTCTTGCTAACGTTTTGTTCCTCACCAGGAACCATCCACCATGTGCAATCTAATGCACGATTTCCATTTTCTGGGACTGTTCGGGTGTTGTTTTTATACCAGCATTCATTATACTATAACAAATACCCTTATACATCTTATATTCTACACTCCTTTGGGCATTTTTATGCTAGTTTATAAATCTTCTCCAAAGATGCCTTTCTTTTCCAGCACTGCACAAGCAATTATTCCGGACGAAATGCCTTCCTCCTTCTGCTAGCATACGGAATCTGCATCGCTGCCCTCTGGACTGTGATTAACTGTTAGAGAACCTCATTAGCCATTATTTATGGCCTGGTTAATGAGGGTAGCAGACCTCCTGCTGCTTGTATCTATTTCATACATGTTCAGTGTGTTATTTGCAATTTATTCCTTTCTCCCAGGCTTAGAGACACAACACTGTGCAACTGGTGTGGGACTGGGATCTGGGAAAGTTATGCTCTTTGCTCTTCAGCTCTTCAATTCTCCACAAAATGCACAGATCACCGCTGGAATAACTCCGTTCAGAAAGCGGATTGTACCTTATTATTAGTAATAATAAGGGTTTTGAATTGGTGTTTTTGTAATGTAGCCGTTATTAGGTCCCCAGTTTGAAACCAAAGTTTTCAATGAAAAAGTGAAAAACCTTTCACCAGCCAAAGGTTAAAATGAAAAATACAGGTAGTCCTCAACTTACATCAGTTCATTTAGTGGCCATTCAAAGTTACAACAGCACTGCAAAGAGTGACTCAGACTTCAACGGTTGCAGCATCCCCGTGGTCACGTGATCAAAATTTAGACGCTTGGCAACTGAATCGTATTTATGACGGTTGCAGTGTCCCGGGGCCCTGTGATTCTTGTGACTTTCTGACGAGCAAAGTCAATGGGGGGGGGAACCACATTCTCTTAACAACCGTGTTCCTAACTTAACCGCTGCAGTGATTCACTTAACAACTGTGCAACAAAAGATCGTAAAATGGGACAAAAGTCACTTAACCAATGTCTCACTTAGCAAAAAAATCCTTGGGCTCAATTGTGGTCATACGTTGAGGACTACCTTTATAAAATATTTAGGGAGCCAGTTCTGTCTAGCATAGGGGCAGGCAACCTTGGCTCTTTTATGACTCGTGGACTTCAACTCCCAGAATTCCTGAGCCAGCCATGCTGAGGGGAAAGGGAGAGTTTCCAAGCTGAGCCAGGCTGGCTCAGGAATTCTGGGAGTTGAAGTCCACGAGTCATCAAAGAGCCAAGGTTGTCTACCCCAGGTTTAGTGGTTAAGGCACCAGACTAGAAATCAGGAGATCTGTCAGCTGCCACCTTACACCTGCCTATGCTTTCTTACCATGCGGTGACAGTCTGCCATGAATTCTGGGGAGGGGGGAGATGGAAGGGGGATGCTTGGAGGAAAATGAAAGTAACTGCTGTATCTCCCTGAGATACTGCTTCAAGGTCACCCAGCTGGGAGAATAATGATGATGATGATGAGGATGATGATGATGATGATAAAATTAAACTGCTCTGGGACTTCAGAATTCAAACAGACAAGCACCTGCAACATAACACCCCAGACTTAACAATTGTCGATAAGAAAGACAAAAAAGTCTGGATAGTGGACGTGGCAGTGCCTGGAGACAGCAGAATAGAAGAGAAAGAACTGGAGAAGATAACAAAATACAAAGACCTACAAATAGAAATAGAAAGACTGTGGCAAAAGCAAGCAAGGGTAGTACCAATAGTGATAGGCTCCTTGGGTGCAATCCCAAAACAACTGGAGCATCACTTGAACACCATTGGCATTGACAAATTCGCTATTAGTCAATTGCAAAAGGCGGCCTTACTGGGAACTGCTTCCATCCTGCGACAATATCTGTAATACCATGAAACATCCACATCTGCCTATCCCAGGTCCTGGGTAAGGACAAGAAAGTTAGAGAAAATGCCAAATCCAGTCTGAACATCTGGCTGACTGTGCGATGATCCATAATAATAATAAAGTTGGAAGGGACCTTGGAAGTCATCTAGTCCAACCCCCTGCCCAGGCAGGAAACCCTATACCATTTCAGACAAATGGCTGTCCAGCCTCTTCTTAAAAACTTCCAGGGTTGGAGCATTCGCCGCTTCTGGAGGCAAGTAGTTCCACTGGTTAATTGTTCTAACTGTCAGGAAGTTTCTCCTTAGTTCCAGGTTGCTTCTCTCCTTGATTAGTTTCCATCCGTTGCTTCTTGTCCTGCCTTCAGGTGCTATGGAAAATAGCTTGACTCGCTCTTCTTTGTGGCAGCCCCTGAGATATTGGAAGGCTGCTATCAAGTCCCCCCTCGTCCTTCTCTTCATTAAACTAGACATATCCAATTTCAGGAACTGTTCCTTATATGCTTTAGCCTCCAGTCCCCTAATCATCTTTGTTGCTTTTCTCTGCACTCTTTCTAGAGTCTCAACATCTTTTTTACATCGTGGTGACCAAAACTGGATGCAGGATTCCAAGTGTGGCCTTACCAAGGCATTGTAAAGTGGTATTAATATTTCACGTGATCTTGATTCTATCCCTCTGTTAATGCAGCCTAGCAAGGCAGATGCATACCAACATAGCTTGAAGTGACTATCCCAAAAACATCTTGCTTGAACCTGATTGGTCATCTGGGAGGTCAGAGATGGGAGGCACTTAAGGGAGGAAAAAGTTGAACTTAGGGATTTTGACGCACGATGCTCAGTTCTGGCTAGGCCTTACTGCAAAACACCGGACTTCTAATAAAATTATGCCTTTCTCAAAAATATGTCTAGCAATTGTTGGAAATGTAGACAAAAATCAGGCACATATCTTTGGTGGACATGCCCTAAGGCTAAAACATTTTGGTCAAGAATACATATATGGTTAGAGAAAATGACACACAAAAAAAAACCCACGTAGATTTTAAGCCAGAATTATTTCTGTTAGGTATAATTGCGGGAAATTATGAGAAAGAATGGGTATATTTAATGTTACATGTATTAACGGCAGCGAGAATTGTATTTGCTCAACACTGGAAAGATGAAGAATTACCAGAGATAATCAGGAAAAATTTTGGATTGTGGAGAAATAGACAGACTTACATTGAAAATGAAGGAGAAAGAAGATTCAGAATACTTTAGAACAGAGGTCACCAACCTTTGTCGGTTGGCAGAAAGGAGGAAAAGGGAGGGGAAAGCATTTTACACATGTGCGTCCATGTGCGTGCGCACAGGGCTGCGAGCATGCGTGTGATAATCACTAGCCCTGCCCCGTTCTTGCATGGCACTGTGCCTTGTTTCTGCACCCTGCGGTCATTTTTGCGCCTTGCAGCGCAGCAGCAGCCCTTTTTCGTGCGCTGAAGTGCAACATCCTGTGTTTGCACTCCGTGGCTACCGCGCTAACGCAAGTGAGGGGGTGTGCACGCACACATGCACACGCTGGCCAGCCTGTCCCACCGCCCACTACTGGGCCACAGCCCGCAGGTTGGGGACCCCTGTTTTAGAACATGGGATACATTTTATCAGTGGCTAAAAAACAAGGTAGAGAGAAAGGAGTTTAACATATATTAGTAAGCTAAATATTGGAACCCAGACAACATGTTTCTGATAAAATATTAAGGATTTGTGATGATAAAAAATTAATGAAAAAAATATATACCTTTCTCAACAAATGGAGCCAAGGATCATTTCTATTTAGAGGTTTAAGTGGTAGCAGGTCTGACAACATCATGAAGAGATTGGGCAGCCATTTGCCTGGAATAACGATAGCAATAGCACTTAGACCAGTGATGGCGAACCTTTTAGGGACCGAATGCCCAAACTGCAACCCAAAACCCACTTATTTATCGCCGGGTGCCAGGTGGGCATGGCCTATTGGGTGGTGTGGCTGTGGTGGTCATGGCAGACTGGGTGGGTGTGTGGTCACCTCGATGTTGCTCATGGGGAGGGATGCCTGTGGGGACCAGGCAGGGTTGGGGGAGATCCAGGGGATCTCTGGCAGGTGGGGCGGTGGGCAGGAGGGTCATCCTGCGGGGTGAGTTGAGGCAAGACAGGGCAGGACAGGGGTGCCATTGTCACAAGGCGAGGCAGGGGCCAGGGCAGCTGCTGCCTGATACCATTGCCCCCCCGCACACAGAGGCCAGCGAGCACATGGGTGCGGGGATGCATCCAGCCACGTGGGACCTTGGCGACTTAGCGGGCAGCTGGTTGAAGAGGGACGGTTGCCATCTCTGGGGCATGGCGCGTGTACCCACAGAGAGGGCTCTGAGTGCCACCTCTGGCACGCGTGCCATAGGTTCGCCACCACTGACTTAGACTTATACACTGCTTCTCAGTGCTTTCAGCACTCTCCAAACAGTTTACAGAGTCAGCCTATTTGCCCCCGACAATCTGGACCCTCATTTTACCAACCTCGGAAGGATGGAAAGCTGAGTCAACTTTGGGCTGGTCAGGATCGAACTCCTAGCAGTGGGCAGAGTTAGCCTGCAATACTGCCTTCTAACCACTGGGCCACCAAAGCTCCTGGTGGTATGGAATGGTCTGCTTGAGCAGGTGGTTGGACTAGAACAGAGGTAGGCAACCTCGGCTCTTTTATGACTCGTGGACTTCAACTCCCAGAATTCCTGAGCCAGCCTGGCTCATTTTGGAAACCTCTCCCTTTCCCCTCAGCGTGGCTGGCTCAGGAATTCTGGGAGTTGAAGTCCACGAGTCATAAAAGAGTCAAGGTTGCCTATCCCTGGACTAGAAGACCTCCAAGGTCCTTTCCAACTCTGTTATCTTCTTATTCTTTCTGAATTCAGACGCTTTCACCAGTCTTTCTGATGATAACTTCTCTGTTTCCCAAGTGAGGATTTACGGTGATGGTAATTATGCTTCTTTCTGTTTGTCTGTTTCTTTTGGAATCCAGGATCCAATCAGTGAGCAGAACTTTGATGCCTACGTGAACACTCTTACCGACATGTACACCAATCAAGAATGCTACCAGAATCCTGAAAACAAGGATCTGCTGGAAAGCATCAAACAGGCAATTAAAGGAATTCAGGTCTAATAGGTAGGACAAGAAAAAGAAAGAGACGTGTGTGTGTGTGTGAGAGAGAGAGAGAGAGAAGATGTTAGAATATCTGGAAGACTTTAGAAGACCTTCACTCAGGTTTATTTGTTGAATGAATGAATCAAAGGACCAAAACCTAACCAAGAGGCCATTCACAAAAGAAGAAATGAACTCATTTTTGTTGTTGTTGTTGTTTTGTTTTGTTTTGTTGACTTGACAGCATCACTCTGGCAAACATCAGGAACTCCGTTTTTACTTCTGGCGATAGAGTCAAAGCTGGGCTTGGAAATAAGTGGAGATTTTTGGATCTTCGCGGGCTGCTAAGTTCCTACGCTTTGTAATAGAGTTATTCCAAGCTTTAGATCATTCGAAGAACAGGGATTTTACTCTACATCAGGGGAAGGCTCCACAGTCAGGTGTTGCTTTTGGTCATGTCTCAAGGTAACACGTCAATTCCATGTCATCTGTTGTTCAGGAGGAGCCGGAACTGCAGTCTCTCCATCGAAATCTGGGCTGGCATTCTGATTCAACAAAGGGATCCAAAACCGCTGGACATAGGAAATCACAAAAGTATTATAGAGTCAATGTTATTTTTTGTTTTCCAAAACAGTAGCTCCGGATCTCCAGCGGAAAACACAACAGGAAACAAAAAACAAAGCAAAGCAAAGTTCTCAGGGAAGCTTTTTTGGAGTTTGCAACTACAGTATTCCTTTGTCTGTCTTTTTTTTTTTTTTTAAGGCAATTAACAAACAGACCAATCTGGGGAGATTTTGTAGGGGAGGATTCTTAAGTGTGTGAACATGGTCCAGTGGTCCATCGGTTCTGGATAGTCCTTTTTGCTGACTGTTCTGGTTCTCTTCATCGTGTGGTCGTCATCCTTCAGGAGCACTGCAGGCCTCAATGCCAGAGGCGTCCTTCAGGTGGTGACTAGGAACAAATGGGCTAGCCTACTAGTTACTCTTCCCTGTGGACTTTGGCTGAAACATTTGTGGCAAAAACTGTGCTTGTAGGTTCTCAGCTTTGGTTTCCACATTTTTTTTTTTTCTGTGTTTCACAAAAACAGGGAGAATTGTCTTTCGAGAAATATGGGGTAAAGCTCTTCCAAAGAACCACTTTGATTTGGTGTTGGGGGTTCACCGTCCAGTATACATAAGTCCAGTGTGCGCTTAAAGAACGACAAGGAAGCAGTGGTGGGATTCAGATAGGTGAACAACCGGTTCTCTGCATGGATGCCACTTCCGGAAGTCCACTCTGGGCCTGGGCAACAAAACATTAGCTACTGGTTCTGCCGAAGCGGTGCGAACCGGCTGAATCCCACCACTGCAAGGAAGTGAATGTCTCTTGCAAAGCAAATTTATTCAGCACTGCCCTTAATTCAAGGGGATACCGCTAGATTTTCAGAGGGAGATAAGAGCAGAAGGGGAGAGATGCAAATAGGACACTGTCTATGGTTTGTCCACCCTTATCAAGAGAACGAATCCTGAGAAGGCCTCTGAGAAGGATCTGGATGGGGAAATTGATATATTACAGGTAGTCCTCAGTCTACGACCGCAAATGAGCCCCAAATTTCTTTTGCTCAGCAAGGCGGCTGTTAAGTGAGCGTTGCCCCATTTTATGATGGTCAGCAAGCTAATCACTGCAGTTGTTAAGGGCAGGGCTTTTCAACCTTTTCACCCATTGCACCATTTTTAGGATACGGCAGTATCCGAGTACCACCAGACGCCTAGCAAGGGGTCAAAAACTTGATGACCCCTCCCCCAAAAAAAGGAAAAAAGTGATCAAGTACAGGTAGTCCTCGACTTACAACAGTTCGCTTAGTGACTGTTCAAAGTTACAATGGCACTGAAAAAAGTGCCCCCCAAGCCACAGCCAAGCAAGACACCTGCCTGCCCGCCCGGTGGCGCTCTTCCTCCTGTCTGAGGTTTTCATTGTTGTGAGCATTTCTGTTGAGGATTTGCAGCAGGGGTGGGGTGGGGGTGTTTGGTTTTTATTCCCCCTGTCTGCTGGGTGGTTGCAGCAGGTTTTGGTCACTTCACATGACCCTGGGACACTGTGACCGTCATAAATATGAATCAGTTGCCAAGCATCTGAATGTAAATCACAAGACCCTGGAGATGCTGCAACATTCCAGCTGATCGGTGCTTCTTCTGGGCTCAGCAGAAGCACCAGGATCAGCCCCGAGATCCAGCTGGAACCTGGCACTGATCCTGGAGTTTCCGCTGAGCCCTGACAGCCCTGCAGCTCCAGCCGTCTCTCGCTCAGGCTTGTGCGGTGCTGCCACCAGTTCAGCTCATTCCCCTCCCCTGCTACCACTTTTCTAGGATGGTCGCGTACCACCTGCCAGGTGCCAATATACCACAGGTGGTACCCGTACCACTGGTTGAAAAGCCTTGGTTAAGGGAATCTGGCTTCCCCAGTTGATGTTGCTTGTCGGAAGCCATCTGGGAAGGTTACAAAGAGTGATCACATGACACCAGGACAATGCAACCATCATAAGTACACACCGGTTGCCAAATTCCCAAATTTGGATCGTGCGGTCCTTAGGGATGCTGCCACTGGTCATAAGTGTGAAAAGCGGTCGTTAGTTTCCCCCCCCCAGTGCTATTGTAACTGAGTGGCCAATAAACGAATGGTTGTAAGTCAAGGACTGCCTGTAATTGGCTAGAGGGCAATCAGTACCATTTTTAGATTCCTAAAGCGTGAAATAGGAGCTGTGGAGAAGGCCAGAAGAAGGAGCGGGATGTTCTCTAGAAATTGCAGTTGGGTCCTGAGGTAAACAGTCTTCACACTTGTCCCCAAGAGTGCTTTTTCACGAGGCAACTGGACTTCCTTGTTTTTCTTTGAAGACGTTTCGCTTCTCATCCCAGAAGCTTCTTCAGTTCTGACTGAATGGTGGGGAATAGAAGGAGTTGGCCAGGTGTCTGAATTTTGATCACGTGACCGTGGGGGAATGCTGCAACGGTCATAATTATGAAAAAAAAGGTCAAAAAGTCGCTTTTCTCAGTGCCGTTGTAACTTTGAATGGTCACTAAACAAATGGTTGTAAGTCAAGGACTATCTGTAACTCCTCTTCCCCTCACTTCCAATATGAAAACTCCTAAGTTGCTGATCCTCAATTCACACACAGGACCTTCAGCAACTTTGAAAACAGGGAAGTCCCTTCAGAAATCACAACTACAGATGTGATTGTGCTGTAAATCTGATCTCCAGGATAGATCTTGGAGAGGTGCCTACCAGAAAACAGACACAACAAAATCCTGCCTTCTTGTAGGGCAGGAGTCTTCAAACTTGGCCACTATAAGACTTGTGGACTTCAACTCCCAGAATTCCTCAGCCAGCCCTGAGGGGCTGGCTGAGGAATTCTGGGAGTTAAAGTCCACAAGTCTTAAAGTGGCCAAGTTTGGAGACCCCTGTTGTAGGGAATGACAAAATATCTGCTTTTGGTGGGGAAAAGGATTGACGTGCAAAGTTCCTGAGAAACTCAGATTTGTTGGTGCTTGCAGGTGTCGTTTTTCTTTCAGATATGGCCCTTCAGACCACATCAGAAGGCTGCTCCAGACATTTCATGACCCAACTAGGTAACACCATCCATGCTAGAAGGGAGTGAAGTGGGCAGAGAGAAGGAGGAGGAAGAGGAAGGACTGTGGGGTCCTTGGTGGTCTCTGAGTTTGGTTGTTTCCTTGCAGACATTTCACGACCCAACTAGGTAACGCCATCAGTGCTAGAAGGGAATGAAGTTGGCAGAGGAGGAGGAGGAAGATTGTGGGGTCCTTGGTGCTCTCTGAGCTGGGTAGTTTTCTTGCAGATGTTTAATTACCAAACTAGGTAACATCATCAGTATATGATGCTTACAGTGCAAAATAGTTTCTCTTCCCATTCCTGTGATGGTCCAATTTTTGCTCCCACAGAGGCCCAGTGGAGAAAGCGCATTCAGAATGCATAGATCTTAATTTATGTTGCCATGGGAGGTCTCTATTCAAGTTGCAGATTTGACTGAACCAGGAGTCCCTTCTACATCCAGTGTGAGGATGCCTTAAAAGCCATAATCCTCAACCCGCCTAGGCTATAAACTAAAATATTTTGATGCCGAAGAGAAGGTACCATTGTAAAGATGGAGACAGAAAGAAAACACGTGTGCATAAACACACGCAAACACACAGATGGGTGACTTTACCAAAGGCCCAACGGTTGTAGACTTCTGAAGTTGCCCATCTGAGCTAAACTGGTTGGTGTGCTAAACAGGACGGTTAACACTTACCACCTATAGCAAGGGCGAAAAGCAAGCAAAATAAGGGAAAAGCGACCGAGATGAAGTATTAACGTGGTATTCGGTGTGTAAATAAAAGTCTAATGGGACGGTAATCGCAGCTCATTTAGTACTTAAAATAGAGAAATTGCACTTCCTTAAAAAAAAAAGCTGAAGGATTTTTTTCGGGGGGGGGGAGTAGATAGTTGAATTATACTGTAAATTATTTAAAAGTGCACTCAGTGCACACCTTTGGAGCAGTGGACAACCCTGAGGTTCATTCATTGTGTTTTGTTTGTACACACAAGCTACATACAGGTAGTCCTCGATTTATGGCCACAAGTGAGTTCAGACTTTCTTTTGTTAAGCAAGGCAGTTGTTAAATGAGTCACACTTAATTTTAAGACCTCTTTTGCCACGATCGTTAAGCAAATCACTGCACTTCCCAGTGAATCGTGTGGTCATTAAGTGAATCTGTCTTCCCCTGCTGACTTTGCTTGCCCGGAGCCAGCTAGGAAGGTCATAAATGAGGATCTCATGATCCCAGGACGCTGTATCTGTTGCAATTACATGCCAGTTGCCAAGCAATCACATTTTGGTTGCGTGACCATGAGAACGGTGTGTCGGTTATAAGTGCGAGGACCGCTTGTAAGTCACTTGTCAGTGCCGTCGTAACATTGAACGGTCACTAAACGAATGGTAGTAAGTCAAGGACTACCTGTACAGGTAGTCCTTGACTTACAACAGTTCATTTAATGACCGTTCAGAGTTATAGCGGCACGGGAAAAAAAAGTGAGTTATCACCATTTTTCACACTTATGACCATTGCAGCATCCCCGGGGTCACGTGATTTACATTGTGATGCCTGACAACTGGTTTGTATTTACGACAGTTGCCGTGTCCCGAGGTCATGTGTGATCATCTTTCGTGACCTTCTGATGGAAGGGGGAAGCCACTTAACAACGGTGTTACTAATTTAGCAACTGCAGTGATCCACTTAACAAATGTGGTAAGAAAAGTTGTAACATGGGGTAGAAAAAAAAATCACTTGACAAATTTCTCACTTAGTGACATAAATTTTGGTCTCGTAAGTCGAGGATTACCTGTGCTACAAGGGCTAGGTGGATTCAGGAGGGATGTTTAGCATCCATGGTGTGTGTAGATTTTTGTTAAAGTACTAATCAAACATTAAATCTGATTCCATTGCAAATGGTGCTTTTAAGGGAGGCTGCTCGTCTGAATATTTAATTCACCAATAACATAGGAAGCTTGTTTCATTCTGCAGAAAAGTTTTTTGGGGAAAAACACAGTGTCTTTTTAAATTTTTCCTGTAGGCACCCTGCAAGCACCCTAATTTGGGAAAAAGATATATGTAATTTATATTTGAAACACCTTATGTTGAATTTTTTGGGGGCTATTTATTGAAATGTTTATTTATTAAATTTATGCTTCTTTTAAAACTGGACATCACATCAAGAGAAAGGAAAGCAGGCAAATAGTAATAATAATAATTCCTGGAAGAAAATACAACTTTTTGATCAATAAAACAATATTCCCTCTTAAGTAAGAAAAAAAAAGTCTAACTTTTGCTTGTAATTTTGATGCAACCAACTTATTTTTTATATATTTTTGTTATTTATTCTTTTACCAATGGGGAATTTTTTAAAAGATATTTTATAACTGAAGTGCTTTTTTAAGAAAAAAAGATTTTTGTTTTGATTTTTCTTTCGCGTGAGGACAAAATGCAGAGAGAGAAAGAGAGAAAGAGAGAAAAAAAATTAACTCCTTTTTGTTGTTTGTTTTGTGAGGTTTTTTTTTTTTTGTCTTGGCGTTCCTATGGTTTCAGGCACTGATAATGGTAAAAAATTTAAAACCGTCATTTCTTATTTATTTAATATTTAAATTAAACAAAAAAAATTGATCTGTGCTCTTGTATATTTATTTTGTCATGTTTGTGTGTTGGTTATGTGATGGCTGAGTAATTGTTTATGTGAAGGAATACTCTTCCTATTTAAATAATAAAGAATCACATTGGGAAAAAAATTAACCAGTTTTTTCATGGATTTTTTTTTTTTTAGGTGCACTGTGTGAAATAATCCCCATTTGTTTCTGAGAGTTAAATCCCGCAACTTGGTTTCAGATAGGCCTCAATTTATGGCCGATTATTTAGCAACTGTTCAACATTATGCGCTACCTGGAAAAGATGCGAGTTATGACCCCATTCATAAGTTCTGATTATCTCCTCTCCCCCCACTGGTCATGTGACCATGTTCCAGATGCTTGGCTGAATTTACAGCCATTTACGACAATTTTGCCAAAAGTTCCCATTGCTAAGTGTGTGTGTGACCTAATACAGGTAGTCTTCAACTTACAACCACAACTGAGCCCAAAATTTCTGTTGCTAAGTGAGACCTGCGTTGACTACGTTTTGCCCCACTTTATGACCTTTCTTGCCAGACTCGTTAAGTG